GGTAGGTCATGCTTTAAGCATTTGGATCTCTTCCACCCATGTTAAAGACACGGATGGAGTCCCAGCATCCTGGCTTTAACTGGCCCATGTTGTTGTTATTTGTATTAGTGGGATATACCAGTAGATGGTAGATCTCTTTTTCTCTGGTTTTCTGGCTTTCAAGTAATACAGAAGTGAAAGAAGGCTCCATGCATGGAACAATGATACAAGAAAGGTGGAGTAAGATTGCATTTGGGACACTCACACTGGATTCAGGGTGCCTGGGTTCAAGCATCTGCCCTGCTCCTCATTGCAGCTTCCTGCTCATGAAGATCCTGGAGGGCAGCAGATGACTGAGGAAGTAACTGGAGCCCTGTCATTCACATGGGAAGTCTGGGTTGAACTCCAGACTCCAGGCTCAGTCTGGTCCAAATGGTGCCTTTGAGGGTTTTGAAGACTGAATCAGTTGGTGGGAGATGCCTCTGTCTTTCTCTGTGTATCTTTCAGTCTCTACCTTTGGAATAAAATAATTAAATAATTTTTTTTTTCAAATTAAGGGAAGGACCTGGCCCTGTAGCCTAGTGGATAAAGTCTTCGCTTTGCATGCACCAGAATCCCATATGGGTGCCATTAATTCCCTGGCAGTCCCACTTTCCATCCAGCTCCCTGCCTGTAGCCTGGGAAAGCAGGCAAGGATGGCCCAAAGCCTTGGGACTCTGCACCCATGAGGAGGTCCAGGGGAAGCTCCTGGCTTTGGATTGGCTCAGCTTCAGTCCTTGCAGCCACTTGGGGTGTGAATCATCAGACAGAAGATCTTCCTCCCTGTCTCTTCTCTCTGTGTACCTGACTTTCCAATAAAACTAATGATTCCTTATGAAGGACTACACTATTGTAACAAAATGGGAAAAATCTGACGGGGGATGGGAGTTTGGTGGGGAGGCGAATCTCAGCCTATACAAAATTGTGGAAAAAAAAATAGTAGATAACTCTTTTCTTAAAGATATACAGAAAGGAGGAGAGATAGAGGAAGATTTATTTATTTGAGTCAAAGTTACAGATAGGGATGTAGGGCGAGAGAGATCTTCCATCCACTGATTCATTTCCCAAGTGACTGCAACAGCCAGGGCAGAGCCATGATCCTGGAGTTTCATCCAGGTTTCCCACCAGCGTAGCTGGAGGTAGAGTTGTCGAGGGAGACAGCTGACGCAGTGACATAGCAAGCTCACAGCTAACCTTTCACCTGCCATGCTGGCATCCAATTATGGATGCCAGTTTGAGCCCTGGCCACTCCACTTCTGATCCAGCTCCCCACCAGTGGCCTAGGAAAGCAGCAGGGGATAACCCAACACCAACCAGTATGCGGATAGGAGACCCGGAAGTCGCTCCTGGCTCCCAGCTTCAGACCAGCTTAGTTCTGGCTGTTGCAGCCATTTGGGAAATGACCCAGCACATGGAAGAGCTCTCTTTCTGCCTCTCCTTTTATCTATCTGTAAGTCTGACTTTCAAGTAAAAATAAATAAATATTTTTTAGAAAATAGAATAGATGTTGAATTCTCAAACTCCTACAAGTCTCTTTTCAGTAGCTGTAAGCTGATTGTCCTAAAAGTGAACTCATTCTTGAATATATTTTAACACATTTCCTTATTTATTTTCACAAAATAATCTCTAGTTTTTATAAAATGTTTGTTTCAATGCTATTGAATTAAATATTAAATATTGACTGACAATTACATGCCCAGTAACAGTAAAACATGTTTTTGTTTTTGGTTTAAAGGGCAAAACAAGGGCTAAGAGCCTGCCTGTTTTACACACCGCGAGTGTCGGGGAAGCACAGCCGATCCTGCTCCTCTTTGTGCGTTGGCTTCCAGCTCAGCGTCTGGCTCAGCATCAGCATTTAATTTTTCATTAACAGACACAGCTCAGAATGCACCACAATATCAGCTTATTTCAACGATGCAGGTTGAAACTCTGTAGGGGAAACTGGTATCTTGCTATGACTAGTCCCTGCTCTGTTGCTGGTAACGTAACAGCACAGACTGGATCAGTTATAAGGGAAAAGGGCTTATGTGGACTTGCAGTTCTGGTCCAGGAGCAAGTGGACCAGAGGATTTAATCAGGGTCTTCCCCACTAGGATCACTAGGATTTAATCAGGGTCTTCCCCACTAATGTCTTTATCTAGTGCAAGTGTTTTCTTTTTTCAAAAAAACTTTTTTTTTTTTTTTTAAATTCTTATTGCAAAGTCAGATATACAGACAGGAGGAGAGAGAGGAAGATCTTCCATCCGATGATTCACTCCTCAAGTGGCCATGACGGCTGGAGTTGAGCCGATCCGAAGCCAGGAGCCACGAGCTTCTTCCAGGTCTCCCATGTGGGTGCAAGGTCCCAAAGCATTGGGCCGTCATCAACTGCATTCCCAGGCCACAAGCAGGGACCTGGGTGGGAAGTGGGGTGAACGGACTTAAATAGGCGCCCTTGTGGGATCCCGGTGTGTGCAAGGCAAGGACTTGAGCTGCTGAGTCACCACGCCGGGCCCGTGTAATTGCTTTCTCTAGACCCTACCACCAAGCAGCATTGCTGGTTTAGGTTTCCAATCTTCTGAATAATTTACAGGGAATTGAATGTGAGTACATGCCATCTTGGGGACACTCAGGCACACTCCCACACACACCTGTGTCATAGATGAGGCGACCGAGGCCCTGTGGGGCCACATGCCTGAGGTCTCAGATCCCCAGGTCCACTCTACACTGTCCTGCTCCAGGGTCTGCACGTTCCCCTCGGCTTGGCTGCCTCCTCTCAGTGTTGAAGAAATATACAATCCTGTAATTCATCCATGAGAAAGAACACTGTTGGAAATGAGGTTCCAGATTCCTTTGGCCCTATAACCATGTAATAGGTGCCAGCTATGTGCCTGCAATCCTGAAAGAAATGTTGGAGAGACATGAAGATTACCATGAGTCTGTAAGTTTTATGGAGGAATCTCACACACATGGGAACTTACCATTACAGACGTTGTGCCAAGTGCTGCATTAGTGGCTCCCATACAGATGCACGCTGACTGTTGCCAGTTAAAGAACATGGTGAACAGGTGACTTGGGATCTGAATCAGTAGGTTTGCGGTTAGGCTCTTTGTAAGCCTAATTTCATGAGACGAACGGCCACCAAGAGGAATGGAGCGTTCCTTACGTCCAGGAGGCAGCTTTCCTTCACTTGCCGTGTGACAAGCTCTTTGCCACAACCTGTGGAGCCAACACCAAGACCTGTAGGAGACTCCAGGGACCACCCAGCAAAATGTGGGCCCCCTATTCATAAAATCACATATTAAATAGTGGGTTTATGCATTTATTTTTGACCTCCTTGAAAGAGAGAGTGATAGAGAGAGAGAGAGAGAGAGATCTTCCCTCCGCTGGTTCATTCCCCAAACACCTGTGGCCAAGATCGGGCCAGGAAGAAAGCAAGAACTCCACGTGTGTGTCTCCTGGGGTGCGAGGGGCTGAGCTGTTGAGTGAGTCACACCCGCAGGAAGCTGGTTTAGAAGCCGTTGTCAGGACTGTCTGACACGTATTTGGCTGCCTTGCGAGGCCCTTGGCAGAGGACCCTAAAGGAAGCTGGCCTCAGATGGCCACTGCAGCAGGAAATAATTGAGACCTGTGTGGGGTTTTGCGATTAAGGTCAATTAAGCTGCTAAGGACAGAGACAGGAAGCTCAGGAGAAGAAATCAACCTTGTATGGGCAGAGGGGACATGATGAAGAGTTGAGTTTTGAAGCTCTAAATGCAGAGAAAACATGTATGTCATCCTCTGGGCTTTGGAAGTTGGGTTGCCTGAGAATCCAAGGCTGAGAGATGCTGCAGGAGCAGCAGCTGTAGTGAGAGCTGACGTCCGAGCACTGGAGGACCTGCTGTGTTCAGAGGCGGGCTGGAGATGAGGATGGATCCTGGGCAAAGGTGTCTGGGGGAATCTGCCGTGGGGAAGGCCTGTGAGGCAGGTGCTCGGCCTGGCAGGCAAGCACCTGTGTGAGGATGCCTGCGTGTCCCAGAAGGGTACACACAGCTCTGCTGCCTGTTCCTGCACAACCTAGGAGTTTGCTGTGATGACTCAGGCAGCAGAGTTTCTGCCTCTCCTACGAAAGAACTTTGTTTTCAGACATTTGCAGAGTAAACCTGTGGTTGGGAGCTGTCTCTCTCCACCTCTCAAATTGAAAATGAAAGTTAGGTGCAGGTGTGATGGCTCAACTGCGGGATCTTCTAGCTGCCAGTGCTGGCGGCATCCCATGTGGACGCCATTTCATGTCCCAGCTGCTCCAATTTTCCCTTCCAGCTCCCTGATTGTGGCCCAGGCAAAGCAGCAGAGGATGGCCCAAAGCCTTGGGTCCCCGTACCAGCAAGGGAGACCCAGAGGAAGCTCCTGGCTCCTGCCTTCGGATTAGCTCAGCTCTGGCTGTTGTGGCCATTTGGGGAATGAACCAGCAGCTGGAGGACATTCGCCTCTCCTCTCTGTCGATCTGCTTTTCTCACAAAAATAAATAAATATCCCACTTTCCCTACATGTGTCATGATTGTATTTGAAGAAACAACCGACATGGGGGGGGGTGTGTAAAGCAGGGGGAGGGGAATCCCAGACTACACAAAATTGTAAGATCAATTTCAAAAATTAAAAAAAAAATTACAACAACAACCGACCAGGAGTATCTGGATCAATAGTATATGCCTTCTAAGTTAACGGTGCATTTGAACTCGGGACCAAATCACGGCCCAAGGCCTTCCCGCTGTGCGCGTGGAATTCATCACGGAAGGAGTAAAAGCTGGCTTTTTCCAAAGGGAAACCCGAGGTGCCGAGGAGCCCGTCTTCCTGGCCGCCGGCAGAGGGCGCCAGAGCGGCGGCCTCCCGGCGTGTGCGCATGTGCGTGCGCCTGCGCGCTCGGCCCCCGCGGCGTCCAAGGCTCCGGGACGGCGGAGGCGGGGATCCTCGGTGTTGGCGGCTGGCTTGGCGACGGCGGCTGTGGCGGCGCTGGCGGCGGCCGTGAAGGTGGAGGTGGCGGCGGCCGTGGAGGCGGCCGTGGAGGCGGCCGTGGCGGCGGCCGGGCTGTGGGGAGAGAGCCCGCGGCGGGCTCTGGGTTCGCGAAGCGCCGCGCAGTCGGAGCCCGCCGCCCGCCGCGGAGCCATGGAGATCGGCACGGAGATCAGCCGCAAGATCCGGGTGAGGAGGGAAGGGCCTGGGGTGACGGGAGCCGGGGCGACGGGAGCCGGGGCGACGGGGCGACTGGGTGACGGGAGCCGGGGATGACGGGAGCCGGGGCTGCGGGGCGGCGGGGCGGCGGGGCCCGGGAGGCCGGGGGACGCGGCGGGCCCGGCTGGGCCTGCCGAGGGGCGCCGGGCTTGCGGCGGGTCAGCCTTGCTCACTCGCCTCCTCTTCCTCCTCCTCTCTGCTTCTTGTAGAGCGCCATTAAGGGGAAATTGCAAGAATTAGGAGCGTACGTGGGTAAGTTCTCCGGACGTCTTTCAACCTGCTGCAATGCCGCGATTGCGGCCCCAGTGCCTGGGAGGGAGGGAGGGAGTGAACGTCCTTTTTATTTATTTATTTATTTTTTCATCTTCTCTCCTCCGGTGCTGTCGCCTTGACCTTGGCGAGGCCCCCCTCTGCCTGCTTCAGACACTGGTTACTTTTCGGCTGTCCCCTCCTTGCAGCCTGACCCCACCCCCCCCAAGTTCAGCCCCGCTCTCTCGGTACTGTTTTCTCCCCGTTGTATTCTTTCCCTCCTGTTGTGGGTCCCTGCTTTTTGACCTGTCCCCCTCGGGACTACCGTTTCTGGATGCCAGGGAAAGTGCCTTCTCTGGCTCCCTGTCCCTTTGGTTTGTCCCGAGCGTTTGCTCTCAGGCCCGTGCTTTAACTCGGGATAATCCTGCTTAGCACCAGAAGGTACGTACCAAGAGGAAAGCCCTAGGCCTTGCTGACTCGGGCGTCTGCTCGGCTCCCAGGCAGGTGTCGGCTGTGAACCTGCGTAACTACCACGAGCTACACCTGGTGTTAAAGTTAATTTGAAATACAGAGAGAAAGTGCAAGCAGCTGACTTTCCGTCACTCGCTGGAAACAGCCTGGACTAAGCCAGGCCCAAAACCAGAGCTGAGACCGAGCCCTGGTCCTTCACCTGGGCGACAGTGACCCAGGTACCCAGGGCAGCCGCTGCCTGCCTCCCTCCTTCATATTGCAAGAAGCTGGGTTGGAAGCTGAACAGGAGCTGGGGGTGTGTGTGCTCTAGCAGCAAACAAGAAGCTCACTTCTGTTTTTAAGTTTTATTTTTATTGGAAAGGCAGATTTATGGACAAGGAGAGACAAAGATCTGTCCGATGATCCACTCCCCAAGTGACTGCAGTGGCCAGTGCTGCGCCGATCTGAAGCCAGGAGCCTGGAGCGTGCTTGGGGTCTCCCATATGGGTGCAGGGTCCCACGGCTTTGGGCCATCCTCAACTGCTTTCCCAGGCCACAAGCAGCGAGCTGGGTGGGAAGTGGATCTGCCAGGGTATGAACTGGTGCTGGTAGTATTTGTTGCTAATGACCCATTCAGCTTTGCAGTGAAAAATAGAATTCTGAAAGATCTGTGTCTGCTTTCCCAAGTTTGACAGCTTCCTTGTACTTAACAGATTGATGAAGATGTTAACAGATGCAAGCTAAAAACATTGTGTAACAAAATTTATGTAGCTAAGTGAACCAATATTTTCCAAATGCCCTACACATAATGGTTAGAAGTCTGTGGGGCTGACGTGTCATTAAAACTGCATGTAAAGTGTTGCTGGCGTTCCATCTGGACGTCAGTTTGCATCCTGGCTGTTCCATTTCCTGTCCAGCTCACTGCTAATGGCCTAGGGAAAGCAGCAGACGGCCTGTTTTTGGGTTTCTGCTAACCCGTGTGGGAGACCGAGCTAAACCTCAGCCTGGCCCACTGCTGGCTATTGGGTCCATCTAGGGGATACAGCTGTAAAACTGCATGATGGATTTTCATATAGTGGTCCAAAAAGTATTGGTGCAGTTTTAAATTGCACATTACTACTAATGTTGAAGCAGCTGTTGTTTGTTTGAGGTATGTTTTATTTTAATTATTTGAGATGGAGATGTGGAGTTGGCATTTACTGGTTCACTTTTTTTTTTTATCATGTGGTACACTGGTTTACTTCTACAGTGCCCACTATTTCCGGGGCTGGGCCTAGAGCTGTGAGCCAGGCCAAGCCAGGAGCTGAGACGCCAGTCCTGATCCCTTACCTGGATGGCAGTAACCCAGATATTCAGGTCACCTGTTGCTTACCCCCAGGCTTCACATTGCAGGAAGCTGGGTTGGAAGCCGAGCTTGAACCTGCACCTGCTGTCCCCCAGGCTCCACGTGAGCTTCAGCTGGAGCTCGTTGCTTGAGGAGTTGTGATGTAGCATTATCTGGAAGAGGTGTCTTTCTTTGCTGGCTTGCTTCCTTTTTTTTTTTTTTTTTTTTTTTTTTGTAAGTCAGTATTATTCTTTGTTGGACTTAAAGAAAACTATTGTAAGCCAGAGAGTCTTAGATTATCTGCCAGTTGCCTGTCTGCGTGTATATGTATAAAACTTACTGAAATAGTTTTCTAAATACTATGAGAACAGAATTGGAACTGGTTGGTCCCAGCATGCCAGCACGGTGGTGCCGTGCGTTCAGCTCCCAGCTGTGCTACCAGTGTTTGGTAGTGCTAGTTCTGGCTGCTCTGCTGCCTTTTATTTATTTATTTTTTTAAAGATTTATTTTTATTGCAAAGTCAGATATACAGAGAGGAGGAGAGACAGAGGAAGCTCTGCTGTCTTCCTGCTGGTTCACTCCCCAAGCGGCTGCAGCAGCTGGTGCTGCGCCGATCCGAAGCAAGAGCCAGGAGCCTCTTCCAGGTCTCCCATGTGGGTGCAGGGTCCCGAAGCTTTGGGCCATCCTCGACTGCTTTCCCGGGCCACAAGCAGGGAGCTGGATGGGAAGTGGAGCTGCCGGGATATGAACCAGTGCCCATATGGGATCCCGGCGCGTGCAAGATGAGGACTTAGCCGCTAGGCTACTGCGCCAGGCCCAGATTTATTTATTTTTGCTAGGAAGATTCACAGAGGGAATCTTCTGTCCACTGGTTCGCTTCCCCAGTGGCTACAATGAGTGGAGCTGAGCCAGTCTGAAGCCAGGAGCCTGGAGCTTCTTCCAGTTCTCCCACATGGGTTCATGGACCCAAGGCTTTTGGGAATTCTGCCAGTACTTTTCCAGGCCATAAGCAGGTAGCTGGCTGGGAAGTGGAGCATCCAGGATGCAGACTTGCACCCATGTGGGATCCCAGCATTGGAATTGGAGGAGTAGCCCGTAGAGCCATCATGCTGTCCCTTACAATAACATTTAACCATCTGAGTATTTGTATGTGTATACATTATTATCCTAAAGAAGGTTACTTTTTAAAAGATGTTTCTTTCTTTGAAAGGCAGAGCTACAGAGAGAGACAGATTTCTTCATTCACTCGTTTGTTTCTCAAATGGCTGAAACAGCCTAAGCTGAGCTGATCCCAAACCAGGAGCTTCCTCTGGGTCTCCTGCATGGGTGCAGGGGCTTAATGACTTGAGACAGCCTTTTGTTGCTTTCCCAGGTTGTAAGCAAGGAGTTTTGTTGGAAATGGAAGAGCTGGGACTTGAACTAGAATCCACATGTCCTGTGGTGCTGCAGGTCACGGACCCAGAAAGTGACATTCTAGTTCTATTCCAGAGCGTCCTTCAGGGGTTGTGTGTCCTGGGTAGATGGTTATGGTAATTCGTTGATTCACCCCCCGAGTGGCACCAACGCCTGGAGCTTAGTCGATCTGAAGCCAGGAACCAGGAGCCTCCTCCAGGTCTTCCACGTGGGTGCAGGGTCCCAAGTCTTTGAGCCATGGTGGACTGCTCCCAGGGCACAGGCAGGAAGCTGGCAGCAGGGGTGCTGGGTTTGGAAGCAGCACCCATACGGGATTCAGGTGTGCTAGGTGAGGACCTGAGGCACTAGGCTGCTGGGTCGAGCCTGGTCAGGGTCATCTGAGTCAGCATTTAACTTTATCTGTCACGTTCCTGGAAGAGTGTGTCCTGATCACAGCAATTTTTTGTTAGCTTTTTATTTCCCACTGCATGTGCTGAGGAAATTATATGAACTTTTAAAAGCTTTGTGAAGTAGTTGAGATGTTTTGGATTGCAGGTGTTAAAATCAGCAGTTGGACATATCTTGATAATACACACACATCTAGGGAAGCCATCGCCACCCTCCAGGTAGCCTTCACTGCCTCGGTTTCCCTCTCTGTTCTCCTGTTCTCATCCTACAACCAGCTAGTCACAGGTCTGATAGAATTTTAGAAAATGCCAACTAATCATAGTGAAGCCTGCAATCTCTCAGGATTGTTGGCATCGTGAGGGAGAAAACCAGGACTGCCGGGGGATTTTGGCCTTTTGTCTTTTGATCCTTTCTCGGTTACCACCGTCAGTAAATGAGCTGCAAGGCTAGTTTACTATAGTGGTTAGAGGAGTGGGAGTCTGAAAAATAAATGGCTTGTCCTAGTTTTGAATCTAATTTCATAGTGTGTGCTTTCATGAAATACCTCAATTTCTCTGTAGATTTTTTAAATTTTTTTTCTCTGTAGATTTTTTTATTTTCAGTAACATTCTGGACAGAGTGAGAATCAGAATTGGCTATTCCTGTGCTGATGGACTCCGCAGGTGCCTGCAGCAGCCGGCTGAAACCAGGAGTGTCGTCTGGGCTTCCCACGCGGGTGATGCCCTGCATCGCTTGAGCTGGCCCCTGCTGCTCACCAGGGGGTGTCAGCAGGCAGCTGAGGCCGAGGTGTCCCAGGTGGCCGCTCAGCTGCTCTGCCTTACATTTGGTTTTTCAGCATGCTTGCACTTTTCTTAAACTGGATTTTTAAGAGTTATTAGTATTTTCCTAAAAGAAACCTCATAGAGTACTTGTAAAAATGAGCTTTTTTTCCTTTTTTTTTTTTTTCCTGGGGTTTTTGATGGTGGTTTTGGCTTGTTTATTGCTGAGTTGGATTTTGGCCCTTTAGAAAGAGGTCTTGGGCTCACCCTCGGTGGTCGCTGTGTAGGTTTAAACACTGTGTTGGGTTACATTGTTTAGCTACCATAAAGAATGAATTTTTGAAATAATGTATGAAGTTTTGAGGTGGTTTTTATTTAGTTGGTGATGTTGTGAAAGTTAGACTGAATATTTAAAATATGCTATTACCAAGGATAAATGCATTCTTTTGAGAAATGAATATCATTTTGGAATATAAATTAATGGAACAGCAAACATTCTTCTGGAGGCCTGTGAAGCTTCTCAGATGATTAAAATGTATTCACTTTAATTCCACAATTTTAATGTTTAGTTTTTTTTTTTTTTAAGATTTATTGTATTAATTTGAGAAGGCAGAGTTAGTGAGAGAGAGAGCGAGAGCGAGCGCTATTCCATCCACTGACCACTTCCGAGATGGCTGCAGTGGCCAGGGCTGAGCCAGGTGGAAGTGTGGAGCTGCTCCTGGGTCTCCCATGTGGGTGATAGGGCTCCAAGGACCTGGACTGTCCTCTCCGCTTTCCCAGGGGTGTGAGGAGCAGCTAGGCACAAGTGGGGCAGCGAGCACCGCGTCGGCTGCTGGTGCTGCAGGCTGAGGCTTAACCCACCAGCCCCTCAGATGGCTGATTTTGTATCAATTGTCCCCAGTTCACATCCTTTTAGTAATTTAAATAATTGTGAATGAAGAGACAGAAAAATAAAGCCAGGAGCTGGGATTGCGGGATAGTAAGTTGAGCTACTTGTGGCTTATGCCAGTTCCTACGTGGGTGCTGGTTTGGGTTCTGGCTACTTCGCTTCTGATCTGGCTTTCTGCTATGTGCCTGGGAAAGCAGAGCAGATGGCCCAAGCACCTGGACCCACCACGTGGGAGACGCTGATGGAACTCTGCTTCTGCCTGGCCTAACCTGGCGGTTACAGCGTTTGGGAAGTGGACCACTGGATGGAAGAGATCTCTCTCTCCCTCTGTCTTTTGCAAATAAAACAAAACGTTGTAAAACAAGATTGTTACAGAATTGAAATACTGATTCTTAAAGCTACATCTGTATTTTCAAACATGTCAAGCATAAGGAAATGTTCAGAACTTGAAAATGTTTAATACCCTTTTCCTTTTGAATAGATGAAGAACTTCCCGATTACATAATGGTGATGGTGGCCAACAAGAAAAGTCAGGACCAAATGACAGAGGACCTGTCCCTGTTTCTAGGGAACAACACAATTCGATTCACCGTGTGGTATGTTTCTGAATATGCCTACTTCAAACCAAGGTTTAGCACAGCTAAGCAGAGGCGTTCCGTCTGGGGGGAAGCCTTGCCAGTGAGAGGAGCTGGGCGGGAGCTGGGAGAGCAGAGCCATTCCAGTCCAGCGGCTCGGCTGAGTCATTGCTTTGCTTGCTTGGGCTTCTCCGACCGTGAAACAGAAATAGCAAATTACCTGCTTTATAAAACTGTTGGAATTGGGTGATATAAAATGCTTGTAGACATGCCTAGCACGTGAGTGGCTAGTATGTGTCAGTTGTGAGCTTTTACATTTATTTATCCCCCTCCTTTTTTTTAAAGATTTATTTTTATTGCAAAGTCAGATATGCAGAGATGAGGAAAGACAGAAAGATCTTATGCCCGATGATTCACTCTCCAAGCGGTCGCAGTGGCTGGAGCTGAGCCAATCTGAAGCCAGGAACCAGGAGCTGCTTTCAGGTCTCCCACAAGGGTGCAGGGTCCCAAAGCTCTGGGCCGTCCTCGACTGCTTTCCCAGGCCACAGGCAGGGAGCTGGATGGGAAGTGGAGCTGCCAGGATTGGAACTGGTGTCATATGGGATCCCGGGCGTTCAAGGCGATGGCCTTTAGCCACTACACTATTGTGCTGGGCCCTTTTTCTTTTGAAAACTAACTTGGAAGGCACCTCCGTTGACTGCTGTACTTGTCAGATGCTTTTCAGGGGCCTGGGCTGATCTGGGCCAAAGCACAGAAAGAATTCAGTGCGAGTTTCCCCTGTGATGCCTGAGCCGTCACTACTGCTTCTGGGCCTGGTCATTGAACCCAGGCACTGTGGGGTGTGGCAGGGCGGCATCCTAGCTGCTGAGCTAAACGCCCATCCCAGCAACTGTGTTTTCAGATATAACTAATTTAATTGTGAATACCCCTTTTAAAACCACACATGTCTGCCATTGGAAATATACCATCAAAGGATAAGATTTTTTTTTAATATTTATTTTTTTATTTTTGTTTGAAAGTCAGATATATAGAGAAGAAGAGAGAGAGGAAGATCTTCATGCAATGATTCATTCCCTAAGTGAGCGCAACGGCCGGTGCTGTGCCGATCCGGAGCCAGGAGCCAGGAGCTGCTGTTTCTAGGTCTCCCACACAAATGCAGGGTCCAAGGGCCTCAGGCTGTCCTCAACTGCTTTCCCAGGCCACAAGCAGGGAGCTGGATGGGAAGTGTGGCCGCCAGGACACGAACCAGCACCCCTGTGAGATCCCAGGCATGCAAGGCGAGGACTTTAGCCTACTAGGCTACCGTGCCAGGACCTATACTGTGCAGTTTTTAAAAAAGATTTATGTTTACTGGAAAGGCAGATCAGATTTACGGAGAAAAGGACACAGAGGGAGAGATCTTCCACCTCCTGGTTCATCCCCAAATGGCCACGATGACCAGAGTTGAACTAGTTCAAAGCCAGGAACCAAAAGCTTCTTTTGGGTCTCCCATGTGAGTGCAGGGACCCAAGGCTTTGGGCCATCCTCCACTGCTTTCCCAGGCCACAAGCAGGGAGCTGGATGGGAACTGGAGTGGGCTGTTCACAAAACAATGTACAGATGGGGATCCTGAGGCTTGTAAGGTGAAATTCAGCCACTGAGTCATCGCTCCAGGCTCTACTGGACAATTTTGAAGGATACTGGGAGGATGAAGTGGTCCTTAAATGTTGTCCTACGCTGTCTGGGCAAGCTAGTGTACTGTTACTGTTTAGACAGTGCCTCCCTCACTGGCCAAAAGCAGGGGGCAGATGCTGCAGTAGAGCAGAGAGCCTGCTTGGCCCACCAGTGTGTGTGCATCCTGTGCCTGACGCCTGGATCAGGTCCTGTCTGCGTCAGTCCAGCTTCCATTAACGTGCTGACCGTGAACCTGGCTCCCCGCTCCCTGTGTGAGTTCCTGTTGCCTGGGCTCGGGCTGATTCCAACTCAGTGGTTGAGGATATCTGGGAAGGAAATCTCTGGATAGAATATTTGTTGTCCCTTCCTCACTTTCAAATAAATTCTCTTGAAAAAATCAGTAATAACTGATTTTGGTTCGGAAATTACTATTGTGAAAAAACATTTTTAAGCTGCAGTCTTTGTTTCACGCACTTTTTTTTGTAAGCCAATCTTTGGTTCAGCTAGTCTAGGTTGGGAGACTGACCTAGCACATCCTTCCTCAGGTGATGGCATGTTTCAGCTGGTTGAAATCAGAGCATTTTACTTGAACTTGCCAGCCTGCTAATCAGTTGCTGTTTAACTTGCTGATGTCTGGGGGCGCCGTTGGGCACCTCGGGTTGTTGTGATTCCCTGGGGACTTGGTCATTGTCCCCCGAGGACAGTGGCAGAGCTGGGCCTCTGCGTGCTTTGGTCTGGCGCTGCAGGCCCTTGGAAGGGCTCTCGGGCACACTTGTTCCGCGTGTGTGTCGGAATAGTTTATTGGAAGCAAGCTTGTCACATGATTAAACATTAATTCTGAAAATATTTATAGTAAAGTGGTAGTGCATATTTTGATGTGACTTATAACTTAACTTGCCCCAGGATTAAGTCCAGGAAAATATATAAGTAATTAAAACAGTATAAACTGTTATCGAACACTTGTAGCAACATTACATGTTTGTGATATTTGTTTTTACTATAAACTGCATTGAGTCTTTTAGTCCTGGGAAACAAAGTGACTTTTTGTTGACAAAAATTCTGTTGTCATTTGATGTCCTTAATCCTTTATTTTGTTTTCAGAGGCTAGATTCTGAAAATAGTGAAGAGAAAATAAAAACACAATTTTTCTACGGCACTCATAAAGCCTTTTTAAAGAAATGAAACCAGTTAATTTTAATGTCATTTACTAATATTTATCTATCTGGTTGTAAATGTGATCAAATTTAGAATGCCAGCTGAAATAAAAATCTTGAGGCCTTTTCTGTTTCTTTTTAGGCTTCATGGCGTATTAGATAAACTTCGATCTGTTACAACTGGTAAGACTGGATTTTTTTTAAAGATTTATTTATTTTTATTGGAAAGTCAGATATACAGAGAGGAGGAGAGACAGAGAGGAAGATCTTCCGTCCGATGATTCACTCCTTAAGTGAGCGCAACGGGCCGATGCTATGCCGATCTGAAGCCGGGAACCAGGAACTTCTTCCAGGTCTCCCACATGGGTGCAGTGTCCCAAAGCTTTGGGCCATCCTCGACTGCTTTCCCGGGCCACAAGCAGGGAGCTGGATGGGAAGTGGAGCTGCCGGGTTTAGAACCGGCACCCATATGGGATCCTGGCGCGTTCAAGGTGAGGACTTGAGCCGCTAAGGCCACGCTGCTGGGCCCAAGACTGGATTTTTATGGGACATTTCATTTTACAACAGTATATGTTTCTTTTTTCTTTGAGATTATTTACAATGCTTTTGGGGGCAGAAAGTGTAACTTACTTTCGAAGGAGTGGTTCATTTGAGCTTTTTAGGAAGCACCAAGGTTTATGAATGAAAGAGCAGCAGATGGAATGGCTTGGATGCGGAGGGCGGTGCAGTGCTGAGGACTGGTCGTAGGTGTGGGCGGGGCTTCAGGCTCGGGCTCTGGGGTTGTTACTGAGATTTACTGAAGTTCGCCAATAATACATCGAGTAAATCATTTAGTGACTAATATTCAGTTAAAATGAATACTGTAGAAGATAGCATGAATATGCACAGATACGCTATATAAAATTTTCAAAAAATTGGAGTGTATATTCTCAAAAATCTTTGAGGTAATTGATGATCTTTAATTGTTACTTAGAGATCTCCTACAATAGGGGCCCGCACTATGGTGTGGTGCACTAAGCCTCTGCCTGTGGCACTGGCATGTCATATGGTTGCAAGTTCAGGTCCTGGCTGTTTCACTTCGGATCCTACTCCATGCTTGTGGGCTGGAAGAGCAGTGGAAGATGGCTGAGAGCTTTGGGCCTCTGCATGCATGTGGGAGAGCCAGAGGAAGCTCCGGGCTCCTGGCTTTGGAGTGCCTCAGCTCTGACCGTTGCGGCCATTTGGGGAGACAACCAGCAGATTGAAGAGTTCTCTGTTGTTGCTCCTTCTCTGTGTCACTCTTTCAGTAAAAATAGACAATTTAAAAAATATTTATTTAAATTGGAAAAGCAGATCATATTTATGGAGAGAAGGTGAGACCAAGAGGGGAAAGATCTTTCATCTGCTGGTTCACTCTGTAAGTGGCTGCCATGGTCGGGGCTGAGCCAATCTGGAGCCAGGAGCTCCTTCTGAGTCTCCAAGAGGATACAGGGTCCCGAGGCTCTGGGCCATCCTCCACTGTTTTCCCAGGCCACAAGCAGGGAGCTGGATGGAAAGTGGAGCTGTCAGGACACGAACCTGCACTCATAGAGGGTCCCCGAGCTTGCAAGGTGAAGGTTTAGCCAATGAACCACTGCACTGGCCCAGATAAATCTTTAGTAAAACAATTTAAAAACAAATAACGTGTAATGCTTTGGAAATGATAATGAGCGTAGAAAAGCTTTTTAAATAATTACATAAACTAAAAAGACTATGTTTCACTTTTGTTTTTTTCCAGAACCCTCTAGTCTAAAATCTAGTCTAAAGTCTTCTGATACCAAAATCTTTGATAGTAACGTGCCTTCCACCAAGAGCAGTGCGAGTCGGGGCGAGGAGAGGAGGCACGAAGCTGCCGTTCCACCTCTGGCCGTTCCCAGCGGCAGATCTGAGAAAAGAGATTCCAGAGTGTCTGCAAGTCCCCAGGAGCAGAAAAGCACCAACGTCAGGTCCGAGTGCTGCATGGGCGGGGCGTGTGAGGGCCGTGAGTGTGAGCCCGATGTCAGTTGTGCACGTCTCGCTTGCTTGCCTAGCTTTAGAGGGAAGCGATTCTAAGCAGTGTTTAGGAAACGGTAAGACCTCAGTGTGTCTTTTATCTCAGATGTGGGAAATCAATGTTGAAAGTAAGGATGTAAAGTCAGAGTAATTTTGAAAGGAATATATGATGGATACCCACTTTTTCAATTATTTAAAGATTTATTTATTTTTCTTGGAAAGGCAGATTTGGAGAGAAGGACAGACAGACATCTTCCATGTGTTGGTTCACTCCCCAGGTGGCCTCAGTGGCAGGAGCCAGGAGCTTTTGGGTCTCCCACGTGGTACAGTGTCCCAAGGCCCTGGGCTGTCCTCTGCTGCTTCCCCAGGACACAAACAAGAAGATAGATGGGAAGTGGAGCAGCTGGGACATGAACTGGTGCCCTTATGGGATCCCGGCGCATGCAAGGCGAGGACTTTAACCACTAGGCTACTGACCTAGGCCCAATAGCCACTTTTTTAGTGCCTTTTAAAGTTGTCATTCTTGAAGATTGGATGTAAAGTGTTTATCTGATGCTATTTTTCAATAGGCAGACTTGTGATGATGGAACTTCAACCCGGCTGATGTCAACGGTGAAGCCCCTGAGGGAGCCAGCGCCCTCTGAAGACGTGATTGATATCAAGCCGGAGCCAGATGACCTGATTGATGAGGACCTCAATTTTGTGCAGGAGAATTCCTTATCTCAGAAAAAGCCGACCGTGACTGTTACGTACGGCTCTTCTCGTCCTTCGATCGAAATTTACCGGCCACCTGCCAGTCGCAGTGCTGACGGTGGTGCTCATTTGAACAGGTGGCAGCTGCAGCAAGTGCAGCAGCCGAGCAGTGGGCACGTGAGCAAGCAGCTTGGTGCACAGAACAGTCAGGGCTACGAAGCTGGACGTTTGTGTGAGCCAGAAGTACAAGAAACCTACAGCCCTTTCTTCAGAAACAGTTCAGAAAAAGTGGGTATTGAGGAGGTTTGTATGTAACTCTGGCTTGCCGTGCTGCACATGGGTGTGTTTGGATGCTAAATACTTTTTTAAGTAACTAAGCAGGGTTTGCTTTAAACTGATTTCATTGGTACTCAACAAAAGACACTAGATTTCCTTCTCCAAAGCTGACTTCTGGTGATTCTCTTTTTTAATATGTGTATTTAAAAAAATTTATTAATTTCTTTGAAAGGCAGAGTTGCAGAAAGAGGAGAGAGAAGGATCTTGCATCAGCTGGTTCACTTTTCAAACAGATGCAGCGGCCGGGGCTGGGCTCGGCTGGAGGGAGGAGCCCGGAGCTCTGCCCTGGTCTGCCCTCTCAGGGTGCAGGGCTGAGGGCTCAGGCGGCCTGCTGCAGCTTTGTCAGAGCTGGACTGGGTGTGAGGCAGCCAAGACTCAAACTGGCACTCAGGTGATGCTGTTGCCAAAGGCAACGGCTTGGTGCCCGTCTCTTATTTTTAAAGATGTATTTATTTCTTCCAAAGTGGAGTGCCTTGCTGCACCGCGTACCCACTTCCCTGGAGATACTCTGTATCACGGCTGTGGAGCTTGGCGTTTCTGGCTTTTGGCATGAATTTACTTGTCCCTCGCAGTGTTTGGTTAGTTTTAGATTGTTGGTGATAATTTTGTTAGTTTCCTCAGCAGTTCCAAAAGTTGTGATTTCTGTTTTAGCTGAAGATAGGCTGTTAGGCATAGCCAGAGTGTTTAGTGTGAAACAAGTATGCAGTGACCTTTTAATATGATCGAGATGAAACAATGGTGGCAAACCTGTGTTTTTCACAGTTGGGTAAACAAAGTTTTGATTGCAGGATGAAAACTTTCGGAAAAGAAAGTTGCCTGTGGTAAGTTCAGTTGTTAAAGTGAAAAAATTCAATCTTGATGGAGAAGAGGAGGAGGAGGAGGAGGACTACGGCTCCCGGACAGGAAGTGTCTCCAGCAGCGTGTCGGTGCCTGCGAAGCCCGAGAGGAGGTACTGACCCTGCTTCACCCTAATCTCGCCGCCTGATGGAAGGGGGAATCATGGAGATAAATACCAGTCTAATAACAGAAAACTTTGCCAGTGGCTTTTGAGGAATACCTTATGTTGATTAATTACACAGTAGTGAGAGTTAATCATTAACTTTGGAGAGTATTGCAGAAAGTATTAAAAGCTTAATGTGGGGGAGAAATAGTTAATTTAGATTATTTCAAAAAGCTGGAAGGTCCAGTCTGCATTTCCTGAGAACGCCAGCTGGCCTGTTGAGGACCTGGGGAGGGTGTGGTAAAGGCAGTGCGAGGTGACAGATGCACAGACAACTGGAACCTTTCTTAACTCTTCCAGGCCATCCCTTCCACCTTCTAAACAAGCTAACAAGAACCTTATCCTGAAGGCCATATCTGAAGCTCAAGAATCTGTAACAAAAACAACTAATTACTCCACAGGTAATTCAAGTGTGCTATCAGAGTTCTAGAACCACTGAGAAAGCTCAGCAGACTAAACAGAACAAAAGCACCTGTCCGACACCGCAGGCGGCGGAGGGTCCTTCTGCGGGAGAAAGGATTTCAAGTGAGAAGCTGGTGCGATGCAGTTCTTTGAGCATCAAGGAATTCGTGATGGCTAGAAAGGAGCAAAACTGAGTGATTAACTGAAGTTGGGGAAATTAGTTTAAAACTTGTATGTGAATAGGTGAAGCCTCATGGAACATAAGAAAAAGAATTGACCCATTTGTGATATTCCTGCCCCTGTCCCAATGGATGTCTCAAACTGTTTTACAAGTGAGCGTAAAAGTATCACAGAAAACTCATTTTACAGGAAATTCATTGAGAAATGTGAACCAATTGATAGGTGCCATTTTGTGTTGTCATTAACTGCACTCTTTGCCTCACCTGCTGGAACCAGTGCTTAAAGAGTTAAATTTTGGTAACAATTACTCATAAATTTAGCTTTAGATTTGGTGAAAGCTCTCACAGTGCTGTTCTTGCATGGGAGTGTGTTTTGACCTCCCTTCCTAAACTGTAATCTATTTAGATGCTTGTCTGTCCTTTTGTTTTTCTTATCGCTAATTGGACCTTGAACATAAAACTAGATAGGTCTGGCTTATAGAGAAAAAAATAAGTATTATCAGGCAAAGCCAGCATTGTGTGTGTATGTGTGTGTTTGGTCAGCAGTTTTCTTGAGAATGATGAGAAATTTAGAGGATTTTCATGACCTTGGAATTTCCCACCATGATAATAGTTGGAGATTGCCCAAGGGTGTTTTTTTTCTGTTGTCTATTTTTTATTTAAAGGTTTGTTTATTTTTATTGGCAAGGCAAATCTACACAGAGGAGAGGCAGTGGCAGATATGCCATTTGCTGGTTCATTCCCCCACGTGGCCACAGTGATTGGAACTGATCTGAAGCTGAAACTGGGAGCCAGGAGCTTCTCCCCGGTCTCCCATGTGGTTGCAGTGTCCTGAGGCTTTGGGCCATCCTCCACTGCTTTCCTGGTTCATAAGCAGGAAGCTGGATGGGAAGTGGAGCACTGTGGCACAACCGTTCCCTTGTGGCACTTCATGATGCAGGGGTGAACAATTGCACCAGCCTCCAAAGTTTTAAGAAATAGCAAAGTATGAGATACCAGTGCTGTAGCAGGCCTCAGAACAGGATTACAGAATACTGAAATCAAGGTATTTGACTTAAAATGCATACACAGTGTGTTGCCCATGTGTGGGAAGTGTTCGGAAATGCTGTCAGACAGTGAGGGAATGTCTGTGCACTGACTTGGGGTTCTCTTGGTCTGAACCCGAGTCATGTTGATGTTGACGTAGCAAGCTTACTGTTGGCTTTTCATGTGTTTCTGTGTTTGCATTCTCACCTTGTTTGCTTTATGTAAAAGTCCCACAGAAGCAGACACTTCCAGTGGCTCCCAGAACTCGACCCTCTCAGGAGGAATTGCTGGAAGTGGCTCAGGGGCAAGGCAGGATCCCCAGAGTGAGTGCCCCCCTGAAGGACGAGGCAATGAAAGGAGAGAACACAGAAAAAGGCCAAGGTAAGCGGTCTGTGTCACTCGTGGCTAGACTTTGTAATGACGCGTTAAGCGTTTTTAGTTCCCCTGTGAAAACCAGGTTATTGTTAGGTCTGCAGACACAATGAGAGCTGTACTGTGAGGAATGCTCTATATACATATACTTTTCAGAAACATTTTAAAAGGTAAGAAAATAATTTGTATGGAAATTTTCAGCATTTTCAAAAATGGAAAGAATGAAAGCTCTTGAACCCAGTCACCAGTTTTTGTAATTAATAAGAATTCCACTGGTCTTTAGAAAATTTCCACCTTGAGACGCACACTTCTGCATTTTACAGCCTTTTCAAGGTCGTCATTTTTATGTGCCCCTTAAGAGAAGGAACATACACGCACAGAAGCCTCTCAGCGTCTGATGGGGTCCTGTCCCGTGGGGAGCATACTGTGAGGATGCACTTAATTCTACTTAGCTTGCATAGGTCGAAGCTGTTTGGACGGTACTGTCGAACACCTGTTTCTTTAATTAAGTATTGCGCCTTCTCTCAAGGAATGCAGGATGCTGCTTTCTTGCTGGGGGCTGTGGCTCCCCAGAGTCTTGCATCACGTATTACCAACTTGGGAGGATGTACAAGTTAAAGATCGTGGGTGTGGTTTCTGCTGAATGTGGTTGCTTGCGCACTGTCGTGATGTCAGGAAATCATAAGTTGAATGATCGATCATACATCAGGAACTGTGTGTATGATCTGTCATGTTGGACTGGAAGCACTGTGAAAGATGCTTTTTTGTTGTAAGATTTATTATTTATTGGAAAGTCAAATTTATAGAGTGAAGGAGGAGAGAGAAAGATCTTCCATCTCCTGGTTCACTCTCCACATAGTTGCAGTGGTTGGAGCTGAGCCAATAGAAGCCAAGAGCCAGAAGCGTCTTCCGGGTCTCCCATGCGGGCGCAGTGTTCTAAAGCTTTGGGCCATCCTTGACTGCTTTCTCAGGCACAAGTAGGGAGTGGGAAGGGAACTGGAGCAGCCGGGATACGAACCAGTGCCCGTATGGGATCCTGGTGTGGGTGCAGGGTCCCAAGGCTTTGGACTGTTCTTGACTGCTTTCCCATGCCACAAGCAGGGAGCTGGATGGGAAGCAGGGCTGCTGGGATTAGAACCAGTGCCCACATGGGATCCCATTGTGTGCAAGGCAAGGACTTCAGCCACTAGGCTATTGTGCCAGACTCCAAAGATTCATATAAAGTTAACCATTTAGGTTTTTTTGGCAGGGAGGATTATCGTGAGTAAAATCTATATGGGAAACCAAAGATTAGCTGATTCAAGAGAATTCTTAAGCAGAAGCATATAGTGAGTGGTGTCCACCAACTTGTAACCTTATGTATGTTATACAAATTTATTTGTTCTGCCTACAACATAAAACCAAAGGAACTTTCCTTAAGCTTTCTGTATTGATAGATTGGAAGATTTTTTCTTTTTTAAAGATTTATTTTTATTATTTTTTCATTGGAAAGGCGGATATACAGAGAGGAGAGACAGAGAGGAAGATCTTCCGTCCGATGATTCACTCCCCAAGTGAGCGCAACGGGTCGATGCTATGCCGATCCGAAGCCAGGAGCCTCTTCCGGGTCTCCCACGCGGGTGCAGGTTCCCAAAGCTTTGGGCCGTCCTCGACTGCTTTCCCAGCCCACAGGCAGGGAGCTGGAAGGGAAGCGGGGCTGCCGGGATTAGAACCGGCGCCCATATGGGATCCCGGGGGTGCAAGGCGAGGACTTTAACCACTTGCGCCACCGCGCCGGGCCCGGAAGATTTTTTCTTAAGAGTTTATTTATTTTAATTGGAAAGACACATCAGTGTCACGGAGAGGAGGAGAGACAGAAAGGTCTTCGTGTGTTGGTTCTGTCGCCAAGTGGCCGCAATGGCCAGAGCTGAGCTCATCTAATGTCAGAAACTGGAGCTTTATCTGGGTCTCCACTATGGGTGCAGAGTCCCAGGGCTTTGGGCCATTCGTTGTCTTCTTTCCCAAGCCACTGGCAGGGAGCTAGACAGGAAGTGGAGCAGCCCAGACATAAACTGGTACTAATATGGGATCCTGGTGCTTACAAGGCAAGGATTTAGCTACTAAGCCATCGTGCTGGGCCCAGGTTGGAATACTTTTAATACTATTAAAATGTATTATATATCAATATAAAATAGTGGGATGGGACAGTATTCATTGTCCCCAGTGGATTTTTTTTTTGTTAGATTATTTTTATTGGAAAGTCAGATTTACAGAGAGGAGAGACAGAAAGATCTTCCACCTGCTGGTTCACTCCCCAAGTAGCCGCCACGGCTGGACTGCACTGACCTGAAGGCAGGACTGTATTTCGCACACGTGTACAGGGTCCTAAGGCTTTGGACCATCCTCCACTGCTTTCTCAGGCTGCAAATAGGGAACTGGAAAGTTAGTGGAGCAGCAGGGTACAAACTGGTGCCTATATGGGATCCTGGTGCATGCAAGGCAAGGACTTTAGCCACTAGACTATCGCGCTGCCGCTGCTGCGCCCCCCCACCCCCCACCCCCCACCCCCCGTGGGATTTTTGATTCAGCCCAATCTCAGTTAAAATGCCATATGGAGTTTTTGCAGAAATCAGTAGATTGGTCCTAAAATTGACACTGAAGTTAAAAAGTGGCTCTAAATAGCTGAATTTATTGAAAAAGTATTGCTGGGTTTTATTTCTAGTTTCAAAACTTACTGGGCTGGTACTATGGCATAGTAGGCTAAACTTATGCCTGTGGAGCTGGCATCTCATATGGGCACTGTCTGGTGTCCTGGCTGCTGCACTTCTGATCTGGCTCTGTGCTGATGGCCTGGGAAAGCACAGGAGGATTGCCTAGGTCCTTGGGATTCTGCACCCACATGGCTGGGAGACCTGGAGGAGGCTCCTGGCTCCTGGCTTTGACTCGCCCAGCTTTGGCCCTTGGGACCATTTGGGGAGTGAACCAACAGATGGAAGATCTCCTTCCCTTTCTCTCCATAACTCTAAATTTCAAGTCAAAATGAAATAAATCTTAGGAACAACAACAACAAAGAGACATGGAAGACATCAGTGGAACAGACTTGAGCACCCCAAAAGTAACAATTATGTTGGATTTCATCAAAGGAAAAGTTAAAGGGCAGTATCAGAAAATTCAAAACTCAGAGTGGGAATCATTTAATGTGCTAATAGCAAATCAAGGCTGGCTTCTGTCTCCATGTCTTTGAATTCACATCATATAGTATGTATGTTCAAAAAATTTTTTTAAAATTTACTTGATGGGCCCGGCATGGTGGCGCAAGTGGTTAAGGTCCTTGCCTTGCACGCCCGGGATCCCATATGGGTGCCGGTTCTAATCCCGGCAGCCCAGCTTCCCATCTAGCTCCCTGCCTGTGGCCTGGGAAAGCAGTCAAGGACGGCCCAAAGCTTTGGGACCCTGCACCCGCGCGGGAGACCCGGAAGAGGCTCCTGGCTTCGGATCGGCATAATATTGGCCGTTGTGCTCACTTGGGGAGTGAATCATCGGACGGAAGATCTACCTCTGTCTCTCCTCTCTGTATATCTGCCTTTCCAATACAAAAAATAATAAAAATAAATCTTTAAAAAAAAATTTACTTGAAAGAGTTACATAAAGATACAGAGCTGCTTCAATGGTCAGAGTGGAAGGCTGGGCTGCATTGAAGCCAGGAGCCAGGAGCATTCTCGGTGTTTCCACATGGGTGTGGGTGACAGGGCCCCAAGTACTTGGGTAAGCTCCCCTGCCTGCCCAGGGGCTTTGGCTTGGTGCTGGATAGGAGGTGGAGCAACCGAGACTCAGCGCAGTGACTGTTCAAGAAGCCAGTCACTCAGGTGGCAACCTCACCAACTGCGTGCTAGTGTTGCCCTTGGGAATTTTAGCAGATTTTTTTTTTTTTTGTTAGCGGAAAGACAGATACACAGAGGAGGAGAGGCAGAGAGGAAGATCTTATGTCTGATAGTTCATTCCCCATGTGGCTGCACAGCTGGAGCTCTACCAATCCAAAGCCAGGAGCTCTTCCGGGTCTCCCACGGCAGGTGCAGGGGCCCAAAGCCTTGGGCTGTCCTCAACTGCTTTCCAGGGCTGGATGGGAAGCGGGGCCACCAGGATTAGAACCTTCGCCTATATGGGATCCCGGTGCGTTCAAGGCGAGGACTTTAACCACTACGCTATCGTGCTGGGCCCAGCTTAATGTATTCTTAATGCAACATAATTGTAGCAGAATGTACATTCATAATATATATAATGTATTCTAACAGATTTGTCTGTCTTGGGATCCATCCTCCTTCCTTGCCCTCTTCCTACAAAGGACCTCCAGTGCAGTACTGACATTGCAGGGAGAACTGAAACTGACAGATGCTTAGAAATAGGCTGAGGTCTGAGCGAAGTGTTTTCAGCTCCTGCAGCTGTGTGTTCTCAGTGTTGCTGTGTTGCTCAGTGCGTCCTGTTCCTCTGCATCGCCCGTCATATGAAGTGAATAATAGAAAGTTCTTGCTGTTACATGTTTTCTTTTTAGCCAATCAGAAGCCATGATTACTTTGTTCTGATCATAGGGTTTATTTGGAAAGGAGTTTTAAGTGGGGCTTACAGTGTACGAGGGGCTGCGTACTAGGGCTTCTTAGTTGCAGAGAAGAAAAAGTTGATTTGGCGGTCTCACTATTTTCATTGACTTTTAGCTCTTACTCTGGAAGTGTAGCACTGTTATTTTTTTAAAATATGGGTTTTAAAATATTTAAGTAGTTTGTGATCACTATTTTTACTGTTCATGAAGTAATTTAATGGGCTGGGAAGGAGAAATTACTTTATCAAGGGACAGAGGATTTGTTTTCAATGTCTTGAGGTTTCTCTTACCATCTCTACCAGTTTTCCTCTCACCGGAGCAGGTGATTTAGGTTCTGTAATAAATTCCTCTTGTTTACTAAGTGAGAAAGGTAATATTTCCCATTTTCTAAGGAAAATATCCACTGGTATCAATGAAATTAAAGGAATGAAAGCAGTTTTGAGAGTGGAAGCAAATCTTGTTTATCTCAGCGTTAGTCACAAAATGAAGCAAAAAGCTCGTCTTCAGGGGTCAGAGTGAGTGTCCAGCATCGGCGCCTGAGTGCGACAGCGAGTCGGAAGCTCTCCAAGGTGAAGTTAGTTTTGAATCCCACTGCAGGTCTACTGATGTGAAAAAAACTGTCTTCCCTAGAAGCACTGGGGCCTCTTGGGCCCATCCTGTAGGCTCTTTCTACATATTTTGTAGTCGCTCCTTGTGGAGGCAGCAGGTATTGCTGAGTTGCCCATGTACCTTTAGTAGTAAATTTAGACTCTACCTGATTTAGCTGAGAAGCCTACAGAGTATCAGAATGGCAGCTTTTTTAGTGACATTCTCTAAAATGATGTATTGAGAAGATAAGTGTAGAGGGTTGAAAAAAGACTGTAAATGTGAGGGAAGCCATCTTAGGTATATTTTTGTATACAGTTATTTTTATTATTTTATTATTTTTTTTTTACTTGTTTATTAGTAGTATCATTTTATGATACAGTTCCATAGGCCCTGGGATTTTCCTTACCCCTTCCCAAAGTTCCCTCCACTGAGTTCCCCTATATTGTCACTATAGTATAGTTCTTCATAAACAGTTATATGTCCATTTATTGCGGGCACAATGGTAAAGAGTCCAGCATCCTATTATCAGGATAGTTAACAGTTTCTTTGGGAGTTTATCTTTGATCTAGAGGTAGATGTAAACTGCATTGTATTATCCTCATAGTTGGATATGATAATCTCCATTCACAGTTAGTATACATCCCCTTAAATGAAAAGCCACAATACCAAATCAACAACGGAAAGAATAGAAATTTAGTGCCATGAAATTAAATAACATGCTACTGGATATGATAGTCTTCATTACACAGTTACTGTACATCCCTTTAAATGAAAAGCCACATAACAAAACAGCAGGAAAAAAGAAATGAAAAATGCCATGAAGTTAAATAACATGCTCCTGAGTGACTAATGTGTTGCTGAAGGAATGAAAAATAAGGAACCTTCTTAAAGAAAATGATGCTAATGTATAATCTGAGTCGGTGAAGAATTTAGTCAGAAGAAAGTATTTTGAAGAGATGAAACAAAATAAAAGAAAACCCAAATCCATGAGATACGGTTTGCGCTGATCTTTGGTGAGATATGTCTTCTGTAGACAACAAATGGATGGATTTGGTTTTTTAATCCAGTCTACTAATCTATAACATTCAGAGTTAATATGAATGGGTGGTAATTTGGTCCTGTCATTTTAGCAGTGGTTGTTTGTTGATTTAGTCTTCCGTTGTTATTTTACTGGGATGTTCTTCACATTTGTGTTTGGCTTTGGAGGGTGCTATTCCTTTTCTCTGTCAAGAGAAGCCTTCATTGTATCAGAATGACATCTTTTTATTGGCATTTCTAAGATGATGTGTTGAAGATAAGTGTAGAGAGTTGAAAGAAGACTACCTATGAGGGAAACCATCTTCATAGGCATATTTTTCTGTGCAGTTGTTTTTAGAAAATGTTTATTTGAGGGGCTGGTGTGGCAACTCAACTGGCTAATCTTTACTCTGTTTGCAAGCTTCAGTATCCCAAATGGGCCCTGGTTCGAGTCCCAGCTGCTCCACTTTCCATCCAGCTGCCTGCTTGTGGCCAGGAAAAGCAGTGGATGATGGGCAAAAGCCTTGGAACCCTGTGCCTGAATGGGAGACCTCAAGGAAGCTCCTGGCTTTGTATCTGCTCGCCTTGGGCCATTGCTGCCGTTTGAGGAATGAACCAGTGGGTAGATCACTTTCTACCACCCTGTAAACCTACTTTTCCAACAAAAATAATTGTTACAAATTTATTTATTTGAAAGGTAGATTGAGAAGGAGAGATACCTGTCCACTGGTTCACTCCCCGATGTCTACAGCAGCAGAGCTGGACTGCGCTGAAGCAGGGACGGACTGCACTGCAGTCTCCTGCATAGTTGGCAGGAATGGTGATCTGTTACTTCCCAGGCACAGGAGTGGAGAACTGAACTCAAAGAGGAACACGTGGGATGCTGACTGGTGCTTGCTGTGGGATGCAGATACCCTAGGGGTAGCTTAACCTTGTGTACCGTGGTGCCTCCCCTTGCGTATGAACCCAGTTGGCGTAAGAACCTATGGAACAGGCTGGGAAGTCCTGTAGCTGAGCATGCTTTTTAGACAGTCACAGTGCTCATGCTTTGCTGACAGAAGCCTAGTACAGATTTTCTAAATGTTACATTCCATTGTTTTCCCATCCATCCAAAGCTGTCTTTAGCCAACTCCATGCTCAGATAACTGGAAAGTTCTGTTACTGTTGGCACTCATGCTGTGTTTATGATGCATTTGGCTAGGGCCAGTCTTTGGAGGCCAGCATTGCTGTTCCCTTCTCAAGGCACCTCCCCGTGGCTCTTGCACTTTTTACCCACCCTGACCCTGCAGGCTTATCTCCAGTCACAGGACACTGCTGCCCCACGGAGGGGAACAGGAGGTCTCTGTCTCCATTTGGGTAAAATTGTTGTGGTTTTTGCCTTTGCTCTGCAATTGTTCAATTGTACTGTTAAAGCTTCAAGGTTTTTAAAAATGATTTTCCTTTAAGAATCCAGAATCCAGAATGATTAATCCAGGATTTAAGTATGTTTTGTGTCTGCTGTGTGCCAAGTGCCTTTGACACTAACGTCCAGGGCTCTGGATGCTCACCAGGATGCAGCTCTGCCCCGTTGTCCCAGTGCTGTTGCTGTTTGTGCTTTAAGCTTTAGTGAAATTGTGATATTTATGTTCTAGGAATGCAACACAGGCAGTTGTTGTCCCGCCTGCAGATTGACCCAGTAATGGCAGAAACCCTACACATCAGTCAAGGTTAGTGATTTTGAGTTACTATTTCATTCCTTCTATCTCATGTAATGCATCCGATATCTCTTAGATTCTTCCTTAAGCTTATGTATTTAGATGTATGAAAATATTTCAGGGCCACGATATTAGACCTGCATTTTCTTCATATTATGTTTTTGTTGTTGTTTTGCATTATCCAGAAGCTTCTTCCATGCCATTCCACCTGAGTTCCTGGCACTTACTGGCCACATTCTCTCCTGCTAGGGAAAGCTTGAGTCCCTGCTCATCCATCCCTGTGCAGCTTTGGCCTTTGCCTTGAGCTGATCCGGTGCCTTCCCCTCAGCCTAGCTTGGTGTTTGCTTGAGGATCTTACTGCCAGGCCATGCTCCACATGCAGACACGTAGACTGGGCCCTGCGGCCTGGGGTCATTTGTCTATGCGTTCTCAGTGCTGGCTGTGCCCGGCATGGTCAGTGTCTGCCGATGATGCAGAAACAGGGCAGGACCAGTGGGCACCTGGAATTATCTTTTGCCCTTGTCTGTTTCCTCACTTTGCCCTTAGGGAGGTCTGGTCCCCTAGTACCACTGCCATTTAGCCTTTTGCTGAATCTTCTTCCCTCTCACGACTCCACGGTGACTGAGCTCCATGGCACTCTCTGGTACTCTGTCCTCTCTGGGTTGCTTCTGCGCAGAGGCCAGATCCTGCCCGGTGATGACCACATGGTGTCGTCATACATCTCCTTCTCTCCTGGCCCCTCCCTCTCCATCAAGATGTTTAGCTGTTCTCCATCCTTGTTTTTGCCCTTTCATCTTCCAACATTCCATCCTGCTTTTTGTATAAGAATATTTTGTTTTTCAAGAAGTTGGGCAGCCAAAATCTGTATGTGTTGTATGTTCTGCATTTTTCCTTTAGTTTTCTTATCCATGATGTACATGTAGTTGGAAGCATTAGATAGTTCCATAGGATTTTGAATGATCATGTGATCATGGTCTTCCCTCCTGTCATTTTTTAAAATTTCTGAAAATCATTTGTTTCTGCCTTTTTTTTTTTAATATGCTGCCTTTGTTTCATGCATGCAGTAGTTAAGGCAGGAAAGGGAGAAATTGCTCTGTTTCTTTTCTCTCCAGGTTGTTTCTGTTGTCTTGCGTAAGGGCTGGCCCTCAGATGTTTGGACCTCTTGATGGTCCCCGAGGTGGTGGCATTGTGGGTTCTGAGCTGATGCCTGGGGTCCTCTGGCTTCCCATTGTGGAGATGTCCTGGGGGAGTAATGCTCTTGTTCCTGTCTTTGGGGCCCCTTGAAGTTGTTCCTTTGGGGCCCGCCCCTGGGCCAGTCAGTTTATCCAAGAAAGGCCAGAGTTCTGGGAGCTGTGGGGTGCAGTGCTTCGGGGTGGATCACTCCCACAGGTGGTCAGCCCCATGGTTACCCGGCACCTCCCACCGGCTTGTAGGCCTGCTTTCCAGTCCGCGGAGTCGCCCTGGTCCAGAGACACTGTGTTTACTTGCCCGAGAGTGCAAGCTCTGCTTTCTCCAGGAGAGAATGTGTGAAAGGGGGAAAGGTTAGCCAGAAGGTCCGACTCCTTTCAAGCATACTGAATTAGTATAGTTGGACTATATTGTTAAGGTGTGTTTTGTCAGAGACCTAATGTTTCCTGGCTGGGATTCTGCAGCAGGAACCTTAGGGAGGTCTGACTGCAGTCATGGGCCAGCTTCGGGAGTGAGGCTGAGGAGTAAAGCAAGAGCTTGTGGCGTTGGAGTTGAGGAAGAGCTGCTTCTGAGGGGCGTCCTCCGTGTCTGCTCTGTGGCGCTGCCAGGGAGCCTGTGCCGCGAGTTCCACAGTGTGCTTGCGAATCTTAGATTTTAATTGTTCATTTTGCTGAGTTAATTTCATGACTGTCTGTTTCCCAGTTTGGAAATATGGTGTTTTTTCCTTTTATAGCTAACTATCTTTGTTCAAAAATGCTTGACATTTTCTTGGTTTCAAGAGAGAATAAAATATCCAGGTGCAGTTCCAGCTGGTAGGGAGCCCCGGTCTCTCCCTAGAGGGTGTCCCTCCCTCTGCCATGTCTGGCTTCCCAGTGATTCCAGGTCGCTGATGCTGAAGATGGCAGAGGTGCCAGCTGCTTGCAGACAGCAGAAAGCTCCGGTTTCCTGTGTGCTTTGCTCACTTGGCAATAGGTGGCTTGCGTGGCTGTGTTTCTTGTAGCCATTTATCCTTCAGCCTTCAGCATTTATGCTCTCATTTCTTTCCATTTTCCTTTCAGCACCCCTCCTTGACTGTCCCTTTAAAATGTTAACTTCAACATGGATCCTTCCCTCAGCAGTATTATTATTATTTAAATATCTATTAATTTGGAAAAGTTACAGAGAGAGATCCACCATCTACTGGTTCACTTCCAGCTGGCTGGCCCAGGCTGACAGCAGGAGCTTCTTCAGGTCTCCCTCGTGTGTAGAGGGGACAAACACTTCTGCTTTTCCCACACTTCACAGGGAGCTGGACTCAAGTGCAGCAGCCAGGATTTAAACCTGTGCTTCTGTAGGATCCTGTATCGGCAGGTGGTTTTAATTGCTGTGCCATAGCACTGCCTCCTCGGTATTGTTTTTATTTCATCCACAAAAATCCTCCAGTACACACGCACATGGGTTTCAAAAATTTGTATACAAACTAAATTTATTTGAAAAGCAGAGAGGAAAAGAGAGAAAGCTTTCAGCTGCTTATCGATTTCCCAGATAGCCACAGCAGCCAGGGCTGGTCCTGGCTGTAGACCATTCCATGTACCCCATGCAGGTGGCATGTGAGCTGGTAGAACTGTTTTCTTTCACTCTGCAGGATGGGCTGCAGGGAGTCAGGAAGCCGTAAGGCCCACCTGCGATGGGCAGGTCATCTGTGGGCTGTGCTTGGACTGTGAACAATCAGACACTCATTTCACCTTCAGTTCACTCTTGCTTGTTTTTCTCTTCTTAGGATCAAATTTGAATTTTTTTTTTTTTTTTAAAGATTTATTTTTATTATTTTTTCATTGGAAAGGCGGATATACAGAGAGGAGAGACAGAGAGGAAGATCTTCCGTCCGATGATTCACTCCCCAAGTGAGCGCAACGGGCCGATACTATGCCGATCCGAAGCCAGGAGCCTCTTCCGGGTCTCCCACGCGGGTGCAGGTTCCCAAAGCTTTGGGCTGTCCTCGACTGCTTTCCCAGGCCACAAGCAGGGAGCTGGAAGGGAAGCGGGGCTGCCGGGATTAGAACCGGCGCCCATATGGGATCCCGGGCGTGCAAGGCGAGGACCTTTAACCACTTGCGCCACCGCGCCGGGCCCAAATTTGAATTTTTTAAGGATTTTTTTTAAACATTTATTTTTATTGGAAAGGCAGATTTAGAGAGCAAGTCACAAAGATTTTGCGTCCACTGGTTCACACCTCAGTGGCTTCAATGGCTGGGGCTGAGCCAATCCGGAGCCAGGAGCCAGGAGCTGCTTCTGGGTCTTCCATTTGGACATAGTTCCTGAGGCTTTGGGCCATCCTAGACTGCTTTCCCAGGCCACAGGCAGGGAGCTAGATAGGAAGTGGAGCAGCCAGGACATGAGCTGGCGCCCATCTGGCATGTGCAAGGCGAGGATTTAGCTGCTGAGCCATCGCACTGAGCCCCACAATCTGAATTTTTTTCTTGTACAAGTGAAAGCCCACAAAGGATTGGATCCAAATACTTGTGGCCTCTGCTGTGTCCTAAAGCTGCTGTTTGACTTTCCTGTGTTTCTTGTCTCAGCTGCTTCTGTCTCCCTTTGCTTCTGCCCTGACCAGGGAGGTGGGCATGGTCCCGGGGATGGTGGCAGGAGTTGCCCTGCTTTGGGCAGTGTGGGTGTTTTCTCCCTTTCCCAGGTGTGTTGGACAGAGAATGGGTAACATCTGAACTTGAAGCCTCAGCATCTCTCCTGGTCAACGAAAGCCTCTGGCCAACATCTGGAGGCCCTGCTCCTTTCTGAACAGCTTTTCAGAAATCATGTGGATCTTGTCAATTCCCTGCATAGCAGGTTCTCTCGGTTCCCAACTACTCCAAAGTGTTGAGCAGATTCTTCCCCCTTCAGCTCTCCTTGCCCCTTGCGTGTTGGTGCAGCCCGTGCACGTTCCGCGCCTGGCCACAGTGCTCCGTGCCCCGGGGAGCCCTCTGACTTTCTATCCTCGTTTCCTAGCTGTAAAGCACCTTGTCTTCTTCTCTTCTCCTCTCTCTTTCTTCTCTTTCCCCCATTCTCTTTCTTTCCCCTCCCCCAGGCTTCTTCCTTCTCTTTTCTTGACTCCTCACTTGATATACTCATCCTTGGTAAGCTTTTCCTTGATTCTCCAGCTACAGTAGCTGCTTTTTATTCTCCCGACATCTTATTCACATCCCTTTTGGATCACCTTTTGGGTAAAGCTATTCTGCAATTGTATATGTCTGTTGTTCTTTTTTCTGTTCTTTGTGTACCTAGTACAGTACTGTGAGTTGTCTGGTAAATGTTAGTTCCATAGGTGGACGTGAATGAAGTGCCTGTGAAGTTTAATTCCTGTTATTTCTCTTCGTTTTAAAGGAAGTGCATAAGCGCAGGCAGATTGAGAAAGTCACCACAGTTCCTCTGAGGTGCAGGGCTCAGCCTGTTTTAGAAAGTAGTCGTGTTTAGTTCTACGTAGGCTGAGCCTTAAATGTCTATTTAATGCCCTTTCAAAGTAGTCCTGTATTACAACTAGGTAGAATGTACGCCAGCCAAATTCTCTTTACAACATACTCTGCTGTGTAAGTTGTTCCGTAGAAGACAAATATCCATTGTAGAAAGGTCATTTGGTCCATCAATTCTGTGAGCAATAGGACTCGAGCTTCATGCTTTTAGGGAAGACTGTTGTGTCCTCAGGGTCTCCTGTTCTAGGTTGTTAGGTGCCTTGTCTGAGAACTTTGCTCTGTGGCCAGGAGTAGTCATTAGAAGCATTTGTGCCGTCTCGGACACTGAGATCTTTGTCAAAATGGCTGGAATAGAATTGCAGCCCTATTTCTAAGTAGAATCAGTTGTTTTTCCTTTGTATGAATATATGAAAGATTGACATTCTTCTCACATGTGTGATGTTGGGAATGCAAGGTATATTCAAAAGTAAACATTTGTGGCCAATTTTTTTGGCTCAGATTACTATGACATGGAATCCATGGTCCATGCAGACACAAGATCATTTATTCTGAAGAAGCCCAAGCTGTCTGAGGAAATAGTAGTGGCACCAAACCAAGAGTCGGGGATGAAGACTGCAGATACCCTGCGGGTACTTTCAGGACACCTTATGCAGACACGGTAGATGGTTTCTTTTTCTTATGCAGCTAATTTGTGTGGTTACATAGTTCAGTTAACCATGAGTTCCCAGCTCCCCCCTCCCTCCCCCAACCCCCAGAGTAGAGTGCTTCTATTCATTGAGAAGCTAGGCCAGAAATAGTTAGCTAGATTGCCCTTTTCAACGATTCTGATTCGCATCTTTCCTGCAGACAAATGAAGCCACGTTGTGTGATATATACCCATTCATAAGATTTTTAACTGTATTTATATCCAGGAAATGGATTTCTGAAAGCCAGGTTACTAAAATCAAGAAATCTAGAGTTAGCACATGGGGTTTGGATGATTCTTAAGTGTGGCATAAGAGCAAATGTACAGTTAATAAAATGAGAGTAAATAGCATAGCGTATCAGTGGTACCGTTTTCTTTCCATGGTGGCCCTAGTGAGATCAGATGTACCACTGGGCTTGGGGGGCGGGGGTGGTGGGTGTGTCTACTTGGGATGGAGGGTTGCCAGTGCTGAGGGCCTCGTGCGAAGGAGCCACCACCTCTGTGCCTGAAGCTGACCAGGTCGGGGCTGTGGCTTGTTGTCTTGCATTTGATTTTTCTGAGCTGAGCTAAACGCAAAGCAGGGGAGTGGTCGTTGTGCTGAAGTGTACGTTAGGAAGCGCAGCGTGTCCTGCTTGTTTCCCTAATTCTATGGTATTTTTTATCTGTCTGGCAGAGATCTTGTACAACCAGATAAACCTGCAAGTCCCAAGTTTATAGTGACGCTGGATGGTGTCCCCAGCCCCCCAGGATACATGTCAGATCAAGAGGAGGACATGTGCTTTGAAGGAGTGAAACCCGTAAACCCAGCTGCAGCCTCACGTCAGGGACTCAGAGGTCTCCTGCAGCCGCAGCAGTTGCAGTTGCTCAGCAGGCAGCTTGAGGACCCAGATGGTAGCTTTGCCAACGGTGTGTGAGAGCTCAGAGGTGCCCTTCGCAGGGTGCGGTGGCTGGGGAGAGCATCTCTGTCTTGTTTCTCTACCGTGAATGGAGCCTGAGTGATGCGAGGCCTTGCTCTGATGAGTAACGCCTGTTTTTCATTTTGCAGACAGAACTACTGGGCAACTTTAGGATCTTCCTCCCGCGTGCTTTGTAGGTGGGCTGTGTGGAAATCGGCCACGAAAGCTAAAAATGCCTCCTCTTCACTGTTGTTCTTGCTACTGTGTCTGCCTTGCTTGTGTTCTTTAGAAACTATTCCCTTACCTCCCTCTTCTACAGGCAGTTCTTCTATAGTTAACAGGGAGAAATTAGTGATTTTGTTTTATTCAGGCAAGTGAGAGAGAACGCCCCCTGTTGATTGGCAACCTCCCACTGAGGCAGGCTGCAGTTGCGAGCCAGGGACTCGGTCCAGCTCTCCTGTGCGGATGGCAGGAGCTGATGACCTGTGACCTGTGCCCCAGGGTGAGCTTTCCCAGGAAGCTGGAGCTCTGACACGGAATGTGGGCATCGCCACTGCCGGGTTTACCGAAGTGCTCACCTCAGCTGTGGGGTTTCATGGTGGAGAGCAGTATGTGGCAGGACTCGGGTGTGCTCAGTGCATCCTTGCTGCTCCACGGGTGTCCGTGACCACTGCGGCCAGCAGCACTGGCTGCTCTTGTGTGATGGAGGATGGCCAGCTTGCACCTTGTGGTCTGCTGACACACCTGTTAACAGTACCTCTTGAGTAGCAGGAGAGACTTCCTGGATCTTTTTGTTTTCCTAAGGATTTATTCTTTTCAAGAGAGAGAGAGACAGAGATCTATCCTCTAGTTTTCTCCCTGGATAGCCGCAGCAGCTAACACGGGCAGGGTCCAAGCCAGGAGCTCTCCCAGGTTAGTGCTGCCTTGGACTGCTTTCTCCAGGCCATTAGCACAGGAGCTGTGTTAGAAGTAGAGCAGCTGGGACCCGGACCAGCGCCTGCGTGGGATGCCAGCATTGCATGGGACAGCTTCACCTGCGTCCAGAATTAGAGGGGCTTAAAAATGAACAGATTCAAAGGAAAAAAATAAAGTGGATTTTGAAATTTTTTCCAAGTAATCTGTATTAAATAATTTAGTTATTAAAAGCATAATAACCCATAGGGGGATCAAGAGTCAGCGAAGCAGCAGCACTGTAAGCTTTGTAATCTTTGCTGCTGGAAAAAATTAGTGTAGGGAGTTGAAAACCTGATCTGTCAACTGGACCAGTTTCAAAATTGCCAATGAAGTAAAAACTGCAGTTGACTTATTTTGCCTAAAACAGGAGAACTTTTTTTTTTTTTTTTTTTGTGCTACTCTTGGGTTTTCAGTGTGGTGAAATCTGGTCTCTTAAGCTATAACTTACAGAAGTGCAGATATCCATGTTAGATGTCATTGGCATCTAAGCAGCTACAGTGACATTGTAAGTGACCTGTTGGTCAAAAGTCGTTTCTTGATTGCACACAGCTGGGGCTTGGGGCCATGGTGGGGCCATGGTGGGGCCAGCTGGGCAGTGGTGAGCCAGGGACGGGGCTGCGGAGGGACAGGGGAGCAGGACTTGCTGGGAGAGGGAACCTTGCAGCAGGGAGAACTGAGTGAGGTGGGCACTGTCCTTTCCCCTTTCCCCTTCGGTGTCCAGGTGGGAACTTGCGATTACATTTTGTTTGTTTTCTGTTTCAAGGGTGCTAGGCCAAGCTACCAAGAGCAACCTGTGTGTGAAGCCATAGCTTCTGGCCATCCTTACATCATTGCATTAGCACAGATCTTTAGCTTTTAATAAAAAGAATTATTTCTTGAAACTTAAATAGGAAATGTTTGAATATAATATCAAGTCAGTGCCATTTGGGGAAAAGCAGAGTTGTGACCCTTGTGCACACGACTTAACATTTCAGTCAGAAAGTTGGAGTTGCCGGTGAAGCTTCTCTAGTGTTGCCTTTGCGTTTCTAGCTGCCTTATACCATGTATTCCTGCCATGTTGCTCGCCACCAGTGAGTAATTTCCCCTCTGTAATGAGAAGGTGTACACTATTGTCTACTCTCTGTGGCCCAGGAGGGTAAGATAAAACACAAGGTCCTCGTTCCCACCCCATCAGGACTTTGTTTAGAACCAAGAATATCAGCAGTGCATTTAAGTCCTAGAGCTCAAATACATTTGATGATGCTTCTGTCTGGGCTGCAGGACTGCACTGGTATGCTGGGTCTCTTGTAGTAAGGACAGAAGTGAGGTCACTGGAGAGCAAGTTGGTTGCTTATTTATTCAATTTTCCATTTAATCATCAGCCTGGAGGACATCGTGAGGAAACTGAAGTTCAGAGACTTTAGCTAACACTTGCCCCTAGTATCTAGCTAAGCTGTCAAGTGGTGGGCCATGTTTGAACTTGAACCTGACCAGTGGCAGGGGGACTGGAGGGATTAGGTGATACTTTGAGAAACACAAAGTGAACTGTAACAAAACACTACTAATCTCATGATACTGTGTGTGTTTCTTGTGTTTCCCTAGAATGTCCAGGTTAGAATGTGGCAGATGTGGCCTGTGGCTGTGGCATGTGTGATTTTGAATCCAGTGTGCTAGATTTGAAATAGCTGCCTGCATTTGAGGCATGCAGAAAGGAAGGCTTTTGGCTTACGGGACACAAGTGCTACCGTGCTGTCAGTAGCTGACGCTGTCATTGGACATGTGAAAAGTGGATAGTGGCTGCCCTGCCTGTCCCTGTGTGCTCATTAGCAAGTCTTGTTGCAGCCCACCTGTCCAGCCCCACTGGCAGCGTTAGGGAATGGCATCCTGATCTGTTTTAGACAAAACGGTTTTCCTCTCTGTAGATGTGAGCTTAGCACTGGACTGACAACTCCAGTGAGTGGGAACGCTTCTTACTGGGAGGAGTGGTCTTTTACATTTCCTTATATTTACAGTTTCTATTTAATTACATTCGTTTCCTGCTGCCATCCTTCCTTCTCTTTCATATTTACTTTGGTTCTGAACTAACACGGAGAACTAGAGATTTCAGTGAAAACTTTGACCCTGTTGGTAGAATCAAAGCTCACTTGGGTTTTCACATTGAGAATTGTAGGCTCTGATCTGTTGTAGGGTTTTGTTACCAATGCTTGTCCGATTATTTGGGGTGACATGTTCTGAAAGACGGTAGATGTTGGGATGGGGTTTGAGGGAGTAAGGTGAAGGGGCAGAGGTGACTAGAACTAATGAGAGGCTTTCGTTCCTCCCCGCAGCTGAGATGAGTGAACTGAGTGGTGCACAAAAGCCAGAGAAGCTCTTGGAGCGCTGCAAGTACTGGCCAGCTTGTAAGAATGGAGAGGAGTGTGCGTACCACCACCCTGTGTCACCCTGCAAGTGAGTTGCAGCGCACGGCGCCCCCTGTGCCCTTTTCTCGGTTCCTCGTGGGGCTGCTGTTTGCGTTGCTGTGGACTAAGTTGAGTTGCAGAACTGAATGTGTTGGCACTGCCTAGGGCTCCCAGAGCAGCATGCGTTTGTGTGTGCTCGGGACTAGAAGCTATCTGGGCTTCCCTGAGGATGTTGTGCATTGGACAGGTAGTATGCTCTGTGTTCTGACACAGATACAGATTTTGAGGTGTTGTGGAAAGTTGTGGGTAATTAAAAAAAATCAGTTAAAATTTTATTTTTTAAAGGTAGTTTACAGAGGAGACATAAGAGGTGTTTATCTGCTGGTTTCTTACGCACAAATGGCTGCACTGCCCGGAGCTTGGCTGGTCTGAAGCCAGTAGCTTCTTCCGGGACGCCCACATGGACCATCCTCTGCTGTTTTCCCAGACACATTAGTAGCGAGTTGGATCAGAAGTGGAGCAACTAGGATGCAAACTGGCACCCATACTGGGATACTGGTTTTGCAGACAGTGGCTCTACCTACTGTGTCACAGTACAGGCTCCAAATATTTTACATTTGTGTTCAATTTGTTCTTTTTGGGTGACTGACTACAGTTGCTTTGTGAGATGGCTTTTAGGATGTACATTTTGTCTTATGAATGGAATTGCTTCATGTTTAAACTTTGTGGAATTAATAGTTTTTATGACTTTAAAAAGTTTACAGAAAATGGAAAAGATAAGCTTACTTTGATGTGAAAGTTAAACTGCATATGAGGAGCCCTCAAACTGTTCACAAAATATCTACATGTCCGTTGTTGGTGAGGCACGTGTGCTGGTTCACTGCCCAGGGTGCGCGGCAGCTGGGGATGAGCCAGCCACAGTGCCAGCTGAGTCTCTCTTGGGGGCGCGGGGCCTCGCGTCCTTGAGCCGTTGTCTGTGTTTTCCCGGGCACATTTTCAGGGAGCCAGGCTTCAACCAGCACTCTGCTAAGACAACCGCGACACCATGCCTACCCTTGCAGTATTTTTTATTTCCATTGTTGAACACTTTTTTTTAAGGATTTTGAAAGAACCATGGAGAGAGGAGGGATAGAGAATAATATTCCATCTCCTGGCTCACTCCCAAAAGACTGTAGTGGCCGAAGCTGGGAGCTTCTTTGGGGTCTCCCACATGTGTGCAACGCCCAAACCCTAGGGCTGCTCTTGGCTGCTTTCCCCTGATCATTGTTAGGAAACTGGTTTGGAAGTACAGCTGGGACATGAACCACATCGGACTCCAGTACCGACTGAAGTACTCCACGTAAGACGACATTGGATGAGTCTTTTAATATTTATCCTCCCCGGTGACCACACCAGCCCGGTCTGGACTAAGCTGAAGCCGGGAACTCCAAACTGGCCCCTTGTCATGGGCAGCATGTCCAGTCCTTGTACCATCCACCAGCAGTGTGTATGTGGGCCTCTGGTTGAGTCTTTTAGCACATGCCTTGCTTTCCGTCCTTACTATAAAACTTATAATAAAATGCAAATATTTGGACCTTGAGTACGGAGTAAGCGGGTTATCCTTGTGACAGAAAGCTTTTATGGTGATTGTGGTGACAGCTTTTAGCACAAGGCTGTGTCCTAATTTGATATCTGACCTGATTTACAAATGGAACCTTTTATTTTGGGATCTCTCAAAAACAATGAAGGGGGTATGAAGAGCTTCTCTACAACATACTAACACTGCCTCGAGGAAAGTAAACATGAATGTGCTTTTTTTGTTTCATAGAGCCTTCCCCAATTGTAAATTTGCTGAGAAGTGTTTGTTTATTCATCCAAATTGTAAATACGATGCAAAGTGTACTAAACCAGATTGTCCCTTCACTCATATGAGTAGAAGAATTCCAGTACTGTCCCCAAAACCAGGTGAGTGGCTTTGTGTGTTTGTACCTCATTAAGGTTAAAAAGAAAATATTTTCTAACTGTAAATAGAAGACAACAAAAATGTTGGAAGCAATTTTGATAGGCATGGTTTAAACAGTCTTTAGAGCAAATGTGTCCTGTTGTTCTGAAGAGTGCTTATTGACTAGTGAATATGGAAAACTCACCATCCTAATTTAAAAATGGTTTTTATCTTATAAATACGTCAAGATTTTGTGAGACAAGATTTGTTCATTCTTCATTCTTTTATTTTTTTTTTTTTTGTTCAGTTACAACACCAGGAATACCTTCTAGTGGTCAGCTCTGCCGTTACTTTCCAGCTTGTAAAAAAATGGAATGTCCCTTCTATCATCCAAAAGTAAGAACTTTTATTTGCCTGAAAATTGTAACTTCTTAGTGTTATGTGAGGTCATTAGTAAGTTGAATATCTTGTTTTCCTGTTACACCCTCTTTCCAAAGTGATGTCTTAGTTGTTGCTAAGGCCCCGTCGTGTGCCTACGCGCTCCTGGTCTGCTGCTTAGACTACATTGTCTAGAATACCTTTGTGTTGGTGGCCTAAACTCAGGGGAGGTAGTGACAGCTTGGTCACATTTTTCCTTTTTTGTGCCTCTGACCCATATGTACCTTGTGTCAGAATCATGGAGAGCAGTCCAGTAGTTCTGCTCAGTACCAGCCAGGGAGCAGGGTGCAGCCCACAGCCAGGGAGGGGCCTTCGCCTCTCCCGCTTAACTGAGGGATATTGCAGGAAGTGGAGAAATTTGCATTGTATGCAGTTCTCTGGGATTTAAAAAAATACATGTATCGGGCCTGGTGTGGTGGCATAGCAGTTAAAGTCCTCGCTTTGAACATCCAGGATCCCATATGGGCACCAGTTCTAATCCCAGCAGCCCTGCTTCCAACTTCCTGCTTGCTGTGGCCTGGGAAAGCAGTTGAGGACGGCACAAAGCCTTGGGACCCTGTGCCTGAGTGGGATATCTGGAAGAGCTCTGGCTGATGCAGCAGCTTGGGGAGTGAATCATCAGATGGAAGATCTTTCTCTCCCCACTTCTGTCTCTATATTTGACTTTGCAATAAATAAACATATATTTGAAAGAAGGGATACAGATCTTCCATCCATTGGTACATTCTCCAAGTGTCTGTGGTGGCTGGGACTGAGCCACGCCTAAGGCAGAAGCTAGGAGTTCTTCCAGGTCTCCAAGCATTTGGGTGATCCCCTGCTGCCTTCCCAGGCACATCAGACTGGAGCAGTGGCAGATGTGTGGAGCAGCTGGGACCTGTGGCCACGTAATTGCTGTATCAGTGCCAGACCTTCTCCCAGAATTCTTGCATGCTGGATTGTTTGGTTAGGAATTTGTGTGCCGAGGAAGGTCACTCGTCAAGGCATCCCTGCATTTACCCTGTGGTGGTGGTTGGGATGGCGCAACTTGCCTGTGGCTCACACACTGCGCTCTTCAGCATTGCAGGTTTAACACTCAGTGTACAAGACCGGACTGCACATTCTACCACCCCACCATTACTGTACCACCACGACATGCCTTGAAATGGATTCGGCCTCAAACTAGGTAAAGATGGACATTTTTATCAGATACTTGTTTTAAATATGTAATTTGCAATTTGCTTATAAGCGTACAAATGTGGAGGAACCGGAGGTTTCTTTAGCAAAATAATTTTCTATGGGCTCACATTTTATCCAGTGATTTTTAAACTTTAATGATCCTCTTCAGATCAGATTTTAATATTTGTGTCTGTATAGCCATAATGAAAGCCAGCAGGCTTTACATATTCATATACTGTTTATTAATCCCACATATTTTATTAGTTTTAAAGCATTTAAAGGAAGGTTGAGTGTTTTAGTGTAGCCTATAAAATCGTTTCTTTGTGCTTTATAGCATAACTTAGTTTCTTTTTAAGAAGTCATTTGATAATCTAATGTTCTCAAGATTTTAGGTGAGGTACTTGATATCGTGGGGATATAAAGCAATTAATTAAACGTGTGTTTTTGTTCAGCGAGTGACCCAGTCCTGCCTGGCAGAAGACTGTGCAGTTTCCATCTCCTGCTGAGACGCTGCAGAACTTGGTCAGACCTTTGAAACGTGGACTATACTGCTTTCCTAATAGGAGTTTATTGACTACTTGAAGTGTCTAATTTTTCAAATTTGTGAGCTTATTAAGTGGTTTTAACATTTGGTGTTTTGTTTTTTTGGTTTGCTGTCTTTATGAAGAAAAGCCAGTTTAAGGAAAAGCTAAAATTCTATTAAAACATTTCAGGCATGTTTGTATGCTGCTGTCTTAAGTATCAGCATTTAAAATGTGCTCTTATTGTCAGCAATGTTCTACAAGGGTCCACCATTGCTGTGTGTACAGAGTAGCGAGAATACTGGAAAGTAGTCATTTAAAAATTAATTGCTGCTTTCACTTTTTCCAAAGATGACAATGTTCATAGCCCCCCTTGGGAGTAAGTCACGGGCATTCTGTGCTGCTTTGAGTGAGTGCCACTTTGGTAAAACGGTTCCTAAGTCTCCTGATCCTCTGAAAAAGATGAGCGAGATGGGCATACAGGGTGGAAACGGTTGAAATGACAAGTGCAAAAATATGAACAATTCCTTAAAATGTTTTACTGTTAACATACTTTTAAAATAAAATTTGGGGAGAACTACATTATCACAAAGTCATACAAAATTTGTACAAGTATATACATAAGATATCAAACTCACAATATTATAAATAATTTCCACATTCTGAAAAATTTCTCAGAACGCTGCAGAAAATATAGGTATTACTGAAGATAACTTTGGATATCTAAAAATTAGATTTAAATACTACATTTTAAATGTCAGAACTATACACTTACAGAGTAGATGGGTAAACCAAAAAAATCAAACTTTTGGCCTTATTATAAGTTTTGTGTATCTGATTTCTAAAATTGTTAAGGCAAGAAGTGTCAAATGCTTTAGAATTAACAAATCGATCACCAATTTCAAAGACTTGCTGTATCAGTGTTTTTTAAAATCAAAGGTTAAGTGGTTAGAAAAAAGACATTTTCAGGACCAAATTAAATAAACTTCTCTAAGAAGAAAACGCTGCTTGACTAAGTCCTATCCTGATGGATACTAAACCCACACATTTCCAAGTCCATCCAGTGGAGTTCTAGAGCCAGCAGCTGTCTCCCGTGTGTCCGTTGCGTTTCCATTGGAAAGAGAAAGCATTAACCAGTCATGAAACCGATCAGGAAGTTAAAGTTTGTTGTGTTGAATCACAAATAAAGACAACACTAAAAAAGCGAACGCAGCACAAAGGGCGTAAAGCTGTGGTGTTAGGCTCGAGTGCAACGCTCATTCCACTGCATTCCGAAAGCTGCTTCTGTGGAATTTAAGGCATTGATTCCCTCATTGTTACCTAAGATGCTTCATGTCTGCAGAAGAAATGGCCTTTTTAAAAGTTTCTGGAAGTAGACCTTATAAATGCTGTCTCATTATATTCTCATAGTTCTGAAGAACAGAAATACGAAATAAGGACTTCAATGGTATATTATAGCATATGAAAATCAGATTTTTCCTGCTAGCAGACACCGTCCAGAAACACACTGAAGAGTTGTGTTCTTAGTTCTGATGGTTATGGGCTAAAACCATTGCCTGGATAACTTTTCTAAAATGAACCATCATGAACAAGGGAGGGAATGACTGGTTGGGCACAAAGTGCACTGTGTGCATGTGTACAAATAAAAGGGGCCCGAAGTCTCAGGTTACAAATTCAGGGTCTTTTATACTACACACAAAAATAATTCTCTGGGTTAAAAAAATATACACGTAGGGGTAATTCTTTGTGGCCTGTCAGGTTTTGCATCTCCCTTGTGAAGTGACCAGAGCAGGCTGTGGAGCTGGCAGTGACTAAGGCGCATTGTCAGATTGACCTCTCGGAAGGAGGCACTGCCCTGGGCCTTTCTCCTACACAGTCGCTGGCCTACGCTCCTAGCTCTTACCTGCACTGAAATGGAATGTCTCTGAAGTCTAAAGTTTACAGAAAACCCAGAGGGCAACTTTAAAATTGCAAGAGGCTAAAACTTGCTAGTATTTTACTTTTCATGGGGAGACGTCTCATGTTGCTTGACCCCTTCGTCACACTTTCAGTCACTGGTTAAGCTTTCTGTGGCATTCTCTGGTTTTGTATGCACAAACTCTTTATGTGAAGATTCTGAACAGGTTCTCCAATATGTGACAAGATGTCAAACCAGACCAAGATTCCAGAAACCTGAGGGGATTTATTGTGCAAAAATAATTAACATCAGAAAATAAAAATTCATAGGACCAATAGAGCATATTCAGTTTCCTCACACTTAGAAAAATATATCTGCAGGGAGCAGTCTAGGTCCTTTCAGTCCTCGGGAAGCTGGCGGGAGGCTTCTGCCTGCCCAGAGCGCTCCTTGGGCAGCATTTCCTGTGCGAAGGGTGCAGGTGCCCTGGAACCATTCGGGTGGGAAACCACCCACTGGGTGGCAACATTTAAATAAATTCTCCCAATAGAAAACTATAATATTTGATTTCAAGAGTTATTGTGTAATTAAGCAGGTATGAATTTAATGTTTTTACATGCTAACATTTATATCTTTAAATATAGAATATTTTCCAGTAATTACTATCTAAAACCCTTTAAAAACTGTACACCATTGGATATTATTAATTCATTCTACTACTTTCCCACTGATGACAACCACAGTCATGTTTTAACTTTTGGGCTAAAGAGATGACCTCTGAACAAAGATTAACAACTAAGAACAAAGCAAGCAGACAGCACCGGAGTCAGACTTCGCTGTTTCGGATCTGCCTGCATTCAAAACTGCAGTGAGCGTGTCCTTCACCTACAGGACTTCCTGTGCTCCGGACACTGTGTGTCTGCTGTTTGCTTTCTAGAAGCTGCTCCTGGAGGGTGATGGTGGCTTTCCCTTCCCTCATGGAAACGCAAGGGTTAGGCTAGCTCGTTCAGCAGCGAGCCTTAGAAACAAAATACAAAGGGTAACATGGGGAAAATTATCCGAGGGTTTTTTTTTTTTTTTTTTTTTTGAGGAGTGTTGTGCCCTTAATAGTTTGCACATTCCTCAATAAAGGGGGAGGGCAGGTTTGCATCAAGTACACTGTCCTTTGCAGCGTATTACCTGGCAATGCGCAGTTACCAGTGCACGCAGCACACCCTGAACTCGGATGCTTCTCACGGCTGCAGTCGGGTTAGCACCACTTGGTCGTGCGGGTTTTGGTTTTGGGTGTTTAAGTCTGATCTCGGTGGTGTCACTGCACTTGCTCATCTCGGCATCCAGATCCCTCAGTGACTGGCATGTACGCACTTCCAGACAAACACACTGTAACCAGAGTGAGAACAGTGCAGGTTGCTTTAACACTTCGACATTTACACCGTTTTTCAGTTGAGCTTTCAAGTTCTACCTGTAATATTTTCCCTGTTCACTCCTTTTAGTCTGTGTAAGCAGATGACTCCAAGGAGCTGTGGGTTGTGCTACCTTGTGAATTAGTACAAGTCTGCTCCACTTCTCGGGCTGCGACACCACTCACCTGCAGTCCTCACCTCCAGCACTGACCACATGTCGGTCCCCACTGGTAAACCGAATATTTGTCACATGGGGTGAATGTCCCAAGAATCGTTTGTGCTTTGCCTAAATAGGGAAAAAAGAAAGAAGAACAAAGCTTGGCGTAACTGATGTATGCTCAACCCAAAGGTTTCCATTAGGAACCCTCATTCTATCCCGAGAGCCCTAGCGAGCCCTGGGGGTCAGGAACCCCCTGAGAGCCCTGGGGGGTCAGGAACCCTTACTCTGTCCCCAGAACCCTGCAGAGCGTGGGAGTTAGGACCACAGCCAGCAGAGGGCGCTTCAGAGTTAGTAGTGGACTGGAAATTTGAACAGTGGGTGGTGAGATGTCTCCAGATAGCTGAATTTTTTTTTCCTCCTGAGGAGAAATACTTGAAATGTGGTGACTGTAGGTTTAGTGAAAAGCCAATTTCAGCTTTGCTGGAACAGTTTTCTTAAATGGGATTGTGGGAAGGAAGAGGTTTGTTCAGTGGCCTTTGATTTGGGTTAGGAGTTGCAATGGAAATTTTAGAATTGTCAATATTTTCAAGTTCTGTGGGGGAAAGAACTCATCTAAATTGGGAATAAAGGGATACAACAAAACAAAAACTTACAAACTTTTCTGGACATGGGAAGTCAAATAACTTGACCATGCCGAAGTCATCCCCTGTTACAAGGCTGATTCCGGAATGCGACACACAGGCACAGGTGACGTCCGCCTTCTCGGTGTGTCTGGGCCAGATTCCCATCACTTCATCACCCAAGGTACTGCAGGGGAGGAGCAAGAGGAAGTCCACAGGAGCACGCAAAAGCAGGTGCGCGATAAGGAGTCCTTGCAAATTCATCTCTCAATACCGATCTGTGTTACCCAGCAAGTAAGTTATAAGGCAAGTTAGAGACTACTTGAATTTAGACTTATGTTCAGAATGAAATTTTATAATTTGGGCTCCACACAATGGCTCAACTGGCTGATCCTCCACTTGGAAAGCACCAGAATTGCTTATGGGCTGTGCTTCATGTCCTGGCTGCTCCACTTCCCATCTGGCTCCCTGCTTGAGGCTGGGCCTAAGGCCTTGGTCCCCTACACTCCTGTGTGATACCTGTAGGGGCTCCTGGCTTCCAGTTTCCTGAGCTCTGGCCATTGCTGCCATGGGAAGGGAGCAAGCAGATGGAAGATCCGTCCCTTCTCTGCAGATCTGCCTTTCCAATAAAAAATTAAGAAATCCTTACAGCTTATAGGACATGTACATTAATTATCTTTTTAACTTTCAATCAATGCTTTTTTTTTAAAGTCATTTTTTAAAAAGATTTTTATTGCAAAGTCACATATATAGAGAGAGGAGGAGAGACAGAGGAAGATCTTCCGTCCGATGGTTTACTCCCCAGCTGGCTGCAATGGTCGGAGCTGAGCCAATCCGGAGCCAGGAGCTCTTCTGGGTCTCCCATGTGGATGCAGGTTCCCAAGGCTTTGGGCCGTCTTCAACTGCTTTCCCAAGCCATAAGCATGGAGCTGGATGGGAAGCGGGGCTGCTGGGATTAGAACCAGTGCCCACACGGGATCCTGGTGCATGCAAGGCGAGGACTTTAACCACTGCACTATTGCGCTGGGCCCAATCAATACTTTATGTAAGCTGTTAAAACTATTTTTCGAACTAAAAGCAATACTTAGCTATAGGAATTTCAAGGCCTTTTTCATTGACTAAAAGTGGTGGTTGCGGTTAGCTGTCATACAGCCAGCAAATCTGAATAAGGAATAAGGTATGATTTCTCCCAACTTCCTTTAGGAAAACAGTATGTTAACACCCAGTATGTGCTTATATTTAACATTTAGGAAAATAGGGCATCTTCTAATTTATAACTTTGATTTTTGCTCTTTTTGTGAGAACTCGATTTATCCTGAAACTGATAATGCTTGAAAAAGATCAGTAAAAACCAATTCCAGCATAAACTTATTAAGTTTATTCTCAAGGTTCATTAATAAAAACTCAAGCCATTCCACTGGTAATCATGAATTTTAACTTTTCAGAAACAGGTTTTCCCAGGCTTTCCGGCCTGCCAAGCCAGTTCTGAGAACTGAAGTAGTTACCTGGTCCAGGTGGCCCATGTAATCCTGTCAACAGCTGCAGGATCCAGAAGAGGTTTCCCTGAAGGCACTTCGTAGACATGCCGTTTGTAGCAGCCACTGGAAACCTTTGTCATGGGAAAATGAGACAAAGATTCTGTAAGGTGAGAGGCAAAATCCACCAGCAAATTCTACTTGATTACATGTCTAACAGGAAGAATGCGTGAAATGAGGCCTAGTGTTGTAGCCTAGTGGCAAAAGTCATCACCTTGCATGTGCTGGGATCCCATATGGGCGCCGGTTTGTATCCTGGTTGCTCCACTTCCCATCCAGCTCCCTGCTTGTGGCCTGAGGAAGCAATGGAGGACGGCCCAAAGCCTCAGGAGCCTGCACCTGTGTGGGGGACCCAGAAGAAGCTCCTGGTTCCTGGCTTCAGATTCAGTTCTGGCCATTGTGGCCGGTTGGGGAGTGAGCCAGCAGAGGGAAGATCTGTCTCTCCTCCTCTCTGAGAATATAACTTTCCAGTAAAAATCTTTTTCAAAGATATATTTTAACTTTTTTTGGAAAGTCAGATATACAGAGAGGAGAAGAGACAGAGAGGAAGGTCTTCTGATGACTCGCTCTGAAGACAGGAGTTTCCTCCAGGTCTCCCAAGTGGGTGCAGGGTCGCAAGGCTTTGGGCTGTCCTGGACTGCCTTCCCAGGCCGCAGGCAGGGAGCTGGATGGGAAGTGGGGCCTCCAGGATTAGAACTGTTGCCCTTATGGGATCCTGGCACATTCAAGGCGAGGACTTTAGAGACTAAGTTACTGGGCCAGGCCCAAAAATAAATCCTAGAAAAAGAATGCATGAAATGGGGCTGGCATCTGTGGTGAAGTGGCGAAAGCAGCCTCCTGGCCTCCAGCATCCTGTACAGGTGCCGGCATAGGTCTGGGCTGCTCCACTTCTGATCTAGCTCCTCCTGGGGAATGAACAAGTGGATGTCTCTTCCTCTGTAAATCTGTTTTAAAAAACTAAAATACAAGTTGTTACTACAAAAGGGAGAAAGGGCTGGCATTGTAGCCCTGTGCATTAAAACATGCCAACTGGGGGCTTGGCTGCTTCACCTCCAACCCAGCTTTCTGCTAATGTGCCTGGGTAAACAAGATGGCCCAGTGGCTGGGGTCGCTGCTGCCCACCCCGTGGCCTCCTGGATGGAGTTGCGCGTTCCTGGCTCTCACTTGGCTGTGGCAGCCATGTGGATGGTGCATCAGTGGATAGAAGATCTGTCTGATCTTTTGTAACTGCATTTCAAGTAAGCGAGATCTTGTATAAAAAATAATAAATGGAGAAAAAAGATTTAACGAGGATGAAATGGGGAGACGTAAGAGTAGGAGATCTGTGGGATGGGCAGTATACAACATGAAGACTGGCACGTTATCCAGTTGTATATATGTAGGATTTCTAGCAAGTGAGATTAGCTATTGGCATGATTAATTCATGGGTAAATGAGGTGACAGGATGTTCATCTTCAGTAACGATTTACTACTTAAAAACTCATCTCATCCCATCATGTTCACCCTAAGTATACCCAGTTAATTTAAGAAAGAACCAGTTACAGAGGTATTACGGAATTAATGCCGAGGCTACGGTGAGGTGCACAGGCGCCGGCCCGGGCAGCCTGGCACAGGGGGTGCTCTACCTGGAGGTACGAGCCGTCTGCTGAGAAGTCCATCTGAAGGACGAAGCTCGGGATGTCCTTGCAGTAGCTGATTCTGTTGAGAGCCGGGCCCAGCGTGAGGTCGTAGAAGTCCACAGAGTTGTCCCCGGAACCCACCGCCAGGTGTCGGGAGTCTGGGCTGAACCTGAACACAGCAGTACAGCACACACACAGACCTTAAACACCTGTGACGTAACTGGTCATGTACACTAAGATTACATTTATCTGTGTCCAGGAAACAAGAAGTCCCTGGCTCCCACTGCCTTCAGGATAGGTCTAGATTCACTCACCCCGATTCATCCAGTCCTGTCCTTCCCAGCACCCTTTCCTGGGAAATGCTCATTATTATTACTTCAGTAAGGGAGGATTAAGATGTGGAAAAAGTGATGGTAGCTGGGAACACCGCCTGCCCTGACTCGCCTCAGGTTACACTGGGAAGCTGGGGCACACGCAGGAGGGCAGCGTGGGGAAGTAGCTGGGCACCGTGGGGCATGCAAGGGCGGAGGGAGATCATGGTCATTGCAGGGGGATTTTACTGCGGAGGCCAGCTGACGCTTTGGCAGGCCCAGCTTACGGATTGTATCTCCTGGTCACATAGAAACAGCCAGTGGGAGCCACTGAAAAATCTAAATTCAGATTACATTTTATATTACTTGGGGATATAGTTGTTCAGTGAGAACGAGCTACATATTCCAAAAGGGACAAGAAGAGACAGGCTTGCACCTGGAATTAGCTTTCCAAGGTGACGGCTTCCGAAGGCTGGTGGCTCTCGGTGTTAGTGCTGGGAGGGGATTCCAGGCACACTAATGTGCCAGACCTGTCCAGTGTGACACCAAGCATCACCCAGGACTTAAGACAGTGTGGCATTGTGGTTGGTGCCTAGTGGCTCTGTAATTTAGCAGAGGAGAGTTATATAAGTTCTATAAGCAGCTAAATTTTGGCATAGCTGATGATATTTTAAAATATTCCCAGTCTTCCAGCTCTTGGCTGCTTTGGGTAAGACTTCTTCAAGCGCAAGCTTGATCCCCACAGTGTAGGTTTTTAGAAAATGTTCCTTTGTGGACTGACCTGATATCATGGATTGCACTCCGCCTGTCTCTCTTCTTTCCCCATATTTTCAGGGAGCTCACCAGTAAAATAATAAATTCTCCGTTTTTCATCCCAATAGCCACCATGTCCCCTTCAGGGCTGTAACACACAGTGCGGGCAGCATGTCCCAAATTCACCTTGTTTAACATCTTCTGCATGAGAACCAAAAGGGTAAAAGAAAACATTAAATGAAGTACTTACAAACTAAACCAATTTTATCTAAACTCCTTAGCATAATTCTAAGATGGTTAAGAGCTAGCAATGCAGGATTTCTGTTTTCTTAGAAACTGTTGATACTTCTCTGAAAGTTGCTTGTACCTACTTTATCGGCAATATCCCAGAGCCTCACTGTTCCATCTTCGGCAGCAGAAAGGAAGAAGTCCTTGGAAGGATGTGTTGCCAGGCCCCAGACGGGCCCCTCCATGTGACTGTGCACCAGCACGTTACACGCAGCATTCTTCTCCCCAACTTCAATGATCTCGGCATTCCGGGTCCCAACCAGTATCTTGCCCTAAAACACAAGTGAGAGCCTACACTGATGTGAGGCTAGTTACTTTTATTAATTGCAGCACTCTGTTGACGCACTGGCTTAGAACTCGAAGCTCATCTGCTAGCAGCTAAAAGGCCACAAAGTTCTCCTGTGCTGGTGACCGGGCAGGAGCGCCCGGGGCTCAGCTGCCCGCTGGAGTCACAGCTTTTCCCTGTGGTAGGAATGCCACCTGCATTCTTCAGTAATCAGTTTTTAAAAGATTGATTTATTTTTATTTGAAAGAATGATTTAGAAAGAGAAAGTAAGAGATCTTCCATCTGCTGGTTCACTCCAAAACTGGCTGGAGCTAGGCTGATCTGAAGCCAGGCCATAAGCAGGGAGCTGAATGAGAAGTGGAACAGGTGGCACAAGAACCAGGTGCCACTTAGGATGTCGGAACCACAGGCAGAGGCTTAGCTTACTCTCTGGCCTCTCAGTTTATTTTAGGTTCAGTTAGAGAGGGTGAGAGAGATCTACCTCCCGTTCGTTCCCCAAATGGCAGTGGCCATGGCAGAGCTAGGCCACTCAGAAGCAGAAGCTTCTTCCAGGTTTCCCACGTGGGTGCAGGGGCCTAAGGACTAGGGCCCTCTTCCACTGCTTTCCCAGGATAATTAACTGAGCTGGATCTGAAGTTGCGCAGTCAGAATTTGAACCGGTACCCAATCAATGTGCCCACATGACTGGCTTTATCCTCTGTGCTGCAGTGTTAGCCCCAATACTCAAAGGTCTGATTTTGACAGTAGTAATCCCAAGATCTCCAGAGGAGTAAATTCACGGATACATAAAAGTGGAATTTTTAGGTTAAAAAGTGTAGGGGTCAGCAGTGTGGTATAGCATGCCCAACTGTCACCTGCAGTGATGTTGGCTTCCCGTGTGGGTGCAGGTTTGTTTCCACTGCTTCACTTCCGATCCAGTTCCCTGCCAACGCACACAGGAAAGCAGCAGACGGCCTCAGCACTTGGGCCCTGCATGTGAGGGAGTCCCAGCTGCAGCCTGACCCAGCCCTGGCTGTTGCCAACTGGTAACAAACCACTGCATGGAGGGGCTCATTCTCTTCTCTAGCTCTGCCTTTCATATGAAAAATCTTTTTAAAAAAGTGTAAGTAAATGGAAACAATATGCAGACTAAAAATAACAACATGTATGCATGGTTTGTAGGCTTTTTCAAAGTGCATGTAGGGCCCGGCGCGGTGGCGCAAGTGGTTAAGGTCCTCGCCTTGCACGCCTGGGATCCCATATGGTTCTATCCCAGCAGCCCCGCTTCCCTTCCAGCTCCCTTCCTGTGGCCCGGGAAAGCAGTGGAGGACGGCCCAAAGCTTTGGGTCCCTGCACCCGCGTGGGAGACCCGGAAGAGGCTCCTGGCTTCGAATCGGCATAGCATCGGCCGTTGGCTCACTTGGGGAGTGAATCATCGGACGGAAGATCTTCCTCTCTGTCTCTCCTCTCTGTATATCTGCCTTTCCAATTAAAAAAAAAAAAGTGCATGTAACGGTTTTATAGGAACGTGTTGTGGGAAGTAGGTGAAGCTGCCACCTGCGACAGGAGCATCCCAGCCCTGAGTGCCCACGTGAGTCGTAGCTGCTCTGCTTCTGCCCAGCCCTGCAGCATGCCTGGGAAGATGGGGTCAGGTCTCTGCCACCACTTGGAACACTTGGAGGGAAGTCTCTGGCTCCTCAGCCTGGCTGTTGCAGCCCTTTGGGGAGTGATCCAGCAGAAGGAAGCATGCGTTCTTTCTCTCTTCCGAACATTCAAATAAATCTTGAAAATAACATGGTTTCAGCTAGGCTTCTCGTGTTCTCAGTGTGTGGGAATGCTGAGGACCGGATCCCTGCCAGGTGGGGTCCCACGGCTCAGCCAATGGCTCCTCGTGCAGCTCACAGCGGCCCCTTGCGGGCTTACCTTGCCTCTGCACACGGCGCGCACGCAGTCTGTGCTGTGGCCCGTCTCCAGGCGGAAGGCGCGGCACCGCCTCAGCTCCTGGTCCCACAGTTTCACCGCACCTCCTTCTTTGGACCTAGGTAGAAAACCACCACACCCCACAGTCATTCCCGGAAGCTCACGAGCAGAATACCAACATTTAAAAAAAATGGTCCTGATACAGACTTATTGCCAGTCTTCTCAACTTCCTTGAACAAATACAGCAGGTTCTGTATTTCAGTTGAAAAAACACATTTGAGTTCTAGCAAAGTTTACTTTGTGAAATAGTCTGACAGCACGCCTTCACCACCCTCCTCTGCTCTACTTCTCAACTGAGAATATGTACAAAACAGTTTGAAATGTTACAAGGGTAACTGAAGAACAAAGAGTAAGGTTACAGATGCTGCACGAGTGCTTTCATTTTAACAACCCAAAGAGAAACACATTTCTTGCCTGCCACTATCAAAATATCCCCCTGGGGGCGGGTGGCAGGGTGGCAGGGAGCTGTCGGCACCCCATCAGGGAACTTGGGTGAATCCCACTTCCTATTTGGCTTCCTGCCCATGCACCTGGGCTCCTGCCATCGCGGGGCAGACCAGGACAGAGCTCCTGGCTCCTGGGTCTGGCCGAGCCCGAGTCTGGCTGCTGTGGGCATTTGGGGAGTGAACCAGTGGATGGATGGAGGTCTGCCTCTCCCTCTCTGTGGCTGTGCTTTCCAAATAAACAAACCTGTAACAAATGTCCTGTTGGACAGTTCAAGAGACCAGGAGTGAACAGGGCTGGGCCCGACTAGATGACATGGAAAAGTCAAGTGTTGGAGGAATGTGGGAGAGATAAAACAGCTGTTACTGATTTTTTGGAAGTTCATCTGCTAGCTGAACTGCCTGTCTGCAGAAAATCACGCCCAAGTTCACCTGAGTTCCTTCCGGAGCTGAAAAGGAGGAACTCTTTGCTTGGGTTTCAAGTAAGAGGGTCCTTCCCATATGGGCAAGAGTTTAAATTCTGGCTGCCTCACTCCCAACCCAGCTCCCTGCTTATGTATTGGAAAAGCAGTGAAGATGACCGTGGGCCCCTGCATCCAGGTGGGAGACCCAAGTGAAGCTTTGGGCTTCTAGCTTTTATCTGGCCCAGTCCTGGCTGATGCAGCCATCTGGGGAGTGAACTTGCGGATGGGAGAAGCATATGTGTATGTCTCTCCCAACTCTGCTTTTCACATAAACAGATATTTAAAAAGAAAGCAGCAGGCAGCCTAGACACAGCCCTGTTCAGTGGCAAAGACTGCTGCAGGTCCTTCATCACTCAGTAGGCATGCGTACAGGCAGGACATGAAGGTAAATTTCTTATCTACCCCGCGGGAAAAATACCACTCCGGTTGGTAGAATTTAGATTACTCTGCATTATGCAACAAAAACCCCCAAACAAAAAACCACCTTGCCAGGAATTTCAGACCAGAATTGAGACTCAACAAAGAACACGAAAGGCAAGCAAGGAAGAGGGTTGCAGCCTGGAAGTGACCAGAACCAACCCAACGGCACGTGCACCCGGCGGGAGACTGAGCAGAGCGAGAACTCACGGCCTTTCCTTGCCACCCGTGACAATGAGTCCATCGCGCAGCGTGGTGTACATGGCAAACACGGGCCCGTTGTGCGCTCTGGCCACAACTCTGCACAGCATGTGATCTTTCCACACACAGACATCCCCACTGATGGTACCTGTAAACGTCAAGTTATTCTGAAAAGGAGTGGGGAGGGGGGAGATACACTCATCAAAAGGCCAAGGAGAGTTCAGAACAGCCGCGCCCTCCCAGGATGTACGCCTCGCATGCAGGGCCAGGAGGGGCCGCGCACCTGCCTCGGGAGGAGGGGACGGAAGCTGGAGGCTCCGTCAGGGCCTTTCCTGCTTCATGGGAGTAACCCTGGACACGCGTTTCCTTCCAGATCTAATATGTGCTAACACTATATTATTTCTTTACATTGCTTCTTTCTGTCTAGTACATAACTTAAAGGTCACAAACAGCCAAGTGAAAATGAGAAGAGGAGGAAGTTAAGCCATCGTTACAGGGTTTGGCAAGGAATTTCATCACAGAGAAATGAGATGACTGTACGCCACGTTACAGGAGTTGGTGGCTCGTGAGTTCACTCCAGCAGATCCGGGAGCACCATGAGCTCACACCTGCTGGCCGTCAGTGGGCGCCACGGACACCACGGTGCTTTGCCTCCCTTTCTTCCTTACGGCCCCTGGCACGGAAGCTTCTCAAACACTAAGCACAAGCCTGTCGTGTCAGGGGAGGGAACAGTCCCACTGTCTCGCTCCACGCATCAGTTAGCAGGCTCCAAGAGCTCACTCCTGCAGCTGTTCTCTATGGAGAACGGGCAGCTGATTGCATGCGGGGTTCGGATGAAGAAAGCCAGGTGGGCAAAGCCCATCCCAGGGGCTTTGGGATAAATTGCTTGTCTTATGTTACAATTACCTAAATATCCAACTGAACTACGTGTGACATGGCAATTTTTTTTTTAACTTAAATGTGTACTTAAACTGTTCTAAAATGATGATTTTCTTTAAATTATTGCATAAACACATAAATGCATTACTGAAGAAACTGCTTTTTACTGTATCAGATCAGAGCCAGGGCAGGGCAGGGCGCTCGGGCTAGAAGCCCAGCTGGGAGGGAGCCAGGACAGGGAGGGCTGTCTTGCCAGTGTCTCGTCAGGACTAGGAGTTGTGGTCCCAGCTCTGCTTCCCCCTGATTAAAGAGCCACGGGCCCTGCACAGGTCACAGTACAGGAAGACACTCAGCAACTGAAATCCTCAACGGATGCTTCTCGAGTTGCCTGCACTTCCTCTGACAAATGGCCAGAGGTCCAGGAAACACTGCTAGGAAGACAAACCTAGGGATGTTTCTGGTGACAATGACACGATTCGCGGAGCTTTCTGAGAATGCAGTGGCCCAAATGCTTCAGTGGACTGCTCGGTCCCTCTCACTGCCTTTCTTCCTCACTCCCTCGTTTCTCAACGTGTTAGATCTTCTCCAAGGACACGTATACGCCTGACTGCGACAGACAACACTCAGCCAACCCCAGCGGCCACATTCACCCTGGCGATGCGGCTGACCAGCAGCCAGCGTGGCCTCAGGAGCTACCACTACCCCGCGACACACATTCCAGAGACATACTGCACCAAACGCCACGGCGAGCATGGTCTGCATGCGGGCGTCCTCCAGCGTGCTCAGCAGCCCCTTTCTGCTGAGGAGAGCCCTTCCTGCCAGGGTCCAGAATTTCACGTGCTTCACTCCCACAGAGACAAACTGCGTGTCCGAATCCGGCCGGAACTCAGCCACGAAAATGCGCTGATTGTGTCCCGCTCTGCTGGCAATCCTGGCACCTGAACGAGATGCAAGCAAGTCGTGTGGTCAGTAGGAGAACCAGCGGAATCTCCCGCTGGGGTCAGCAGCTGTCCAAGATAAGCAGCTTGTGAAGATGTCCTTGGCCCGCTGCTGGGCGGTGGCAGGACTAGTCACTGGTTACCACCCCCACCCGACCTCGCAGCCAGGTGTTTGGAGTCCTCCCACCTCCAGGACCCATCATGGATTAAGGACCATGTTCACTAATGTTTTCTCCATTACTTTCTCTTTACATAGTTTTAGAATTCCCTCTAAAGCATACTGGCTAATATTCCCCTATTGCTATTCCATTCTGATTTTTAAGCTCTGTTTCATTTTCATTCGTTAAGACCCTCCATGGTCAATCATATTAATAATTAGCAAAGACACATTAACAGTGTCTGACAGAAAGGAAATGGCAGTGAGTCATTCATAATCATACATTTCAACAGTTTATCTGTAAGCTTCCAATTTCACAAGGTTTTTAATGTAGGACTCGCCCATAAGTCCCATCTGTAACCACGCCCCGTCAGGGATACAGGGAGCGGCAGCTTCAGTGGCCAACTCGAGACCGACATTACACGCAGAATTAGCATTCCTAGAGAATCCTTGTTTATAAAACATCTCACACACACACATGCACACACACGCACACACACACACACACACACACAGAATCCCACCTTCTTGCCATCTCCAAATAGTAATGGTGTGGTCGGGGTCTAGTCCCACGGACAGCAAGAGTTTGCCAGTAGCACTGAAGCTGACCGAACATACCCCCGTGGAGTGGTAGCATCTTAGTATAGAGAGGGTCTGCTTGTTCATTGCATCCCAGACGTGAACAGAAGGGGCGGTAGCTAAACAGAGACAAAAAGCCAAAAGTTATAATGCACCTGTTATGTTACCGGGTCTAGAGCTGAAACACCTGTGAAACAGGTACCCAGGAAAAACTGCACTGCGCTTAAGAATACAGCAATACTGAGACTTAATTTTAAAGCACAAAGGTAAAGGGGCATGAAAAGAAAAACACAGACTCTGTCTTCAGGCTACGCTGCAAAGACTTTTGAGAAAATATTGAGACAAGCACACCTGGCAACCACATGAAATAATTCCTCAACAAAGGCATGCTTGACATGCATTTTGACCACTCTGCATATATACAGAGTATTTAGACACGTGTGCGTTCAGCACAAGTCTCCAGTCAGCACTGGTGCGATGAGCAGCGGGCGTCACTGAGAAGGGATGGGCAGCCGTGGGCACAGATACCCCAGAAAGCACTGCAGATACTTCAGACTTCTCAAAAATGGTTTAAAAGACTTCTTTTAAAATAGGATTTTACAGGGAAGATAAAACTGTACATCATTGAAAAATGTTTGTTGCTGGCTATAATGCCGGCTCCAGCATTATAGCATTTGTTCCTCCTTGGCGCTCCTTGGGAATGCTGGTTCGAGTCTCAGCCGCTCCTCTCTCCAGCCAGTTGCCTGCTAACGGCCTGGGAAAGAGCAGGAGGCGGCCCAGGTGTTGGGGGCTTGTCACCCACATAGGAAGCGTGGATGAGGCCCCTGGCTGTTGATGTCAGCATCATACCTAGGCTCTCCGGTATGCTGGTGACACTAGTGCTGTGGCCCTGCTTAGCATCGTCTGCCTTTAGTCTTGACTGTTGCATGTAGCAGTGGGTGCCAAAACCTGGCCCTTTGTGTTTGCATCATGGCCTGAAAAATGCCTCAGGAGCTGCAGTTTCAGCCCAGAAAGTACATTTGCTGCAAATACGTTTGGGAGTGGGGATCCTGCTGCTTTTGTTTTTGACAACGTGGTATTCAAACATTTGTTAGCAAATGATTTTTATCAAAGTTTCACTTGAGCACACTGTCACCTTGTAATTTCAGATTAAATTCATTATGAAGACAGTATCAAACAGACAATGGAAGTTTCCAAAGCTATCTGGTGCTCAGTACCAGTCATTGAGGGTGGTATTTCTTATTCAGAAATTCTTTAAAAAAAGAAAAATTCCAATCTTGGCTCTGAGTTTAAAAATTGCAAAGAAACTTCCCTGCTGATCCACCACTGAGCTGCTGTGTGGGAGGGCAAGTCAGCTAGCTGGCTTCCATCTGTAACAAACTCCCAGACATGATTGACAGATAAATCTACGGGCAAATAAATTAACCACCACAACTCCCAGACGAAAGCTGCAGGTTCAATAACAAACAATATGTTGAAACACTGTTAACAATTGCCTGCTGATGAATGCATTATGAGTAAGTACATATTTGAACACCTTATACTGTTACTGGCTTTGTAAATTTAGTCAACTATCTGTTTATTTATTTAATTTTTTATTGCAAAGTCAGATATACAGAGAGGAGGAGAGACAGAGAGGAAGATCTTCTATCCAATGATAAGTGACCGCAACGGCTGGAGCTGAGCCAATCCAAAGCTCAGCTTCCTCTGGTCTCCCCCGTGGGCACAGGGGCACAAGGCTTTGGGCCGTCCTCCACTGCTTTCCCAGGCCACAAGCTGGGAGCTAGATGGGAAGCGGGGATGCCGGGATTAGGTCCTGGCGTGTTCAAGGTGAGGACTTCAGCTGCTAGGCTACCGCCCCGGACCCTCAGCCCTCGGCAGGTTAGAAAGTGTCAAAACATTCTTGTGATTAAATCAAGCAATGTGTGTGAAGTGCTTACAACACTGAGAACTCTTGCTTCTTTTAAATTATTATTGAAATTGAACTCAGTGTAACATTACAATGATACATTCTTCATGTTAAAAAAATTCACAGGTTTCACAGAATGAGACATTTGAATCGTGCATAGAACTCAAGCAGGAACTGTTCCATATCCTTACCTGACATTTCTGCTGAATCACCTACAATGGAAAAGTGGCAGAAACATCATTATCCACAATGCATCAACTGTTACAGGAAAATCTGAAAAGGCTCAGTTATTATAGTTCTAAATAAGTTAAATAAAGTGTCATATGCAAAACCAGCTTCACTATATTACACTCAGCAGTGAAAGTACCCCTTTAATTATACATAGATTTCAGCATTTTATGGGTTATCTTTCCACCTTTGTAAACAAAATCTTGGTATTCCACGAGTTACATGAAATTTTAATTGTAATAACCTTTAAAACAGTTTTGTTATGATTCCCACTGACAGGAGCTTTAGTTGGGTTTACACGAGGCTCTGCCAGCGGCTGTTCGGGAGTGTTACTCTCTGCAGGAAACAATCAGAGCTACACCTTGTGTAAAACACGATGGTGAGATGAGTTCTTGTGTGACTCAAAAAGGTAAGAGTTCTTCAAAGATTTCTACATGAGTAAAATGCACGCCTGATGTGTATGAGGTGGCTAAGAAAATGTGAAAGTCTATATTCATATTCATGGTGGAAATGCCTCTTCAGCAAATGTTTAAAAGTGACAGTCTTCAGCGAGAAAGAAAAAAACCTGAGGAATCCACTGGGGATAAGTGATGCTTGCACGTTGAGACCACCTGTAACTGATAAAATACCACATAATCAAGTGTTTCAATTCGTCTACAATCTACATTAACAAGAAGATCCATGAACAAGTTGTCTGAAACTGTGATTGAATCAATATTTCACATATATGGTACATGATACATTTGTTGAACAAATGAATTTACTCAGTAAAACAAATGGAGCAATACCTACACGCCATGAGGCTCTGAGTCAGCTGCTTAGATAATGCAGATAAGCCTCACGGGCCTCACGCTGGGACACAGTGAAGACTCTCCTTTTTCAAAACACTAGGCACAGAAGCAGCTAGACTTCCATATGCTTACATAAAGATCAGAATGTTTTCGTATAACAGTGGGTGCAATGGTCTACTTCCTTTTAAATGTAGAAAACAGCACAGAAAGGAAACGTACAGGGGTCCGTGTGGAACAGCTGGAGATCCAGGCAACCCAGGGACCATGTTTCTGACTGATCAAGTTGGCACTTGTGTGGGTGAGTGCGTGCCAGGATGGGTCTCGGCTAACTTAGCTTAAGCGAGGGGCAGCGGGAGCAGCTTCGGCACGGGTCTAGAGCCTCGAGACCCCCTTGGTTTCAGTGTATGCCTTCAAAGTCTTCTTGCTTGACGGCATCCTGAGACCCCGTGGACCCATGCGTGCAGGTGGCAAGAAGCCTGAGGCCCTCGGGGTATTTTCCCCTCTCCCTTAACCCTTTCTGGTAATTTGGGTACTTTCCAGTAACTTGGTCACCTCCTCTCCCTGCCTACCCTGGCCCATACCCATCTTGTGATAAACTTGTGATACTTTTGTAATAACTCCAGGATGCGGGTGAATTATGTAAGTTGTGGTGGGCTACACAGTATCACCTGGCAAAGTATGTGAGAGTTGTGCTGATTGGCTAGGTTTATATATGATAGCTGCTTATATCCAGCAGAAATACTGTTACTACCCTGAGGCTTCTTTCTCCTGACCCCACCCTATATAAGCTTGTGCTTGTTTTTTTAATAAATAGACAAGTTTACCGTAACTGTCTCTGGTACTTCTCTATTGAGAATGCTGTTGCCGCACCATGTTCCCTGAGTGGGTGGTCTAAGGCCAAGACCCTCCATGCCGAAATTAGAAATTCTTATCAGAGGACTAAATCCGACTATTTCAATCATCACAAAATCGTTTATCTTAAATTCAAAGGTGTCTGAATTAATTTACGTGATCAGAGTGGTGACAGAAAGGGAACATCAAGGAAGCCAGAGAGCCGGGGGTGCTGTGTGCACAGGGAGCTTCTGCACAATGGATGGAGTTTTAATTTCTTCCTCGGGTATTGTTTGTTTGTTTTTTTTAAAGAAATAAAACAAATGTTTCAAATTACTTCTTTTCAAAATACAGAAACATACCTACTTGGCCAGTTGCCACAACGTTGGTAAATTTGGGATGCTGATTTACAGTGAGGCACAAAATATCATCATTATGTTCTTGATAAAAACTCTGAGTTCCTGTAAAACAGAATTTGAGAATTAACTTTGAACGTTTTAAAGTGGAATAGACATATTCCAATAAGGACATTTTTTTGCTTGTTCAGGATATATTTTAGATTATTTACAATGTCTATTCACACCATCATGAAGACAGAAAAATGAATCAGAAGTCTTCACACACACACACACACACACACACACACACACACACACACACACACACACACACACAGTGCCATATGAGAATTAAGGATCAAAATGTTACAGGCACTCAGATCAAAAGATTCTTCTCTTGGGGACACGGCATCCCTAAACTAAGCTGGATGGACCCCGAGAAGACCTTTCTATGCAGAGAAACGCACAAAGTAAAATGCAAGTCAAGGCACAAAGGACAGGCAGCCTTGGGTGTGCATCTAGATGGCTTGCTTGGCCCAAGTATAGGACCACGAAGCAGAAAAAGTGAGTAATACGCTTAGAAAGGCATGGTGGGGCTGGAATGATGGAACATCTTAGAAATGTTAATTATCATTCTTTCTGTTTTGATTTCCTAAAGGTTCATGCACAAACCAGTGGTATTTTTGTGTTTAATAATGTGGCTATGTATATTCCTGTTTCACATTTACCCTGTGACTCAGAGGGAGGCACTCGAGTTTTTTGATTCAAGTAGCAACATGGTTGACCTAGATGTAGTGACAGTGAAGAAACTGCAGAGGACTAGGACAGTCACCCACGTGGGGGACAACAGAGATGGCTTGATCCAGTGACGCGAGGACGTGGGAAATGAGGCCAGAGCAGTCAGCTGGACTCAGACAGCAGAGAGTGATGAATTCCAGGTTCTCCACAAACAGAACAAAACAGAATTCACCAACTATAATTCACAGACCAAGTACATATGCTTTTTAAAAACCTTCTCTTCAAAGTGAAATGCGCTTTGGGGCCAGTGCATTGACTCAACTGACTAATCCTCCATCTTCAAGTGTGTCATCCCAATAGGTGCTAGTTTGTGTCCCAGCTACTCCAACGCCTCATCCAGCTCTCTGCTTGTGGCCTGGGAAATCAGTGGAGGGTGGCCTAAAGCCTTGGGACCCTGCACTCCTGTGGCAAACCTGGAAGAGGCTCTTGGTGCCTGGCTTCGAATTGGATCAGCACCAGCTCTTGTACCCGTTTGGAGAACGAGCCAGTGGATGGAAAATCTTTCTGTCTCCCTTCTCTGTAAGTTTCATTTCCAGTAAAAATAAATCTTTAAAAAAAAAGTGAAATGTGCTTTCAGTTTTCTAGAGCTAAGTCCAGCTGAAGGGACAAATGAGTAGCTATGTGTGGTATGTGCTGTTGGCTAGGTGGTAGAATATCAGCTCACAGATAAAGACTTCTAGACCAAGAACACAGAATGGGTTCCCTAACTGGCAAGAGAGAACTTAACCAGAACTGCAGCAGATGCTCCGCTTCTCAGCATTTCACCATCAGAAAGGTGATTAACTACAAGCCATAACGTTAAAGACAGGACCTGGCATGATAGCCTGGTGGCTGAAGCCTTGCCTTGGTCCACTGGGGTCCCATGTGGGTACTGCTCCACTTCTTATCTGGCTCCCTGCTTGTGGCCAGGGAGGGCAGTGGAGGATGGCCCAGGGCCTTGGAACCCTGCACCCGCATAGGAGACCCGGGGGAGGCTCCAGGCTTGAGAGTGGCTCAAGCTCTGGCCGGGGTGGTTACTTGGGGAATGAGCCAGTAGATGGAGGATCTTTCTGTTTTTTCCTTCTCTCTGTGAATCTGCCTTTCCAGTGAACAATAAACAAATCGTTCTTAAAAAGATTAAAGACAAACTTATAATAACAAACATGAGTTTTGCATTCATTCCTTTTCTTATCTTTTAAGAAAAGATTTTCTTCCAAAGTACTACTTTTAAGATGGCACACATTATTGATGGAAACTCGTCACTGATTTTCCGGTTGATGCTGGAGAATCCTTCTCTTTAGGGAATCAAAACAGAAAGATCACGCTGCTTAGTCCTGACCGGGGCTGGGGGATGACTGATGGCTACGTGATCAATCTCATTTCAAACTTCATAAACTGAAAATTAAATACTTCCTGTCACCAATCGTATTATCACATTGGTCCTCAAATGGTGCTAAAAGAACTTTGTTCTTCAGCAATCCAGTTAGATAAACATCAAGAAACAGTATCGTAATTTCTCGGACCAAACAAAGTATCATTGGCACAGCCAAGGACAAGCAGCTTTATAAGGCCTCGGTGGGACCAGCCCTGCACCAGTCACCACACTTCAGAGCTTGGAATTTGGTTATTAAAGTATCACTAGAAAGTTCTGTAATGTTAAAATATTTCTAGTCTGGATTGTTTCTCTTACACATTTCAACTACGTATGGTTTTAACAGACTCTTCAGCTGCTGCATATAAACCAAGCATGGAGGCCAGGGCTCAGCCGCGGAGTCAGGGTTTCCTACCTGTAGCCACATTGTGCAGGATCCCCACGGATGCTGTGTGGTAAATGATGTCATCACCATCATTCAAATAGTGCACGTTATTCCTGCAGTCTCTGCCCCGGTACCCAAAAACGAGCTCCAGCACAAGGTCCTGTAACAACCAGGACAAAACTGTTGCAAAACGACACTCCCTCATGCTTAAAGGGTCACCCCAGTTTTTTGTTAGACATGTAATACCATCTTCTGTCAAGAGGGCAATGTTTTGTTTTGCTTACAGACAAACAGTATGATACTAGATTTTCTAGCTTTGCCTATACCTACCATGCCACTATTTAAAAAACCATTTTTTTTAAAAATAATTTTTATTGGAAAGGCAAATTTACAGAGAGGAGACAGAGAAAGATACTCCATCTGCTGGTTCACTTCCCAAGTGGGGACAATTGCCAAAGTTGAGCTGATTCAAAGCCAGGGGCAAGGATGTTCCTCTGGTCTCCCACACGGGTGCAGGGTCCCAAGACTTTGGGCCATCCTCGACTGCTTTCTCAGGCCACAAGCAGGGAGCTGGAAGGGAAGTGGAGCAGCCAGGACATGAGCTGGCACTCACGTGGAATCCCAGCGTGTTCAAGATGAGGATTTAGCCACTATAATCACTGTGCCAGGCCACTACCATGTCATTACATATTTAAACAGCAGAAAGTTAAAATTATAACTGCTACTAAGGGACTATGCTACTGTGAGAACTCAGGGGGTGGAGGGAAGATGACAGGAAAATGGGGAGGGAGGAAGTGAAGGGGGGCGGACAAACCCCTTTATCTATAAAACTGTATCATGGGGAAAAAACTATGCAGAGATATAACAATGTTTTTTAAACAAAATAAACTTGCAAGCTAAAACTCAGCATAAAAGCCAAGCAATACAAATTTTACAACCAAACAAAAAAGGGGTATGAAGTGGTTATCTTTATGAAAATTGAGGAGGACTTGCAGGTACCTGGGCAGCGGGCAGTGGGCAGTGGGCAGTGGGCTGTCCTTACCTCGATGGGTCTCTTTTTCTTGCCGACATTGTTGCTTTGGAGCTTCTCGGGGTGTGGCGGAGCCCTGCTCACGGGCGGCCTGCAACCGAGAGGTGGGGAGGGGAGAGAGCATCACCCGGGCCCTTGCCCAGCCACGGTCACCTGCCCGAGAGCTCTGTCACCCCCTCTCAGAACCGAACCCAGGCCAACAGGCCAGACCCCGCAGTCACTAAAGCAGGTGAGCGGGAGGATTCTCGCACTTTATTCAACTTTGTCCATGCGGTTTCATCGCGTGAGCGACACAGTAGCACCAAACCAGACTGCGTGCAGACAAAACGTCAGTTTAACCTACTCAGCGACGTCTTGATGGCCCGGTTTGCTGCCCGCAGCATCTGGCAGCATCTGGCACGGGCAGATAAACCATTATTGCGTGTGATGAATTACAGTAATTTTCCTATTTTTGGCAACATAAATCATGCTTGGACTCACACTGTACTTGTTACCAATGCTGCCTCAATCCCTAAGTGTGCAGGATTGGTTGATGGCACCATTGTCACGTGGTGACCCAAGCAAGACAGGTGACAGCCACACTGCACAGCGCAGCTTACAGCACTCCTTAAAGTGTCACGATTGCTACTGCCTCAGTTTTCTCTGCTTGCTTTATTCTATTTGCTAAGTATTTGCCAACTTGACCTACACGGTCGCCCTCATAGCTAGTCCCTTTTCTCTTCAAGGTCACTTTGGAATTCCTAACGGGCATGAAGTGTCCACAGTCCGAAATGTCAGGCTCTTCTCTAAAACCTTTTCATTTAAAAACTTCGGCCTGTCATGTTTATCTCAAATAACTTTGATTCAAATATTCAATAATCTGACACTGAATCCAAGTCAGCCATGCACCCACACGTCTCCAAATTCTAAGCTAATATTTAATGTGTGAAAATGAAATCCATGAGTGCTACAGATTTTCCTGAGAGAAAAAAAAATCCCAACATGTATAACTCATAATATTTAATGCATAAGTGATTTGTACTTCAAAATAATTACCACGTAATACAATCAAAATATCATATGAACACACAATTTAAAAGTACACATTTTTGAATACACAAGACTTATAAAAGCTTAATGTCCTTATCAAAAATATAAACAGCTTTTCAAGTTATCGCAGAAACTTGTTTTAAATCTTCTTTACATACTTTTTTGGAATTTCTGTAAGCAAAACACAGAACTAAATTTACAATATTTAATATTTAAAGATATTTCTGCCATGATCATTTTCACAAGTGACAGAAGGTATGGGTTTCCTTCCAAGGCAGCATTGGTGCTGAACTTTATTCATTGTTATTGTCTAATAGCTTTTATTGTAACTGAACAATAAAGCACATAATTTTTAATCTATGTAATCCTATATAATAATTAAGCATATTTAAAAGATAATTTACATATTACTTAAAATGATACAACTTTTTAAAAAAGATTTATTTGCATTGGAAAGGCAGATTTATAGAAAGAAGAGAAAGAGAGTAAGATCTTCCATCTGCTGGTTCACTCCCCAAATGGCTGCAATGGCCAGAGCTGAGCTGATCTGAAGTTAGGAGCCAGGAGCTTCTTGTGGGTCTCCCACCTGTGTGCAGGGTCCTAAGGCTTTGGCCCATCCTCAACTGCTTTTCCAGGCCATAAGCAGGGAGCAGTGGGAAGTGGAGCAGCCGGGACATGAACTGGTGCTATATGGGATGCCAAGTTTTGTAGGAAGAGGATTAGCTAATTGAGCCATCAAGCTGACCCCAAATGATACAACTTTTAAAGCTTTGTAAGTTGGTTGCATACATTTTTAGCAAACCAGTAAACTAGGGCAAGTCCAAACATTAAGATGCTATTTATTACACGGGCACAAATTCTTTAATTTAAAATTTAAAATTTTGAATTTTATAGTACAATTCTGTAGAGTCTGGGATTCTCCCCACTCACTGGTTTTCCCCATATTGTTACAATAGTATAGTCCTTCATATGGATTTATAATTCCATCAGCCTGTTTTTTAAGTGTGTCCCAACATTGCTGGTACAATGACAGACAGTCCATCATCCCATTGTCTAGATATGTCCAACACTTTCATTGGGAGTCCATCTCTGATTTGGATGTAGGGATACACAGGCATGCATTCTAAAGGGGAGAGAAAATGTGACTGCGGGGCACTGGTGGGCGGTAGCACATGAAGCCTGCACCTGTGACATGGGCAGCCCATGGCAGCTCCTGGCCTCGGCCTGTCCAGCCCCAGCAACTGGAGCCACTTGGGGAGTGAACCAGAGGACAGACCGTCTGTGCTCCTCTCTAGCTCTGCCGTTCAAATAAATATAAATCTCAAAAAAAAAAAAAGTGAGAAACTACAAACGGAGTAAAGAATACTAATACAGCTCGTTTATGGTGAATAAAATGAAAGTTGAAAGAACATAACATTAGGTCTTGTTAAAGACAAAATTACCTGGAGCCTCTTTTTGCAGCAGAAAAAAAGGAAAAAGATTATAACACAAATTTGAACGTAAAACAATAGTGAACTATCTACTACAACCAAGTGTTTTGTAAGCCTAAAGCAGAAGTCTACACTGCATACACCGAAGGTCTGTAACTCTGAGTTTACCATTCCATATAGGAAGAAGTTCATATCCCTCCATTAGTGGCAGGGAAATCAGAAGCAAGGCAAGAATTTCACAGGTTCTAACTTTTAAACTTTAAACCTTGCCATCCTTCATTTTCCTACAGACTATTTATCTTCGTTCACCGGCTTCAGAGGCTGCCTGTGTGGGGGCAGTGTGGGAACCCAGAGGCGGATCCCCCGTTCCCGGTGGGGGGTGTTGCCGGTCAGCCAACACAAAGCGAGCTGTGTTTACGCGGTTTCTGGGGGAGCCGGGCACGGCATCAGAGGGTCACAGATGTCTCCTTCGCCGTCCCGCGTGTTCTCTGCACCTCTACAACATCCCTGCGAATCCTCTCCTAATCGCTTTCTAAATATCACTGTATTTACAGAACACGAATACATTTCATGTATTTCACAATACAGACTTAGGAGCAAAGCGATACCTCCCAGCCCGCCTCCCTCCCTCCACCCTTTTCTTTCCTTATTACTATTTTTTTTAATATTCGCAAGCACATATTTTGAATAGAGCATCCCTTTATAAGCTCCGATGATTAAGTGCTCCATCTAGGCTGCAGGAGTCGAGAGAGGTGTTCATATCCGAGACACAAAGTATCTCCACTTAGTTGTTTTGAAACAAATGACTGCAGAATAATGAAGCCTTCTTACACATCACGGCCTCCCAGCCTCCCCCTCTCCCCCGCCGTGTGATCCTGCAACTGTCACGGTTCCCTTTAATGGAGAAGCCAGCTCTGACCATGCGACTCAGGACAAGACGCTGGCCCTGCGGCTATGGAGAGGGCCTAAGCTCCTGACGGCCTCTTTAGACATTCTAGCACACTCCGGATTCTTCCGTGAACTCATCTCTTTAACCAGAGCATGGATCTCAGCTGCCGTCAAACATCGTCGGGGATGCTAGCTACGCCAGTTTCCATACAACCGGGTCTCCAAGCTACTCTTCTCCCATTCTGTCTCCCAGTTCTTTCTTCTTGCTTCCCTTAAACTTAAAATTCACTAGCCATTTTCTGAAGACTTACCTCACCCTAGAGGGCCCCAAAGAACCCTTTCTTACACATGCCCTGCTACGGGACATACAGTGCCACAGCTATCCTATTGTGATGTTTCTAAACGAACAGATAAAAGATGCACTAAACGAAGCTAAGAGGTTTGCAAATAGTCATTTGAACCACAAGTGTGGCTGTTTGAACTCGTGAGACGTAAGGAAAAAATAATACTAGACCATTATTGTGAACTTGCTTGTACAATAAAATGAAGACTCATAACCACACATTTGTATCTAAAAATCCGACTTCATTTTATTTTCTACCTCAACAAATTGTTAAATATTTTATAGGGAAAACATCATTAGCGTAAAGTATTATACACATCAAAGTGGAATGAAGAGTACATTTTTGAATAAGATATTTTCTTCAATAAAAAACTTACCTTACTACCCCCTGCCTTTGTAAGGAATAAAAGAAAAATAGAAAAACACAAATGAAAATTGATAGTGAAAAAAATGTTGCAGTTTAGTAGACATGATATAGGCAAGATATCAACAAAATTAGAAGCAAGCACAAAAATTTCTAAAACTTAGATCACAAAGTTTTAAACACTTTTACTACTCAGCTGGTTAATTCTGCACCTCCAAGCACTGGAATCCCGTATGGGCACCAGTTTCTGCTCCAGTGGTTTCACTTCCCATCCAGCTCCCTGCTGTGGCCTGTCAAAACAGTAGAGGATGGCCCAAAGCCTTGGGACCCTGCACCCGCGTGGGAGACCTGGAAGAGGCTCCTGGCTCCTGGCTTCGGATTGGCTGAGCTCTGGCCATTGTGACCACTTGGGGAGTAAACCATTGGATAGAAGATTTGTCTCTTTCTCTGCAAAAATCTGCTTTTCTAATGAAAACAAATCCTGAAGAATACTTTTATTATTAAAATATTGAAATTTTGCTTGACAAAACTGGCTACTTCAAGTGCACAAGATTTGCTACAAAAACATTGAAAGAGGCAGATGTAAAATTGCTTGAAACCACTTAGGGAAAAACAACCCACAAACTCATAAGCCAAAAGCAGTAATTATCAACTATCAATGTACATGCAGGAACTTAAAAAAACAATATGCTTGTTTATACCTTTAAGTCTTTTATTTTAAATTTGGGGACAGTGAGAGCGGATGAGAGAGGGGTGAGGAGAGGGGTGAGGAGAGAAGGGAGGGGGTGGGGGAAGGGGATGAATTCCATGCACTGGCACTCCTCCAAGCCTCCAACAGGAAGGGCCGGGCTGGGCCGGAGCCAGGAACTGCATCCCAGGCCAGCTGCCTCCCTCCCAGGGTCTGTATTAGCAGGAGGCTTTGCTGAGGAGCCGGGACCTCCATTCCTGGAGAATTTCCCCTTCTTGCTTTTTTAAACTCCACCTCTGATGTCTTTGTTTTTCCTGGTCTCTTGCTTCTTTACCATTTGTCATCTTTGAATTAAAACACCTCCAGAGCACAGTCTCTTTTAAAAAGATTTACTCATTTTTATTGGAGAGTCAGATTTACAGAGAGGAGAGAAAGATGCTCCATCCGCTAGCTCACTCCCTAAGTGGTGCTATGGCCACAGCTGAGCCAATCTGAAGCCAGGAGCCAAGAGCTTCTTCCGGGTCTCCCACGTGGGTGCAGGATCCCAAGGCTTCGGGCCATCCTCGACTGCTTTTCCAGGCCATAAGCAGGGAGCTGCATAGGAAGCAGGGGATGTCGGGACATGAACTGGCACACATATGGGATCCTGATGTGTGCAAGGTGAGGACTTCAGCCACTAGGCTACTGCACCAGGCTCTACAATTTCTCTTAACCAGTCATCTGCCTCAGATACTAAACGTTCTTTCTCCATATGAAATTTCTCTAGGGGTATTTACTTTTCACTTGCTTATTCTGGACAAAGAATATTAATCCCCACTAAAGGCAAGGCTTATCGTATTTTACCTTTTTTTCCCCCATTAAATACCTGCTGTTTTGGAAAATATATGAATTGATGATGATCATTGATTTTGGACGCAAAGGGGTACAGGTGTTCTAGAATTGAGTTCTGGGCTGGTGCCGTGCATGTTAAGCTCATGACTGGAGCGCCAGCATCCCCTGTGGGCACTGGCTTGAGTCTGACTGTTCTTCCAATGCAGCTCCTTACTCATGTGCAGTGAAAGCCGGTCCAAGCCCTTGGGTCCCTGCACCCTGGCTTCGGACCAGCCCGCTCTGGCCCTGCTCTGGCCGCCTGGGAAGTGAATCAGAGGCCTGAAGGACTCCGTCTTCCCTTCTCTCTCTCCAAATCTACCTTTCAAACAAGAATAAATCTTTAAAAAAAAGAATTGAGTTCTGCCTCTGTTCAATGTTTCCTAAAAAGCACTAGGCATTAGATTGAATTTTTGTCATCTCCTGAACTGCAAAAAATTTATTTATAAAAGTTAACATAAGATCAATCATACTTGGTGTACAAGCATATCTATATACACACATACACATAACTTCCTAAACTTGTTAAGATAGTGCTACTCTCAGAAAGTTTTAAGGACGAACATTTTTCTGAGCGGTGCTGGGAAATGCGTAAACAATATGACTGTCATTCAGTTTCTGCCAAAATCCCACTTGGTTAAATAATGAATTCAAAGGTTAAGATTAGCATCTTTTTTCCGTCTAACTTTAAACCATTACCTCTCATCGACTGAAGGCTCTTTTTGCTGCAGATGAGGCTTGATCCCAAGCATCGGGCGGATGCTTGTTGATAAGGCTCTGACGGTGTAGCGGATTTCATTCTCTCTTGTGACGTCACTGTCATAACCTGATATCAAAACATAAGGGAAAGATCATCGAAATAAAAAAATGAGAAGTGATGCTTTACTTGCTCGGATTAATTACGACTGTGTACACGTGATATAAGGATGTCCAGCGACATGCAGTAAGTCATGCTAGAGCCAATTACGGAATGACACGGTGCCAGCAAGAACGATAGGCTAATGCATGTAATGGTGCCTTCGGAGTATTACTGAGTATCAGATTTAAAAATAAGGCCAGTGTCGCACCACTTAATATTACATACATAAATGCGTATTCACTTCCAGACATATCCCAAATAGGGACAGGTAAAGTGGGAAAGATTCAACTAGAAGGGTTGTATTTATCTTTATTGAAAATTATATTTGAATACTATATTAGAAAAAGTGAAAGATTTAAAATATGAAGCTGGGAAATATGAAATTTATTTAAAATAGGACTGCCTTACATTTCTACATGAAGGATATTTAAGTCATCATTACATGACAGGCTGACGCTGTTTTACAGTTGGTCTTCTGGATTATTTTTATAATTTAAACACACTGCATCAACATCACGAGAACGGACTTTGCGCATTCCACAGGCAAGGTTCTAAAGGCACACTTCCCTCGCTCCCCTGGGCTGTTCTCTCAGAGTAACAAAACCAGATCTAACAGCAGGACGATCTAAACACTGCTGCTTGTTCTGGCTTGCGCAGTTCTACTCTAGCTGTGCTGCAAGTTCCCCGTGTGGTTAGGATGTCTCTGCACAGCATACCCCCATCTTCTTCAGAGTCCACGTCGGACTCCTCGCTGTCACAAGGCCTCTTCTCCTGGTAGCCTTCTGTTTCGTTGGTCCAGACCATTAAAGACATGTCTGCACCTCCGAGGGTCACCAGCATGTTGTCATCGTAGGTCCAGCGGACATTCGTGACATGCGTACTATGGGCCGTGTATCTCTTATACTTTCCAAATTTTCCCTAAAGATGAAAAAAAAAAAAAAAGTTCAACCTTTCTGAGAATTCTCCTTTGAAAATCATTCATTTTGATTTTTTCTTTGTGTAAAGTAAGAACTTAATTGTTCCAAATGCAATGCATAAAGAAATTAGAAAATACTGAAATTCTTATGAATAAGAAGGATGGATTCTAAAGCTTCGTGGAGGACAGGATGAGGCCAGTGCTTCCACACACTCCTGGTCCCACGGGCACAGCTCCTTCGGAAGCCAAGCTGGTATTTTGTGTTAAAAGCAGAAAAATGTTCGTCTCTTTGCATCCCCAACCTTCCTGCTAGAAACTATGCTGACAAAACGGTATTCATGTCAAAGATACCACATGACACACCCAGCTGAGAAAGCACACAGACGCCTGTGCCGAGCACGGCTACAGACGCCAAAGGAATGAGGCAATGTGTGTATATATAATCTATATGCACACACACACAAGATATTTGAAAAGCAGAATGACCGACAAGGAGAAACAGCATGAGAAAGATCTTCCATCTGCGCTTTTCTCAAGGTCTACCGTTTTCAAGGCTGGGCTAGGCTGAAGCCAGGAACCAGAAGCTTCCTCCAGGTCTCCCACACGGGCGGCAGGGACCCAGATACCTGGGCCATCCTCCACTGCCTGCCCGGGTGCACTAACAGGGAGCTGAATCGGAAACAGAGGACATAAGGTTCAAATCGGTACTCTGATGAGGTGGAGGTCACCAGAGGCACCTGCTGTGTCACAACAGCTATCCCTCTAAGTCCCCCACATTTCCATCTTAATTCATTGGCGTTTTTATTTCTGAGCATCATGCATGCACACACACACACATTTTCCCTTTAAATATGAAGAAAACCCAAGTTACAGACACCATTCACTTAAAAAAAAACAAAACATATTCGTTTTTATTGGAAAGTCAGATTTTTACAGAGAGGAGGAGAGACAGAGAAAAAGATATTCCGTCTGCTGTTCCACTTGCTAAATAGCCACAATGGCTGGAGCTGAGCCGACCTGAAGTTGGCAGCCAGGAGCCTCTTCCCTGCCTTCCACATGGGTTCAGTGTCCCAAGGCTTTGGGCCATCTTTGACTGCTTTCCCGGGCCATAAGCAGGGAGCTGGATGGGAAGTGGAGCAGCTGGGACATGAACCGGTGCTTATATGGGATCTTGGCGTTTGCAGGTAGAGGATTAGCCAGTTGAGCCATCACACTGTCTCCAACTCCATTAACTTTTAAATCTTGAATATTAGCACTACCAAATTACGAAAGTAAATTTCAGATCAATAGGTCACTGGCAGGCTTGAAGTGAGATTTTTTTTTTTTCACTGTTAAAATAAGGGCAATCTTGACAACAAGACACTGTGAGTAGTGAAACTGGTGAATTCTCGGAGGGCAAAGACTTAGTAGATGCTGGGGGGGAGGGGGTCTGCTACCAAAGCATTGTCAGAGGGCGGCTTCTCCGGGACTGTGAGGCACTCACTGTATGGAGAGAGCAGGCATCTTGGCTCAGCGAGGGAGGGCTAATGCCCGAGACTCCAATCTCCTATTTCAAATTCACACGTTGGCTCTTGTTGGTACAAGATTATATACAGATTGCTGACAATGAGTTCATCTAAATTCCATACAAGAATTTTATTACTTTTATTTATTTATTTTTTTGGAGAACAGAAGCTCAGGATTTTGTAGTTTGAAGGAGTTGATTCTAAAAATGAATCATCACATAGATTAAGTATCTGCAGAACTTGGTTTCAGCCAAAAAAATTATACATGACATTAAATCAGTGTTGTTTATTTTATAGGTGCTTGAAGCATTGTGTATTTAATTGGTTGAAACATTTTAGCGATATTGTAGCAAAGAAGGTTTGGCTGTATTCTAGACAGGGCACCTGTCTCCAATCCCATCACTCAGCTTCCTGCTAATGCGCCCGGTAGGCAAACACAGCAAAGTAACGAAGCTGATGCTGCCACCAGCCCGGTCCAGCAGCCACCAGCCCGGTCCAGCAGCCACCAGCCCGGTCCAGCAGAGCCCTGGGCGTGCCAGATCCTGGGGGAGTGAACTGGTGTAGGCGAGATCTTTATTTCTGGGTGTCTGTCCCTCAGCCTTTCAAATAAATCTTAAAGAAAAGCTTAACTTATAAAAGTTAGAACCATAAACAGTTTATATTTACTTTTAATATATATTGAAGCAAAAGAAAGAAAAATGACTAAAGTCTGTATTATAACAAAAGGAATATTTCCTTTAAAGAATATTTACCTCATTCTGCATTAAAACACACTGTGTAACTTAAGGCACGAAGTCATGAGTTATAATAGTTCTTCTAATTATATATAGTGTCAAGAGGAACAAATGTCGCTCTGCAGTTTCTTGTTAAGCTACATATTACACGTGTATGATTCATGTTACAACAAAGAACTGCCAGGAAATGGCATTACCTTAACTATTTTCTAACTACGATCATTAGAAAAGTTAAAAAAAAAACACACACACATACTTTAGCAGGATATCTGAATAACTTCACAAATCCCAAGTCGTCACCGGTAGCCAGGACCACTCCGTCACTGGTGAGGCAGCAGGCAGTTATATCCGTGACTTCTCCAATTACTGGCCAAATTCCCTCGCAGCACACACCAAGGACACTTGTCCACGATGCCCAACCAATTTTTTCTACCTAAAAAATGAAAAAAGAAAGCTTAAAGTTTACAACGCACACCTATGAAGAATAATCCAAACACGGACTGTTGCCTTTATCATTATATATACTTTTTATAAAAAGTTAAATTATTAATTTTCTTGGCTTTATAGCTTCCCAGTCTACTAGCTTCTACAGAAAAAGAAATTAACATTATTTAAGACATTGAAATGAAACATTTATATAATTTTTATTTTTCCTTGAGCGTATGCTTATTTTTTTTTCAACCATTTAGAATATTAAAACATTTTAAAATTCACAGCGGGTACCATCATAGGCATGAGTCTGGATACTGCGAGGGATTCCCCAGACCTGTGAGGGTAATTCTGGTATTCTGGTAGCTGATCCTTCACTCTCCTTTAGTCTCCCAGTCTCCGCACACCTGCAGTGCCTCCGAGAACCCTACGAATCATTTTTGAGACTCGCAGCTAGCTTGGACTCTAGGGATTTTGAAACCGCAGTAGAAAATCGTAGAAGGTGTGCGGAGGAGGCTGTTATTCTCACTTCCTCATTCCGAAATATGAAGAAACATTCTTGTACCTCATGTCAGAATATCTACTCATGCATTCTAAGCCAGCCTTCCCCCCCCAACTAATTAGTACTAGAAATCTAAATTTTTACTTAAGAGTCCCTCCCTTTAATAATCCACGTTCACGCTAAAAAATTTGCTGAGTTTCATTTCATGGGCCATGTAAAAAAAAAAACCTTGCTAAGATTGCCAGGCAGAAAGCTGAACAGTGGGGCAGGCTCCTGGCACAGCAGGTGGGATGCCACTGGGATGTCTGCCCCCTACCCCAAAGCGCCTGGCTGGAATCCTCTGCTTGGCATCCCGCTTGCTGTTCGTGTGCAGCTGGGGAGGCGGCTGCTGATGGCTGAGGAGACTAGGAGACTAGCCTGCACTCTGGCCTCCTGGCTTGGGTCTGGTCCAGCCCCAACTACTGCCAGCACTTGAAGAACGGGGGCTGGGACTCGAACCCAGGGACTACGACAGAGGATATGCACAGCGCAAGCACCACGTTCCCTCTTCCACATCCCAGCTTCCGGAATACAGTGTTTCACTGCTGTTGCTTCAAGCCTTTACAAAATGTGTGTTAAAGTTGAGCACATTCCATGTGCTTCACACACACAGTTGTCCCTAAGACCCTGGGCCATTTTCTGCCACTTTTCCAGGAACATTAATGACAAGGCAGCTGAATTGAAAGTAGAGCAGCCAAGACTCGAGACAGTGCTCACGAGAGATGCCAGAGTTTGCAGCAGCTTAACTCACTGTGCCACAATGCCAGCCTGCCATTGCTTTGTTTAAACAGCTGTTGGTCAACAGGCATGTTAAGCACATGGGTTCCAAAGGCTGTGTCAAACACACAGTCCTCCTGTCTTAGACGGCGTGTCCTCCGTTACTGTCCGGAAAGCAGCTGGAGCACAGCTGGGCATACAAGCGCTTCATTCCTTTTCTGAAAACAAAGTTTCTTTCCTTGCTCATCTGAGTATTCTGGCTCAGTAAAATAAGCTTATTCAAAGAATATTCGAGAATGAGCATTTACGTGTGACTAAATGACGGGAATCAGATGCTGCCTACCAACAATACCACAGGTACGATCACCTTCCTACCTCCACACTGGGGATGTTTTGTTTTTTCCCTCTGGGAGCTTCAAAGAATATCTGTTCTTTAGCACCAGTGTTGACCTGTAAAAGCTTTCCTTAAAAAAAAAAAAAAGGAAAATACATATATGAAAATGATACATATATACTATTAGTAAGAAGTGAATATTTATCGGAAAAATGATTTTTATGTAAAAAAACAAAAACATAAAACTAAACAATCAACATTAAGGATATTTTATTTCCTTAATATTCATACAACTATTTATTAAACTCATAAATAGCTCATTTAAAACAAAAAATCCACTTTATTTGAAAGGCAAACCAACAGAAAGAGCTCTTCCATCCACTGGTTAAATTCCTTCAGCAGCTGGCCAGAGCAAGACAGGAACTCCATCTGGGTTTCCCACATGTGTGGCAAGGCCTCAAGTGCTGTGCCATCAGCCCCTGGCTCCCAGCCTCACTGGCAGGAAGCCGGATCAGAAGCAGAGCAGCAGGGACTGAACCGGCACAATGCAATGCAGTTGATTTGCAGCACTACAAAGCCTGCATCCAGTTTAACTGTTGGACATAGAGGTAAATACAAATTATCCATTTTTTTTTTAAAGCCGAGGAACAAATGTTGGAGTATTTCTTAAAAGTCAGTGTAGAGCTGGGTGTTGTGGCATAGTGGTAAATGCTACCTGTGACGCCTGCCTCCCACGTGGGTGCTACTTCATGTCCTGGTTGCTTCACTTCCGCTTGAGCTGGGAAAGCAGCAGCAGATGGGCCCAGTGTGTGGGCCTTTGCCACCCTGGTGGGAGACCCAGGTGAAGCGGCTGGCTAGCCAAGAGCTGGCCGCTGCAGCCTCCTGGGGAATAAGCCAGCACATGCAGGAGCTCTCTTCCGGTCTTTGCCTCTCTTTATTACTCTTTCAAAATAAGCAAGTCTTTTGAAAAAGTCAGTGTAGATATTCTGTTTAACAATAGTTGAAAAACATTAATGATACTACATATATATTTCAATCCAGGAAATAAAAGCTCTTAAAAGGAAGCATTTAAAATTATTTTTTAAACACTGTTGCACACCAGTCTTCAAAAAAACAAAGATAATCAAATTCTTTACTGAACAGTTACGACTACTTTTAGAAATTACATTTATATCAAATGATAGGACAAATGACTTTTAAATCCCAATGAACATTTCTGTCCTGCAAATTTGAGGTTAATATTTTTATGAAATCTATCTGACAAAAATCAGGACACTACCCTGACTAAATTTTTGTCTATTTGAATTCCAGTAGGTAAAATGCTGAAAATTCTAAACTCTATGATGTTGAAGTTCAGATGCAAAGAAAGTAGGACTAAAATCCTACATTTTTCAACTCACATTGTATTTCTGCTTCTTCTGAGAGTCGCATGAAATCGAACGTGCCTCACATGAAGCGTGCAAAGCCTTACCTCTGGCATCCCAGTCTATGTGGGTTATGTAACTGGTGGCGCCTTTGCAGATCCCGACCCGCTTACTGCTCAGGACATTGTAAATGTCGACGAAGCTGTCGTGGGAGGCCACCGCCAGGTACTTCCCAGAACCTGCAACAAAAAACATGTCCGCGTCGCCTTATCTACCTCCGGAGGGTTTCTGTTGTCCAACATAGTGCAATTAGGGTTAGTGTTCTTCCAATTTTTTGGAGGTATCTTAAGATGTCCCACAGGTCGCATGAACACAGATGCGTCAGATCACAAGGACACGTTTTTCCCAGTATAATTTTAAAAATGAAGCACATTTTTACTGAGCAAAATTAGTTCAGTAGAGGGCAAGTGCGAAAAAAAAAATCTATAATTTGGAGACACTTTGTATTTGACCTCTCCTAAGCACTCCAAGTTTGGGGAAAATTGAATTCAACTATATAAGTAAGCTTTCACTTTAATGTTAATTCCCAGGGTACATTAGGTTTGCGATTTAATAAGAAATACTTGGAAATTGGTGGAGAGACATTCATGCAATTTCTAATGACAGTAGTTATCCAATCCTGGATATTAGGAGAAGTGCCTCAACTGAGGCAAGGCAAACGTAGGGATGACACAAAACCAGATATTTGCACTAATCTAACATACATGGCTTTAACCTCCCACCACACTGCTCTTCTGGACAAAACGATAAAATTTTGAGATAAAATACTGCTCATGAAAATTACACATTGATAGTGCCAGACTTGAGTTAAAAATCAAACACAATCTTGATGGAATCTTACCGGGTGAAAACCGAATATCTGAGATAATATCTTTTCTGTGGTGAAAAGATACCAGATCTTCCAGAGTGTCCGCATTCGCCAGCAGGAAGCTGCCATCATTGAGCCCCACAGCCAAGGCTTTGCCGTCAGGAGAAAAGCAGCAACACCTCCCGCCTGCAAGACAGCGTACGTGTCAGGCACTTTTAAAAATGAAAAATGTAAATATATAAAGACTTTTTCATTTCAAAGAGGGGCTGGCATTGTGGGGCAGCAAGGCAAGCTCTTGCCGCGATGTTCATATCCCAGAGGAGTGCTGGTTCCAGTCCTGGCTGCTCCACTTCCGGTCTGATGCGCCAGGGAAAGTAGCAAAGGACGCTCCAAGTTTTTGAGCTCCTGCTCCCACAGGGAACACCCAGATGGAGTTCCAGGCTCCTGGTTCTGGCTATCGCGGCCATTTGGGGGATGAACCAGTGGATGGAACGTATTCATTCTCATTCTCTCAGGAATGAACCAGCACATGGGAGAGGAATCTCTCTCCAACTCTGCTTTTCAAATAAGTAATTATAAAAATGGAGCCAACAAAGTCTTCTATGAAACTCTAAGAACTAAAAAGCTTTACATCTGTGTGTAATAAATACAAGGACTCATTAACCCTAGAAGAATCAGAGCATGCCTTTTTTGGGGGGGGGGGGGCTAGTTTAATAGCTTCTAGCTAATAAATCGGAACTTTAAGAAAATAAGACCTTAATATAAACCTTAAAATCTTAGAAAATTTGACAACAGGTCATTATTAGTTGAACCTAGGAAGATCTATGTACATAAGTTTAAAAACCATAAATAAAAACACACAAATGAAGAAGTGATGGCAATATGATTAACTTTGTTATTAATGAAGTTACTTTTATATATATAAAGCTTAGTGCTGGGCCCGGCGCGGTGGCGCAAGTGGTTAAAGGTCCTCGCCTTGCACGCCCGGGATCCCATATGGGCGCCGGTTCTAATCCCGGCAGCCCCGCTTCCCTTCCAGCTCCCTGCCTGTGGCCTGGGAAGGCAGTCGAGGACAGCCCAAAGCTTTGGGAACCTGCACCCGCGTGGGAGACCCGGAAGAGGCTCCTGGCTTCGGATCGGCATAGTATCGGCCCGTTGCGCTCACTTGGGGAGTGAATCATCGGACGGAAGACCTTCCTCTCTGTCTCTCCTCTCTGTATATCTGCCTTTCCAATGAAAAAAATAATAAAAATAAATCTTTAAAAAAATAAAGCTTAGTGCTGTACTGCTAAATAAAAACACAAATGCAGGCTCCCTCTCCCAGCCAAGAGATGCAGCAGCATATTCAAAAGCTCTAAAACTTCTGCTGTTTTACACGAAACGTGACGAGGAAGGGATGGAATACAGCTGTGAAAGAATGGAAAGCTGGAGAGTGAACTGAGGATAGGCCATCGATCATTTGTTAGGCAGACATTGGTAACGCAGACATCTAGGATATTTCTGAGATTTGAGATTCAACAGATGATGATGGCCTGGAATAAGCTGGCAGGAGGAGTGCCAGAAACTGGTGGAGTTTGAATACATTTCTAAGATCAAGCTGGCAGCACTTCGACCAACCAGGTGTGAGATAACAGAAAAAGGTAAATGTCCATGCTAAGCTGAATGACGACGCCCTTTACAGAGGTGCAAAAACCTGGATGAGCTGTGTTTGGTTCTATACCCTTTAGGGGTGCAGAAAAGAAATCTAAGTGAAGGCATGCAGGAGCTGGCTTGGTTCAGTGACACTTCTCTGGGGCCCGAGGGAGAGCAGGCTAGCACTACACACGCGTGTAGATGGCAGCTACAGCCACGAGACCGGCTAAGTGATGATCACCTTGTGCCTCCCAGCTCCAAGTCCACCCTTGTTTCTCAATCAAAGCTCAGGGATCAATCACATTTTAAAAATCTGCCTGGTTAAAATGCCCTATCTTAAAAATAAACCATATCAAACAATAAAATGCAAAAAAAAAATAAAAATAAAAAAATAAATCTGCCTGGTAACAGAGAAAGACATCAGGGAACGTACTTGTCTGTTTTGGACTGAGTTCCAATTGCATGGGAGGAATCACATTTGAGAACTCAAGCTCAGGAAGTGACACAGGTCTTGGAGTTGAGTTTACATTCGTTACAGGGCACACACAACCCTGGCGGATGAAATGAACTTTCAGTGATTCTGGTTTTACCCCAGACACTTGGAAGAAGGAAATGTGAAATCTCTCTGGGAACACATAGCCTTGATCCGGACTTTATCAAACTGCCCCAAAGTCCGATGATTTAAACTTACTTTTTTAAAAAGATGTTTTTATTTTCATTGGAAAATCAGATATACAGGGAGGAGGAGAGACAGAGAGGAAGATCTTCCATCCGATGATTCATTCCCCAAGCGGCCGCTCAAGAGATGGAGCTGATCTGAAGCCAGGAGCCTCTTCTGGGTCTCCCACATAGGTGCAGGGTCCCAAAGCTTTGGGCCGTCCTCGACTGCTTTCCCAGGCCGCAAAGCAGGGAGTTGGATGGGAAGTGGGGCTGCCAGGACACAAACCAGTGCCCATATGGGATCCCAGCATGTACAAGGTCAGAATTTTAGCTCCTAGGTTACCGCACTGGGCCCGAATATGAACTTTTGATCCAAATTTTAAAGCATGCAAGAAAATGGACCCCTAAGAGGGAGTCAGTAAGAGAGAAGAGAAAGAAAATATTCCCAACCAGAACACCAGCACAATTGGTTTCTTGGGGATGTCCTATAATTAGACTTTAACAAGAAATCTACTACTTTTTTTGACAGACAGAGATCATTGTTAGCTTACACGCCAATGAGTCAACACAGCCAGGGCTGGGCCAGGCCAAGACCAGAACATCACAGCTCAGCCTGGATCTCCTGCAGCGGGGAGGCAGAGACTCGTGTTATTTCAGCCATTACCAGCAGGAAGCTGGACCAGAAGCAGAGTAGCCAGGACTCAGGAAGAAAGTTTTAAAAGAAATATAATTTCTGAAAATGAGCTAGTTGATGGGCAGGTGTGAAGGGCTGTTATAAAGAGAGAATTAAGAGCCAGAATAGGGGATGGCAATGTGGAATGTGGGTAAAGCATCGGCATGCCGTGTACGCGCTGGTTAGTATCCCAGCTGTTCTACTTTCCATCCAGCTCCTTGCTAATGGTCTGGGGAAAGCAAAGATGATCCAAGCATCTGGCTCACTGCCCCCTACGTGGAAGAGCTGGAAGAGGCTCCTGGCTTCAGCCTGTCCTTCCCAGAGCTGTGTGGCCCTCTGGAGAGTGAGCCGGGAACGGAAGATCTGTGTCTTGTTTTCCCTTTCAAATAAATAAATGAATCTTTAAAAGAAAAATAAGTGTCTTAAATAATGCAATGCAATTGCTACACAGAGACAGAATACAGAAGATGAGCCTAGCAGAATGAGTTTGCTGCCCTGTTATGCTCCGTCCTAGAGTTTCCATGGGGAGGGCCCACGCGTCGGTGTTCCTGCCGCCCCACGGGAGAACTGGACTGAGTTCCCAGCTTGAGTCAGGCCATAATGTGCATCTGGAGAGCTGGCCAGCACACCCAAGCTCTCTATCTCAAATAAACAAAAATTAAAACAGAAACAGAAGACCTTTTAACATTCATAATTAATTACAATTAAAAGCTGGAACCAGGGGATACAAAAAAAAGTTAAAGGGGAACCTCCCACCAAGTCATTTAATAGAGAAATTCAGTAGAAGGCACAACCCAATATTTTATCACCTACAAATGTGCTATGCTTCTTGACCTCTAACGACTTATTTTTATAAAACACTGAACCTTAGCAAAATAATTGTATATCCATTTGAAGAAAATAGTATGTTAACTGAATGTCTCACATAGGTATATTTTATAATATTTAATCAAATATGACCTGTTATCTTGTTATTCTCAGCTAGTATAAAACATCTCAAGTTAGGAAAATCTTTTTCTTGAACCAATGATAACAAAAATCAATTAAGGATGCTCATAGAACAATATTTAAAAACAACATACAGAATATGAATTTTCCCTACAACCTGACATAAATATCCAGTCTTAGGAGACACGACCGCTGTGAGACACTTCTCAGGATTGAGAGATGTAAATCCACAGATAAAGCACACAAGCAACTTAGGCAAAATGAAAACAAATAAATGCACACGTGTGAATGATACTAGGAAACCACGGAATGTAGAATAAGGTGAAAGAAAAAAGTAGAAACCAGAGAAATATTATCTTTTTCCCAAACACTTCTGGAGCAGTTGTCAAAAATTAAAGTAAAAAAGTCAAAATATGTCAGACCAGAGCTGTGGGATGCCAGGGCAAGGGCACTAGTACCACGTCACTCTAAGTGCAACAGCGTTAGGTCCAAGTACAAATCCAGCTGCTGAAGGCTCAGGATGCCCGTGAGAAGCACGTGAGAAGCACCCCGCCCCCTGCCTGTGCTGAGCTGCAGGTGCACATGGAGCAGTGCAGGCCACTTCCACCTGGTCTGCACTGAAGGAACTACAAGGAAAAAAGAAAAAATCCTGGTGCACAAGTAGCATCAATAAGTGAAAAAGGAAAGGCAATGACTGGAGTTCGAGTGCTCTAATCTCGAATTTTTTGTTAAATATACAGAATAAATAATTAAAAACTCGGACTCCGCCTGAGAAGCCGACGGAAGAAAAGGAAATTAAGTACTGAATTATAAATGTACACCAACTCGGCCTTTCGTATGGCCAGACGTCCCTTCCTACATCTGTTAACTGTATCATATTTTTTTGAAAAAAAGGTTTCTTTTATTTATTTGAAAGGCAGAATTAGAAAAAGTCAGAGGCCTCTAGCTTTCCCCCAGGTCTCCCACACTAGTGCAGGGGCCCAAGGACTTGAGTCTTCTGCGACTTTCCCTGGTGCAATTGCAGCCAGCTGGACTGGAAGTGGGGCTTCCAGGACTTGAACCAGAGCCCGTGTGGGATGTCAGCCTTGCAGGCAGTTTAATGCACTGCGCCACAGCACCAACTCCTGTTTCATATTTCCTACAGTAGCTGTCCCCAATTTTTTCAACTCAAATTCCACCTGTCATGTCCTTATTCTTTAGCATAACATTCCCTACCACTTCATAAAGCAATCTTCAGCTGCCTCTGTCTTGGTGACTTGGTTCCATTCTACGCCGACAGCTTTGTTTGCCTCATACGATGGTATTCAGTTATGTTCCAGCCTACAATATCCTTCCCTTACTCTTCTATCCTTTTAAGATCTCCTTTCTTAAGTTTTGAATTACATATAAACCGTAATTATTGAGGAGAAAAACACCATGTCTATTTACACCCCACTGTCTTTCTTCCAGCAGGTCAGTGACAATTAGCTCAACTTAAGCATGATCACAGGCTATCCCTTAAAGACTGGGATGATGGGTTTTCTTTATACAACACCAAGAGCAAGTGACTATTACAGCAGAAATATTTTGAAATATTTAAACCTTTTTAAACATGTGCCAACTATTAATTTCTTATGTTTATAATGGTTAAACATTTTTTGACAACTCAATCTGTAAGTGTGAGAGCCTCTTACCCTTTTTCAGTTTCCGGACAGCCAACATACAGTGGCTAGGCGAGAGGTCCCATATCCTTAAGGTTTTATCATCACTCACAGTAGCACAGATGGGCAGATAAGGATGTGTAGCCAAACCCCACACCTCACCTTCCATGTGTCCCTATAAAGGAAACATAGTGAAGATCGGTTTATCCCCAAGTTGTATGTATGCTGATGTGTGTGTAGGTAAGTGACTTCATTCGGAATTTTTGCAACAGTCCATAATGTGTGTTAACAGGTAGGATAATGAATAAGTCTAGCAAAAATAATAATAACTCTATGACTACATTATCATCAAGTTACTATTCAAATTAACTTATTATCAGACATTTACTGGGTGGAGGAAATGGAAACTGGTTGCCTGAAACGTTAGTAACTGTCACACAGGAAGAACTACTGAACGACAGAGTGAGCAACTGCATAGAGACGCTCGTGAGCGAAACTGGCCTGACTTCAAACAGGAAAGACAGAAACGCAACTGCTGGAAGTCTCTGAAACCGTCACAAGGAGACAACAAATGAAAGATTTACACAAGCAAATCTGTTAAAACCCGGGTGGGATCATGGGAGGCCCTCCTCATTTGGATGGACTTGTGCTTCCACCACACACTCCAGGCTCGGCTCCCACCGGGAGGCTAGCTTCCTGTGTCAGATAGGAAGTGAGCATTTTTCATTGTGCCCCCAGCTCTGGGTTGCTGGTGGGTACAGCAGCAGGAGCCGACTCCAGTTTGGTGTAAAGCCACTTGGGATAGGGGGCGCTGGCAGCAACTTACAAAGACCTGAAACTACTGTCCCTGCTCACCCTCAGGAACTTCCTCCAGGTCTCCCACATGAGTGCAGGGTCCCAAGGTTTTGGGCCATCCTTGAGTGCCTTCTCAGGCCACAAAGTAGGGAGCTGGATGGGAAGTAGATCTGCCGGGATTAGAACTGGTGCCTATATGGGATCCTATAATTGATTTCTATATTAGTTTTGTTTCTAATAACTTAACTGGATTATTTAGTTCTAATAATATTTCAGGTTTGATATTCAAAGTATAAGATGCTACCTATACCAAAAATATGAAGGATCCAAGTAAATTGGTATTTAAAAAAAAGATTTACTTAATTTGAAAGGCATGTTTACAGAGAGGAAGAGAGACAGAGAAAGATCTTCCATCTGCTGGCTCATTCCCAAGTGGCTTCAATAGCCAAAGCTGATCCGATCCAAAGCCAGGAGCCAGGAGCCTCTTCCAGGTCTCTCACATGGGTGCAGGAGCTCAAGGCCCTGGGCTGTCCTGACTGCTTTCCCAGGCCACAAGCAGGGAGCGGGATGGGAATAGCAGCCAGGACATGAACTGGTGCTGATATGGGATCCCTGTGCTTGAAGGAGAAGAACTCACCAACTGAGCCATCACACTGGGCCCATAATCTAAGCTAGAACTTAAAAAATAATCTAACTGGAGAATTACAAATAAAGCATTTGCCTTAGGCTAAACAGCTATATTGAAAATAAATAAAAATTACAAAACAAACACATTGAGTTAAATTAATTACAATTGGCTTTATTTCCACTGTTCTGCGATTTTGTAATAAGCAATCACTTCTTATTTTGGTCACCACTCCACAACAATATGCACCTTTGTTTACATCGTCTTTTTCTATATTTTAATAGCATTAATAAACATTTCCCTAATTTAACATCTTTCACCATTGCTAATTTCTGACTCTTACTTACCTAAAGAATCACCGAGACAAAGAATTAAGCATTTCAGATTTTACAATTACCTGAACCAGAAGCGTTATTGGGCCACTTTTATCCACTTCTAGTATTTCTCCGTTCTTTGTGCCAACTAAGATATGACCATGTCCTAGAGATATGGCACGTATAGATGGGTTATCTTCCAAGAGAAGACCTGAAATGTTAAGTGCAGATGTTCAAGTATGAGGTTCCTGTAACACAGGGAGATATGTATTTCCAATGATGCTATTTTACCAGTGACAATCCTGCTAGAATGCTGTTTCTCCCTGTATTTTAAATATTCCAGTAAATGGATTGCATTCCCCCAGTGCATTTATCTCAGAATTCTGACGGATCCTGCCCCAGACCCCGCTGCTCTTCTGACAAGTGTCTCTTGTTCTCTCACATCAGGGACTCCTCATCACTTCCCTCACCTCTCAGACCACTGACTTGGGTTCATTTCCATTCAGCATAAGGCATATTTGTTCCTGTCTACTGGGCCCTGGGCATGCTTCAGAGGTTGATGAACCCAGCTCCTGCCTTGTCAGAGCAGACAATGAAGAAAGCAGACCCCGTGTGAGGAGAGTATTAGAAATGAGAATTTCACCCTTGCATTTTGGGGAGGTGAGAAAAAGGAGAGCCATTCCAGAGGACAGTGCATTTGAGATCTGAAGAGTGAGCATGTGGAGGCAGCAGGGTGGAGGGAGGGCAAATTCTGGGCACAAGCTTTGGCCTGCAGGAAGGCCTGGTGGTCAGAAGCAGGGAGGCATGGGGCCAGGAGGAGGAACTTCACCAAGAGGAAGTGGAGGCCAACCAAAAGCCAACCAGGGTTGGGGCAAAACGGCAGTCAAGTTCCAGCTGTGACACAAGTTGTGCTTACATGGAAATCTTCCGAAAATTAAAGGGTCAAAAATTAATCATCTTGCATCTGGTTAATATTTTGTGTATATCAGAGATTTTAAAAAGGAGTGCAATGACACTGGTACCCCCTGATTATCATGTCCATCGAATAAAGAAGGAAAAATAATTCCATGTGTTCTGCCTCAGTGATCACACAATCCTTTTCCTTCCAAATACACCAAACCTGAGGTCACCTTTGGATCCTGGGGCCAAGGCGGCTCTTTTAATCGCATACGTCTTGAGGCATCGTTCAAAGGTGTCACCCCAGAGCGCAACTACTCCGTCTTTCCCTCCAGTTACAAATCCCTAAAAAAATAAGATTTGTGTCAATAAAGAACTAAATATGAAAAGTAATAACTTGTTTCATATACAAGCTTTTAGAAGAAAGAATATAGGTAAAAGTTATAGCGCATAAATAGGGATTGGCAGAATAGATTATGTTTTTGTAAAACAGCATGAAATCTTCAAGAATGTTTACAGTGACAACAAACTTTTACTTTTACAGTAGGACTTTGTGACAAATGGTTTCTAATTTAGCACAGTAAGTCAGATCTTCCACTTTCAGCAAGTTAAGCAACAGTATAGCGTACTGGAGTCTAACTTCGTCTTTTAAGAGGAAGGAATAAGGGCATCATGTGGTAAGACATGCAACTATAAACTCAATTCTCAGATCACCTTTAGCTGCTGGGGCCAAAGCAGCTCTTTTTTATTACATTAAAAAAAAAAGATTTATTTTTATTGGAAAGGCAGGTTTACAGAGAGGAGAGAGAGAGAGAGAGAGAGAGAGAGAAAGGTCTTCCATCCGCTGGTTCACTCCCCCAGTGGCTGCTATGGCTGAAGCTGAGACAATCTGAAGCCAGGAGCCCGGAACCTCTTCTAGGTCTCCTACTTGGGTGCAGGGTTCCCAAGGCTTTGGGCTGTCCTCGACTGCTTTCCCAGGTCACAAGCAGGGATCTAGATGGGAAGCAGATCAACTGGGACACAAATCGGCACCCATGCGGGATCCTGGTATGTGAGAGGTGAGGATTCAGCCACCAGGCTACTGTGCCAGGCCCTATTGCCAATGTTTTGAGGCATCTTTCAAAGGTATCTCCAAGAGTCACTGCATCATGCTTCCTCCAGTTACAAATCCTCAGCATCATCTCTCCGACACACAGTAATGGCTAAATAAACATCAAGTTAAAAATTTTCAAAAAAAAGTAAAATCTATTGAACTCCGTATTCAAAAGTTTGAGGGGAAAACAAAACTAAACAAGGTCAAGAAGACCCCAGACTATTTTCAGGCAGCCCAGGCAAGCAGAAAACGCACACTTTCCTTTTGAAAGCGCTCCACTCTGTATGATCAAATCACACCTGACTTCGGGTCCGTGTTTGCTCACCTTTTCCAGAGCATGCATGCTGAACACGGGCCCGTCGTGCGCTTTGACTGTTTTTACAAGAAAGACGTCTCTCCAGATACACACGTCCCCCGTCGACGTTCCGGAAAAGGCCATCTCTTCGGTGCCCCCGTACACAGCACACATCATCGTGTCCTGCTTCCCCAGGGTGCCTGTGCAGCCTTTCCTGCCAATCAGTCCTCCGCCTGGCACACACAATCACAAAAGTATCACCCTAAAAGTGTGCACAATTATGAAGAAGTTTCTTTTCCACTGTTTGAGTAGAAAGATAATGTTGAGAGTTGAAAAGAAAAATACAGGTGTCTCTGATTGCACAAAAACCTTGTTTCTATTCTTCTAGGTCAAAGCTTTTTAAAAACACAAGGCACAGGATAAGTCCATTTCCGTCCCTTCTGAGCTTTTTATGATGTTTTATTGTGATCTATACAATGTACAGAGTGGCTGTACATATCCTGCAATCTGAATGTTACTGGAATTTCAGAACTTCAATAAGCTTATTCTTTTCTAATAAAGGTGAAGTACCCCTGATCTGAAATGCACAGTACCAGAATCTTTGCACAGAATACATACTGAGATATCTTGGGGATGGGTTCCTGTCCAACACCTGTTTAGTCTGCAGGTAATTTTTTTTTCACATTCTTTTTTAATAACATTGTGCGTGAGACAGTTTCATGATGTGGAGCCTTCCATACCTGCGATGTCATGTCAGCACCCTAAACATTCTGGAGTTTGGAATATTTCAGATTTCAGACTTTCAGACCAGGAATTTCAGACCAGTTTTTTTTCTTTCTGTATTCACATGTTTCCTTGAAAGACAAACTTATTGAGACTGATAACACACCGTTCAAAATTTTTTTTATAAGCACATTATTCTTTTTGGAAAAGAGACAACAATTTTTATTTAAGAGTGTGAACTTCCACATTTGTAACTTACAGCTGCCAATGACCAAGGTAACAGGACACTCCATATCTATATCATTTTATAACATTAAGATTTTTATACCAACTATTTTCATTTTAAACATAATTTCACTTAAGAAAGGAGTCTGGAACTTCATAATTCTTTTGCAAATATGGTTACTACAAGACACAGGAGAAAACCTTAGATTTGTTTAAAACACACCGAGGTAACAGTGCATCACTGTTTAAACTTTAACTGCTTAGAATGATTTTGGATTTCCAGAACAGCCACAGCTCTAACACAGCACATCTGCCCATCTCTCCTCCAGTCTCCACTGACGGTACCAGCTTGGGTTACCGCAGACCATTTGTTGAAACTAAGGAGCCAACATGTTTGGTATATTCCTATTAATTGGACTCTCTGCCTTACCCATGATTCTATAATATTCTTTTCCTAGGCCAAGACCTAGTCCAGGACTCCACATTACACTTGAAGTTCCTTACAAGTGTAATAATTTAAGTTTCAAAGGAGAAAAAAGGAGCACTTCCTTACCTGCTCTTCGCCAAAATTTCAAATGTTTAATTCCAGCTGTAATTAGTTTATCAGGCACATAAGGATTCATCTTTACAACAAAAATCTTGTCTTTACTTCCTCTGAAATGAATAACAAATGTTCCGGCTTTAAAGAGATGCCCTTTTCGCCGTGACATTTTGCTCAACCCACCATCCTGACCACTACGTTTACTGTGCATTTTTCCTCATTTGCTTCTTAGGTCTGAGCTGCATGACCTTCAGCAGCTTGTTGTTGTTATTTGACTCCATTAACTCTGCTCAACCAACGTCTCCAACTTACGAACTATGAATACTGAATCTCTTAGGAGATGACGAACCTGTAACGTCTACTACCTACTGTGTACACGGAATGCTATCGGTGCCATGAATGGGTTAAGGAAAAAAATTTTTTAAAGATTTTTATTGCAAAGTTAGATACACAAATAATAGAATCAGAGAGGAAGAGCTTCCATCCGCTGATTCACTCCCTAAGTGGCCACAACCTTAAGGTTCTAACAGCCCAAACTGCAGTATCTTGTCAACATGCTATCAAGTGTTGCCCCACCTTGCTAGGGAAAGCTTCTCTCCTTTCTTCCAATCCCACAGCACGATGGTGTGGCTATCGTCTATTCCAACTGAAGCCAGTCGTTTGCCATCCGCTGTGAAAATTAAGCAGATACACACTGGCCATTAACATCCACAGCACTGAAAATGTTAGGGCATTGTATAATCAAAGCACTCCACTTAATGAAACAGTAAGCATTACGTGTTCCCAAAGCTTAAAAAGAACCAGTGCTTCTAAGGGGATGGGGAGCAACAGTTGCCGAAAGCATTTAAACGTCTCTGCTGCCTTCCCACCTGACTTGATCCCATTAGGTTGGGATGGGAGAAAACAATAATGTACTAATTATGTTAATTTCAGAGCTTTAATTACAACATAAAACATACGTGCATTGAAAAATCACACTAATTCAAAAGCACATACAATTATGTTAACTAAAAACAAAAAAAGCGTGAAAAATGAGATTTAAAAGATTTGCTTAGATTAATTCACCTTCAGAATGTTGTAAGAGTTCAGTGACTATAAAAAGTAAGATGAAAACCATGTAAGTTAGAGAAATATATCGTTATTGATATGACTCTTCTAGTGAGCATTAGTCATTCTGGTTGTTACTTATACCAGGCAACAAGTAATGAATATATTAGACAAATCATTAAGATAACTAATGAGGCATGCTGACAGGTAAATAAGACATCTGTAGGCTGTGAAGGTTGAGACCACAGAAAATACTTCCCACTCTGACACTTCTTGTAAGCTTCAGTACTGCTACTGTGCTATTTCTCTTATAGACTTCCTTAGTTTGCCACTCAGTTTGTTGTTCCTGACTGTGATTGCTTCAGCCACAAGAAAAAAGCGATCATAAAATGGCCCATTTTATGACATATTTTTAAAATAAAAATTATATTCAATATGAGTATTGACTAGCCAGAAGATTCATAGTCTCATAGCTTGTTTCAGTGGGATGGCAGTACGCACATGTACTGGATGTCACGGGTCATGTCGGAGCAGCGAGTGGCTCCCGTATGCATCATACCGGGATGGGAAATGGCCTTACCTGAGAAGTCCACAGCACAGACCCCATACTGGTGGTAGCCCTTTAGGACTGACAATGGCTTAATGGTCTCCGTGTCCCATATGTGTATCGAGGGATCCCTACCTACCTAAAATAAAAACAATTCGTTATTTTTATTTCTGTTAAAATGACAGGAGACTTAATAAGTTTCTATAAGGTAAAATGTATTATTTTCTAGTTGATTTTCATCTCATTTCGTAATGAATATGCAAGCTTTTCCATCTGCTGATTCACTCCCCAAACACCCACAGCCATGACTGGGCCAAATGGAACACGTTCATCTCTCTAACCTGAGCTTCATTTGTAAAACGGAGGAGGCCATTTTACTGTCACAGGCTCAAGGCGAGAATTAAACACGTATGTAACAAGACAAGACACTGACCACGGGCTTGCGCCAGGAGACCTGGCCCTTCGCTGCAGGTGTCCTCGGAGTGTGGTATCACTTGAGCATCCTCCCCGTGTTAACACCCGTACTACCTGCTTTGGTAACTATGAATGGGTTCATTTTCACTACAGTTTCAAAAAAAAATTAATGCTCTGATGGAGAAAAACCCCTCACTTCCAAATTCAGATTAAAATAATAACTAAAAACAATAAAGCCGTAAGAAATAAGAGTTGGGGGTAAATTTTGTCTTTAATATATACATACCATTTAAAATTTTCTATTTTTCATTTCCCAGAGCACGGCTTACATAGGTCTATACACACCCAAACACGGATGCACTGAATGAGTGAATTTCAAAAAGTTTGTGGAAAATGGAAATTAAAATATCAGGTTATGGTACAAAATATGCTTAATGTTATGCATTTTTTCGTAATACAGGTTTCCCGTGAACTTCCTGAAGATGCTTCTTACAGATCCAAGCAGGCGATCCAACTTTCAACTCGAACAACTCGTCTTTCAGAGAAACCTACCTGGCCCGTGGCCACGTAGTCCTTGAGAGGATGGAGAGCCAGGCAGAGGATGTCGTCATCGTGCCCTAGGTAAAACCGCTGCGTGTTCTGCTGCCGGTTGTAAATGACACCCACTGCCGCCACGTGGTACACAATCTCACCGATTTGGGTGTAAAACAGATTACTTCGGCAGTCGTAACCTCTGTAACTAATACATAAAACAGATCACTGAGCGTATCCGATCAATACAGGATACACAGAGAAACAGGTAGCCTTTTGGATGTGTCCTTCTAGTTTTACAGGATGTTGGACAACAGAAAATTCCACAGCCTCAGGTCCCACACGCTTTTATGAACTGATCTGATTACGTGTAAGTAAACCCAGATGACTGTGCTGAGCGAAACAGACACAGAAAGATGCAACAGAATACTGTTTACATTAAATCTATTAACTTGTATAAAAATTGTTGCTTTTCTATAAATTAGAGGAGCAAACGGATTTGCACTTTGACATGCATACATATTTCTGAAACTCGGAGACATGACTGCTTGTGTAACGGGGAACAGCACCTGGGACAGGTGGAAGTTTTATTTTCAAATTATTCTTTTAAACATACTTTAAACAATAAATATTTATATTCCAAAAATAAGCCCAACCAATATTTTTAAAATATTTTGTAAGTATGCTTGAAAAGTAGCCAAATCTTTAGTAATTTTTAAAAGTTACTTTAGTTATGAGTTAGAGAGGTGGTTCTCTCTGCACCAGCTCACTTCTTAGACGCCCACAGTGTGTGCGGCTGTGGCCGACTGAAGCCAGGAGCTGGGGGCTCAACCAAAGGCGGCCCAGGAGCCGACCTGGGACTTGAACGCAGGTGCTCCAGCATGAGATCTGGTGTCCAACTGGTGCTCTAATGACCGGTGACACACTCCCACCCTCAATCTGGCTAAACTAGCCAATATAATTTCATTCACAGAAACTTTGCTTACACTTCAAAGAAACAGGATTTGGTGTTGGCACCGTGGATTAGTGCGATAAGCTGCCTTTTGTGATGTTGACATTTTGTATCTAACCATCAGTCTGGTTTGCTCCATTTCCAATCTTCCTACCTGCTTTAATATGCCATGGATCTGAGGCCCTGCTACCCTCGTAGGAACCCCTTTGGAGCCCCAGGGTCCTGGCTTCAGCCCTGGCCCTTCCCTGACCACTGCAGCCCTGACCCTCTGTGGGGAGCCAACAGCAGACAGGAGACCTCTCTTTCCTTCTGTCCCTGTTTCAAACAAATAAATTTACACAATGCAATTATAACACACAGCTGTATTAGAAACATTGCCTATTTTAACGCTATAGAAAAACACTTTTACCGAATAATTATTTTTCAAATCTTTTAAAAACATTATCATGTAAGAAAAAGAGCGCCAGATGAGGAAGGACAGAGTGCACCAGCTGCCACGTGCAGACGCACAGCTGGATCGGCAGGTGTTCTGAGAGAATCCTGAAACTGGATTTCACAGACACACAGCACCAAGGCCAAACGCTCAGGTGCAACGAAGCCAGAGCATCGTTCCACGTTAGACATACTTTGTAGAGATGTTTATTTCTTAACTTTATTGAGTTGCATTTGTTTAAAGAGAAGAGGTATGTCTCGCTAACACTAAATTTTAATAAAACGATTTTTAATTTCATTTAGCAGACAGTTATTTAGTCTTATCACACGCCAGGCAAGACTGAAAGCCACTGCCTTATCAACGTCGCTTCTCGTCCTGCGTGACAGGCGCTCTCTGCTTCGTGTTACACACAGGCAAAGAGGGGCAGGGAGAGGCCCAGGCTCACACAGCCAAAATTCAAATGTCTGAGTGAAGAACAGGGGTGTCATACCCGTGGACAAAGTGTAACCGGATGCTGCTCCCCGGAGCCCGCACTCTCCTTTTGGAGGCCATACCCCTCTGCTTCTCTCTGCACTGCTCCTTAAGCTGAGGTAGATCTTCTTTGTAAACCTTTACAAAGGCACAGAAGCAGGAATCTTAGCACAAACATCAACAAAGGCATTCATGTATCCCGACATGGTGGTTACTGTTGGCCTTTAACAACTGTCTCACACGTAAATACTCGTGAAAAAGAACAAATTCACATTTTCCATCTGTCGCACTGACAAATGCATGTTAAGTATTCCAAGACGTGTGTACTTCCAAGAGAGTTAAGAATGTACTGTGACAAAAACCTCTTAGGAAACAAAACAGACCTATATCCTGTGTTCAATATAAAGCACATTTCACAGAAATACACTATAAAAGTCCAGGAAACTAAAATCGCAGAGGGCAGTAACGAAGCAGTGACTGGCCTTTGCAGGGGAAGCTGTGTGGTCACGGAGCTCACCTGCCGCCGGTAGGTGAGCTGTGTCTCCTGCTCGATCTCAGAATCCAGCTCTGGAGCATCAGACAGATCGGAATCCGACTCATCGCTGTTGGAATCAGCCAGGCTCTCTGGAATTTCAGAACGACATGTTACTTGTTCAGGGGGAAGACATTTTCAACACAGCACTGTAAAACTGACGGGCGGCAGCCCGCGCTGTCAAATGAGACGAGCCATACAAGCACCAGCTGGCATTACCTCACCAAGCGACACGGGGGGAGTCCCATGCTGCACCACAGATAACGGTCCTCTCCTCCCACTGCAAACAGCTCCTTCCCACCCCTTCACCCGCTCCCGAATGACCGCCACACCAAAGCTAACTGTGCAGGTGTCAGCGGGTATAACCTAGAGTTACCATGAAAAGTCACTAAGAGATGCTACATGTCACAGATAAGCTGACATCACACATTTGTTTTGGTTTGGTCTCAAAAAGCATATAGCTGAACCTAGCCACCCCTCTTCCAGTGGATATGTTAAATGCTTGCTTTGCTAACACGGCTGTTTCTTCACCTTATCATTTGATAGAGTAATTTGGTTGCATTTTTTAATCTATTTCAGGCCCTGTGATATCTTTAATTTGAAGTTTCTGCTGACCGGAGTGACAAGACCAGCAGCAATACAGAACTGCTGAAGTATCAGAACCACTTGAGCAGCGCCCTCGGAGCGTGCCCCACATCCGGGACCCTGGGATGGTTGGGAGGCTGGGTGTGGCTTCTCCCCTTATCTCTCCCCTCCCCCCAGATACGGGAAGAAGAAAGGAGAATGTAAAAGCAATGGTCTCACCCACCTTCCTCTAGCCCTTGACCTCCGCACCCTAATCAAATGTGTTAATTATGAAAATTAAACTTTATACAAAAAAAAACTATGCTGTTGATTTGCGAGACTAGACAACACTTTCATAGTGAAAGCGTTCTACTGGGGTCACTGAAGAGTTATTTGGTGGGGAGGCTGCTGAGGCCACGTGCAGTACTCACCTTGGGGTGCGATGTGAACAGCCTCTTTCAGCTTTCTTTCAGGAATAAACTTCCATTGAAAAACAGAGTGATCCGCTCCACCAATAGAAATAACCCACTGATAGTCATGTGACCACCTGACGTTAGTCACATGAGCAGAATGGCCACTGTATTTTCTGAACTTGGCCCCTATAACCAAAACAGATGTTTAAATAGATTTTTAAAAAAAACCCACTTCAAATAAGAATCTCCACACAAGAACCATGGTGGCATCCTTCCATTGTATTAACTGTGATCACATGGGAAAAACCTGCATTTAAAAAACGTTGAATCTACTAATGAATGAGTTGATATCAGGGGATGCAAAGGCTCCCTCTGCTGATGCCTCATTATCTGACCACTTCCAGAAAAACCCAGCAGTCACCGGTCTTCACATTGAGACGTTTGAATGCTCAGGCCGAAGGCCTCTGGCCTCAAGTGATGTTTAAAGGACTCGGCCCATCATCTCCACTCTCACCGGTCTCAAAGCAAGTAGCTACAGGAGCCTTTCAAAATCCAGCATTATTTAACATAACCAGACGGAATTTAAGCCAGGAAAGCAAGCTTGGTTCTATGAGCAGACATTGTGGCACAGCCACCGGCAATACCAACAGCCAACACTAGAGGGCCTCGCTTGAGTTCTGGCTTCTGCTTCTGACTGGGCTTCCTGCTGATGTAGCTGCGAGGTAGCAGCTGTCCAAGCCCTGGGGTGCCTGCCAACTCTAGGGGAGACCTAGATAGAATCCTGGCTCCTGACTTCAACCTGGCCTAGCCCCAGCTGTTGCAGGCAATCGGGAGTGGGATTTGAACCAATGGATAGAAAATATCAATCTCTGCTCTATATTTTTCTTTCCAATAAATATAAATATATATTTTTGTAAAAAGTCAATGCAAAACACCATATCAATTGAAATTTTTAAAAATGCCCAATTCCCCTACAATGTACTTCATGGCTATTGTCTTAATACAGATCTTCTATTGAGCATCTTCCAGCTTATGTTTATCTGATGTTCCATCCCATGTGGGCACCCGTTTGAGTCCCAGCTGTTCCAGTTCCCTGCCAACGTGCCTGGGAAAGCAGCAGAGGACGGCTGGCCCATGCTGAGGCCGAAGGGCCACTGGGGAATGAACCCGTAGATTAAGCATCTGTCTCCCATTCCATCCCTCCCATTCTCTGCATCTCTGCCTTAAAAAAAAAAAAGACAAATGTTGATGCACTAGAAATACACACCACACCTCATATAAAACCAATTCCCTACGAAGGAATTCTTCAAAAATTAAGCATCCCAAGAAACTGATGTTCCCAAATAGTACGCTTTATTTTTTTGTATTTACAATAAAAAAAATGATTTTGTATCCTGCTTTAGTTTTGGTTTACAGGAATTTCAGACTCAAATCTGGAGTGTGACTATTGTCGCTTTAAATCTCATTTTAATTTAGTATCTCCATTTATATGTTCCTCATTACTGATTGTCTATTCTTAACTGTTTCATTGTGGATTTAAAGTTGGGACATTTTATGAAATAAAGCATGAATTAGATGAAAGATTACTTATGTGGCATTTCATCTAATTATTCCCAGCTATGAACAGAATATCATTTTAAAAGAGTTCAAGGGAAAAAGAGGTGATATATAAAATATATAGAAAATAGCAAATGGTAAGACTTTTTTTACACCTGTTATTGAATATAATCAAGGGTCAAAAAAAATGTGTACTAAAGATTTGAACAAAGACATCCTGACACTTGAAAACTCACCAAGAAACTAGTAAGTTCCAAATTGTGGCCTAAGTTTGAAAAGGGGACTATTTTCTCAGAATTCCTGAGAAAAAGACATAAGAAAAATGTCTCCTAAAGGTACACAGTCAACAAGTAAATGACTAAAGGTGACAAGACATGAGGGAACCACTGCAGTCCGACTTGGGAAGCGGCTTAGGAGGAAGTAGGAAGAACACTTCCTTAAAAACAGAGGTATGGCTTACTCACAATAATGAATTTAAAAAATAATTTTTAGTAAAAATTGCACTGTCAAAGATGTGAAAATAAGCTTTGAATGAGCAACAGAAGGCCCTTCAACAATCAGCGTATATTTTTAAAAATACTAAATCCCTTATTTGTCTCATAACTAATTTTCTATAAGTCTTTTTTAAAGAGAGGTTACTTAGTAATATTCTGAAAAAAAAAAGATACCTTTTCTTAAACATGGATATCGAAATAACTTCACTATTCCATAGTCGTCAGCTGTAACTAAAACTTGACCGATATAATTTCCATCTACTGAATTTATATCGTTGAGGTCTGAATACTTGGGCCAAATCCCATTCACTTCAAGGCCAGAGACACATGTCCATGAAGCCCAGTGGACACCTTTGATTTCTTCTTTGCTCGACACTTCCTTCCCGCCTAAAAATAAAAGCAGAGTCTTAAGAACTTTACTCTTTTTTGTTCAAAGTTAACTGATAATGCAGTCAACTCTGAAATTTTAAGTTTTCCCATCCCAGTTAAAAGAGTAAAAGTAACTAGGTAGATAATTTTTGATAAGAGAAAATCAACTATGAGGAATTAAAGAGAAAGACCACTACTGAAAATTATATTGTTGAGACACACACAGAGATTTGAATATGATTCAGCTGGCAACTTCACCCATGGAGAGGATGAAATCCTCTACTGAATCCTATTAAAATAATGACACAGATGAGTCATAAACTGGTAAGTTACAAGAAAAAGAAGCAGCTATGAGAAAATGGCATATCAGGATCGGGTATTTATTAAAAAGAAACCTAAGATATATATTAAGAAGAAAGAGAATAGAAAAAGCCCAGGAAGGAAGGATTAGTGTACAGCACTATATCAGGTAAGAGGACTTTAGTCAACCTTCCTTACATATGGACTGTTCATAACCAAACAAACAAACTCTGGGGGAAGTGATTTAGTTGAATTCTACAGCCGGTCTGATGAAACACCTTAACTGGAAGTTAGTGACTAGGTCACTAAGCCTCGTGTTAAATAAAGGATTAACAGGCAATATTTTGAAGATTCTATTTCTATTTCTTTAAAAATTCTTCAATGAGGACTGTTACAAACTTAGGGTATCAGTTATATCATTAATATTTTCAAAATTTGAGGTAACCACAAAAATTTATGCTCACACAATTTGTAGCAATTATATTTACTTCATAAGTCCATCCACAGAAATGGCATTCTGACCAATATCCACTGGGACTTGGTGATTTACCATTCAAAAGCTATTAAATTTAATATAAAAGTAAATGTCTTAAAATCGCCAAGAAAAGCAGCTTTAATTAAGAACCAAAAGGATTTATTAGGTGGTTGCCAAGTGGAAAGGTATGAGAATCACAGGGGATGTTGGTCAAACAGTACAAAGTCTCAATTAGAAATAATGATGAATGAATAAATTCTAAAGGGCCATCACACAACATATTAACTATAATTAATGATACTGCATTATTCCATGGGTCTGCTTACAATTTGCTAGGGCAGTAGATCTTCAATATTCTAAGTACACATACATGGAACAATACCCGTGCGTGGCACAGAACGTGGTAAGTAGCTGGATAGATAGGACAATTATTTCACCATGCTTATCCAAGCGAAACATTGTATTTTAAAGATACAAGTCTTAGACGTCAACCGTATCTCAATAAAACTGAGGAATAAAACCCAAAAGAATCTTAGTAGGGCACACTTGAAGACCACTGTGCCCAAGACATCTACTCATATCTCCTTTGGCTTCTTAAAATTACATATAATATGCACCACTCTGGTGGAATTCCAACATACTGTCCAGAATTGAAACTATAAAATTGGTAAGTCATTTATTTACTGGAAATTTTTACCTGGCATTCTGTAAAAGAGCCTTTTCCCGGTTCCATCATTCGTCTGTAGATACCTGCTGTCCGAGGACCAGTCCATGTGAGTAATCAGGCTCAGGGAGCCAGCACATTCACCCACTTTCTTGTAGCGCTGAGCGACCCCGTAAACGTCAACTGAGCTGTCATTGCATCCGACAGCAAGGTAAGCCCCGTCGGGCGAATATTTCAACTCGTGAATGGCCTCTTTTCTGTCTTTAACATGTACAACTTCTGTCATATCTCTGTGGAAAAGAAAAAAAAAATGACATTGGATGAGCAAAAGCACATCAGGATTTGGTTTTCAAATGTGAGGCTATGATCAAGTGTTTAAAAACAGAGAGAAATGTAAGACCAGAACAATTATTTTTGCTTAGCAGAAACTTACGAGGTCAAGAAGTGCCAGGCATAGATGAGAAATGCTGACATTCAGCTCCTAAATCATTATTTTTCAAAGGTTTATTTGGAAAGTCAGGGAGAGATCTTCCATCCTGTGGTTTGCTCTCCCATGGCCACAAGGGCTAGTGCTGGGCCAGGAAGAAGCCAGCAGCTTCATTCGAGTCTCATGTGGGCAGCACAAGTCCAGTCCGTTGGGGCCATCCTTCACTGCTTTCCCAGGCACAAGACCAGGGAGCTGGACTGGAAGTGGAGCAGCCCGGACTTGAACCAGCACCAGCAGAGAGGTTTTGAGAAACAACAAGCGCTCAACAGGGAATCAAATTAGAGGGGAAAAGAAAAACATCTGCCAACTTTTAATGCTTAGAGTACCATTAATGAGGATTTTTCAATATGAAGTGGAAAGCAAAAGCCATATTGGAATGACGTTTGAACTTGTAAAGTTTATGGGACACAAAGTTCTTGGAAAATTTTCCTTGAAACAGAGAGAAGGTACAGATGTGTGACAACAGGAGAGGGTAGGTTTATTAGAGGATATGTGGACATACTGAGCATGTGTTAATAGGCTTCATTGGAGGAGGGCAGCCAAAAAATCCTTTGGTGTGGAGAACAATTACAATGGACACCAAGACTTAAACCAACGTGCAATTGACCAGGGCAATGCTAAACGACCCTTTCATGGTTGTTATGACACAGGGGTGAAAAGTGTCAAGTGTTCGGAAGCAAACGGCTAGGCGCTGGCTCAAGTCTGAAATTATTTTAATGTATTTACAGCTGAGCCTACTCCATATCTTGAGGGGAAACCTTACTGTAACCTCACCTTGATTAGCCCTGCTTAAGCAGCTCTTCGCTATCAGGAAGCCTTCCTAGGCACTTAATAGAATGAATGAATGCATGCATCTTCAGGCTTTGGGAGTCATAACAAGACAGAACTAAATCAGAAACTCCATACAAGTAAGTATATAGTTGCCTCCTATTTAAAAATATTCACATGTTTTACTTTGATTCCATATGAGTGTTTTACTTATTTGAAAGCGTTAGAGAGAGGAAGAGGAGGGAAGAGGGCGAACAGGAGCTTCCATTCCTTGGTTCCCTTCCCAGTTGGGCACAACAGCTGGATCTAGGCCAGCCAGGCCAGAAGCTTTTCTCAGGTCTCTGGAAAGCATTTATACTTAATGCAACGAATACCTAACATACACACATATAAATAAGAGGACAAAAGGATCAATAGTTAACAACGAGTCTTACTGTGCAGAAAATGACCGCCTTGGTGCCCTACCTTACTCTGAGCACAGTGAATGAGCCATCCTTCATTCCAAGGGCAAGATGGATTCCATCCACATTGACAGCTGCGCAACGAATCGGTTCTTCCATATTACACCTGGCTATCAATGCATGGTCTACCAAGCTCCAAATCCTGCAACATTTTAAAAATGAAAAAGAAAGGTTCGTTGGTGCATACTGTAAGAAATGCTGACAGTGTAAGAAGATTTTAGTTGAAATAATTTAAGATAAAATGAAAGGCAAGGTGACAGAAAAAAAAAAAAGAAAAAACAAAACAGAAGAAGAGAACAAGAGAGAAAAGATTTTTCATCTGCTCGTTCCCTCCCCAACTGGTGCAACGGTTGGAGTTGGACCAGGTAAGAACCAGGAGCCAGGAATTTCATCTGGGTCTTCCATGTGAGTGGCAAGGACTCAAGAACTTGAGCCATCATCCATTGCTTCCCAGGAACACCAGCGAGAAGCTGGACAGGAAGTGGAACAGCCAGGACGTGAACTGGTACCCCGATGTGGAATGCAGGTGTCATAAACAGTGGCTTCACAGCTGTGCCACATGTCTGCTGCTAGATGTTTTAAACAGTATGCTTTGTGAGAACGAATGCTTACCTATGAAAACAGGATTGTTGTTCATGCTTAAAATGGCAGAGATTGATAGAATATTTTGTTTTCAAGACAATGAAATGACATCAACTTTTCAAAGCTGTCATTTTAGGTGCATGATCTCTGACCTCACCAAAAAAGAAACCTGCATGTGTATATTCTTAACACTAACACAGTCCTTTTCATTTAGAAATAACAGAACAGATGAACTATCAAAAGTCAGAATCCACTCCAGACTGCAATGTTAAAAATTCCCCCCCAAATTCTATAATTTGCTTATGTTCAGTGCAATAAGCCAGTCACAAAAGGACAAATATCATGTTCTGTTATAAGGCAACATTTCTGTAAAATACAAAACAAATGGATATACAGGTAAACAAGTATTTACATATATTCTCACAGAAGAACTGTGTAAGGGAGGCTAGCATAGTGGGAAGTGAAGAGCCACTGTAGGTACATCTCTATTTCCAGATAGGAGGGTGACGCCCAAAGAACCTGTTAGACACACCTTGACACACCAGATGTTCCCCCACTGCCGATATCTACGAGGCCTGGATACACTTAAACAAGAATGGACTTGTTGAAGGACTACACCATTGTAACAACACGGGGAACATGAGGGGGTGGCGAGGATGGGGAGGGAGGAAGAAGAGGTGGAGCCGGGAATCCCTACAACTACAAACTTACATCACGGAAAATACAAAATACAAAAAAAGAGAAGATAACCAGAAAATACTCAGTGCTTAAAAATTAATCTTTTACGCTTTTAAATAATTTAAAGGATAAATACAAATCCTAATGAACATCAGTTAATATTTTGAAGTCAGAAAAAAATGCTTCACATCAAAATTTGTGGAATGTAGCTGAAATGGCTCTAAAGCAGTTTTTGGAAAGTGCATAAATTTTAATGAACACTGTAATTTAGTAAACAGCCACCTACCTCAAGTGCTTAGAAAAGGAACAGCAAAACAAAGTAGATTTTCTCAATGTTTTATAGCAGTATTCGTTTTCAAGGATAATTTTTTAAAATCTGATGGTTATGTGACAGGCAAATTGGATTTTGCATAGGAGTTTCATGCCAGGAAATGTGCATATCCTCTCTGCAAAGCCAACAACGTGTCTGTATTTTCCCCTGGATTTTTTCTACACACGTAATTAGATCACCTGTGAATGCCAGCTGCTCTTTCCAACCCTCCTCTTCCTCTATCCATGTGTTTGCATTTTTGGGTCTTACTGTGTCCACAAGACTTATCTGAGAGTGGAACAGAATGCTCCAAGAGGGCATCTTTGTCCTTTTCTTCATTTCCTAGGAAAGCTTCCAGAGTCCGAATGTCAGCAACAATATATCCGGCCCAGCATGGTAGCTGATGACTAAAGTCCTCACCTTGAATGTGCCGTGCCGGGATCCCATATGGGTGTTGGTTCTAATCCCAGCAGCCCCGCTTCCCATCCAGCTCCCTGCTTGTGGCCTGGGAAAGCAGTTGAGGACGACCCAAAGCCTTGGGACCCTGTACTCGCCAATCCGGCTGCTTGGGAAGTGAGTCATCTCTCCTCCTCTCTGTATATCTGACTTTCCAATAAAAACAAAAACCGATATATCAACTGAAGACTTCCTGCGCTCTGCCACAGGGGTTCATAAACCACGGCCCACCAGCCTCAGCAGGCTTCCTGCTGCTTCTTTCTGTACAGTCTGAGCCCTAAGAATAGTTTTTACAGCTTCTAAGGATTAAAAAGTATGAAATTCATATTTTTTTATGAGTAAAAAAATGTCCCTGTGTCTGAGTAAAAAGGTGCCTGAGTCCAATTTTACAAAAACGGCATGTTGGTGTGCTTCTGCATTGCCTCTGTGACGCTCTCCAGAAGCAGCGACAGTGCAAGAAACCCACGAGACACACCACTTCGCCCTGTCTCCTAGGGCACTGCCAAGGGTAGCCACACAATAGGAGTTGGAATTCCCACGGCTGTGAGTCCTAACATGGTGGCATTTTACCACCTACTGCCAACACCTGCCCATTATGTTACAGCAAGAAGGAAATTAGGAAAGTGAACTCACAGTGCATTTTTAAGGCGCAGTGGCATGAGGGCTGTATTGCTATCAAATGGATGGGAAGGCACTGTGACCTGTCGTGCAGGGACACTGTGGCAGTGGTCAGATACAAGCACATGTCCACATTACAGTTCATCACAGTGTTTCCAATCATGGAAATCAATGGCTACAAAGATTAGAAAATCTGATAGAATATCTCAGCACAGAATTCCTTCACATATTCAAACACTAGACGGAGACTGCAAAGAAAGCAGAGTTCCGAGTGACTAGTTTGTTAACCAAGCCAAGGAAGGAGAGGCGTTTATTAGTGGTGAATGAACCAATCATCCTGGTTGCAGCAGCTGAGCAAGTTCAAAATTATTCACCTTTCAGTGAGAACAACCTGAGACTATTTGGAACAAGACTGAATTTTGACTAGTTTTCTTCGGAAGGCAGCTATGCGCACCGTTACACCACCGCCGCCATTATTGACAAGCTTTCTTTGAATCTTGAGTCAGCAAACACTGCTGAGCCAGTAGTTGTTCACTCGAGGCATCAAAGTCTGAGGTGACCGACTCCTCTGCACACAATGACAAGTATTTTCAAAAACCCTGACACAACACCAACTTCTTCCGATTCAAACTGGAGTCTGTTAATATGCGTTGCGACGGATGGAGGCAAACACAACAAGGAAAAAGCTTACATTTTTGAGAACTGTGTGCACGGGAGATTCAGTGAAATTACTTACAACTCTCACAAAAGGTTGATTAAAAAAAAAAAAGAACACGTTGCTTAAAAAGGGAGAAAAAAGGGCCCAGCGCGGTGGCACAGTGGTTAAGGTCCTCGCCTTGCATGCCCGGGATCCCATATGGGCGCCGGTTCTAATCCCGGCAGCCCCGCTTCCCTTCCAGCTCCCTGCCTGTGGCCCAGGAAAGCAGTCGAGGACGGCCCAAAGCTTTGGGACCCTGCACCCGTGTGGGAGACCCGGAAGAGGCTCCTGGCTTCGGGCTGGCATAGCATCGGCCGTTGCGCTCACTTGGGGAGTGAATCATCGGACGGAAGATCTTCCTCTGTCTCTCCTCTCTGTCTATCCGCCTTTCTAATAAAAATAAATCTTTAAAAAAAAAGGGAGAAAAAGAAAATGATACAGAAAAAATGGCAGAAATGTGGGCAGTTTATGGAAGCAATTCTAGAGAATAATTATTTTCATTATGGGGGAAGCAGTACTTTTCTATCTTGCCTATACAAATTGTATTCAGGATGATCAAATAGTTGATGAGGAGAAATTAGAGAGAGATGATCACTGCCACATGAGTACTAAAGGATAAAAATTAAATATCAAAATATGAAACTCTAAGATTGATTGATTTTTATCTTGGAAAGGCAGATTTGCAAAGAGGAGGAGAGACAGATCTAGCATCTGCTGATTCACTCCCCAAGCGGCCACAAAGGCTAGACTAAGCCAATCTGAAGCCAGGAGCCAGGAGCTTCTTCCAGGTCTTTCGCGGCCTTGGGCCATCCTCTCCACTGCCCTTCCAGGCCACAGGCAGGGAGCTGGATGGGAAGTGGAGTAGCTGGGACATGAATTTGTGCCCATACAGGATGCCAGAATGTGCAGGACTCAGTGAGCCCAAAATTTGAATAGATACAAGCTTAATAGATTCAAGCCATGCACTGTCAACAGGATAATCCTGTCCCAAAGGGATGAAAAAAAATATTTCAGGGTAAAAATTCCTAAATATTGCCATGTTTGTTCTACAACGACATGTGTTACAGATGCACAGTTATCTGTGGTATCTAACTTCACAGTTAAGACCACATGAGGTGGGAAATGTCTAAAAATATCAATAGAAATAGTGGAGAAAAAATTTCAAAACACTAATTTACATACCAATAGCTGTTTATATTTTAAAAATATACCATGCATATCAAACAGGTGCACATTAACACCCAAAAACTATTCTAGACAAAAACTGATCATTGCATCTCATCAAATCTCTAGATGCAACTACCAGCTTACAAAATATGGGGCATATAGAATGCATTAAAATATAACACTGGCATGCATTTAGCCAAATGTTCAAATTTAGGAAACTCGAGTGTGAAGACTTAGTTTTCCCAAAAATAAACTTTAGGAAGAAAAAAGGAAAAGTAAAGGAATGAGGTTGTAAGAATGGAAGTAATTAAAAGTCACGTCAACAATTACAATACTAGACCTTCCTGGGATCCTAACTCCACACAACCATAAAAATGTCTGCGAGACAATCAGAAGGATTCCTACACTGGCTGGGCATTTTCTTAGCTACATGAGAGGAATGTTATCTGTTAGCAGTATTGCAGTGATACTTAGAGTTATCTTTTAAAGACAGACTAATGCATTCACGTGTTGCGTAAGGACAGTTAGCAAGGGACTGCACATACCACGGTCGCAATCCAACTGCCTCAGGATGCACTTATCAGAAGGCATTCCTTTGTTAAACAATGCACAATTAGATTTATGGATGATATGTGGAAAAGGAGCAGATGACAAACTGGAAAAACCAGTGGCTAGTAGTTCTCAAACCTTATGAACTTGCTAAAACAAATTCCCAAGTTGCTGATATTAGGTTCCAGAAAAGGCCTGATAATTTGCATTTCTTCCTAGTTGCCAAGTAGTGCTGATGCTGCTAGCCCAGAAATCACACATTCAGAACTACTGGTCATAGACAAAGAGCCAACTGCTTTAACATGGAGACAAGACAGGTAGTTTTGCATTCTAATTTAAATCAATTAGAGAAAAAAACCAATACATTAAAGAAGTCATTTAAAAATATCCTCCAAGTATATAAAAACATATACTACTCCTCAATATGTTTTACTTCTAAAATATTTTTTGTTGTGGTATTACCTAGAACTGGCAATGGTGCAAGGAAATAGGCACTGTTATGTTGATGATAGGAGCTGCCTTGGTGTATGGCATGGAACAGATACACAGTCAAGACTGTTGAGTGCATATATTCCTTGAACACTGCCAAGTATTTATCATTCACATTTACACAAATACAAAATGACAGCTGCATGATGATTAAATGTACAGAAGTATACCTAAATGTCCATCAGCAGCAGATTCCTTGAATAAACTACAGTATATTAATACACTGCCGTTAAGAAAGCAGAGGAGGGTCCGGTGTGATGGCTCAACTGGCTGATTCTCCTCTTGCATCCACCTGGACCCCATATGGGCACCAGCTCGTGTCAGAAATGCTCTACATCCCATCCAGGTTCCTGCTTGTGGCCTGAAAGAGCAGCTGAAGACGGCCCAAAGCCTTGGGACCCTGCACTCAGGCAGGAGCCCAGGAAGGAGCTCCTGGGTTCATCACTGGCTCAGCTCTGGCTGCTGTGGCCATCTGGGGAGCGAACCAGCAGAGGGAAGATCCTTCTTTCCTTTTCTCCTTTTCAATAAAAATCAATAATTCTTTTTTTAAAAAAGCAGAGGACACTATGTTCTAATATCACTTCTTAAGAGAAAAAAAATCCTATTAATAGTTGTCAATTATATTCATTTTAAGTAACCATTAATTTGTTTACTTGTTATACCCCAAGGTATAAAACTGAAGTCAGGGTATTTACGTTTTATTTACGTTTAACTGGGGATAATTCTAGACTATGCAATTTAGATTTGCTTACCTGACCGAGCGATCATCACTTCCAGTCACAGCCAGAGGTTTAGTAGGATGGACAGCAAGTGCCCAGAGTTCACCTTCACAGTGCCCTTGCATAATCAGGAAAGGTTTATTTCTTTCATGTACCACAATCTCAAAAATCTCACTGTCCTGCGTCCCAACTAGGATGTGGTCACCTCGCCAACAAACACTCCTCACTGACAAACCTGGTAAAAATGAATTGCGTTTAATATCAATGAGGATCTTCCCAAACGGAAATTAATGTTTGCATTTGTTAATGCCTTAGGTGAAGGCCCGCACCCACACCCTAACCTTCACTGTTGTCCATGTGGAATAACATTTCCTCACTTTAACACACCTAACTCCTACTCTTTCTTGTTGTTGGAGCCCAGCCATATTCAGACTACCTCCTCCAGGTCCTGGTGCGCGTAGAGACTGCAGAAAGCATGAGAGAGAGCAACCTTACAAATTTCACTGTTCAGTTGTGCAGATTTGATACTAACAAGCAAAACATATCAAACTAGTGCATGAGTTTAATGTCTAATATGTTCAGCAAACCTAATGAAAACAGAATTACAGTTATTACGTGCCAGACATTCTTCTAACCATTTTATAAATCTTAACTCATTTAGTCCTATGAGATATTAGCCTCAGTTTATTGCGTTTACAATGCTGTCTAGACGCAGCCCTTGTTATCTTCACTCCTACTCTGATGTTGTAGTGTAAAAGTCAACACATTCATTTTTAGAGCAAAAGACCATTTTATTACATTAATCATTTTTAAGAGCTTGCAAACGAATACCTTCCAGTTGCTGATGACTTTGGATAAAGGGAAAAACATACCGGCAAATATTTAAAACCAGTCTGAACAAAAGTTCCTTCAACCTTCAGCATTATAAAAGTTGATTTGCCAAACAATTATATTTAACATTCCAATAGTAAAATATTTTCAAAATGCAAAGTTACCAGGCTGCCTGTCACATCTCTCTGCAGGGCTCATTACACAGGCATCAGTTGTTAGGGAGAACTTTTGTCACAGCATTGGATCTAAACCCTGTCAGTTAAGTATCTCAAAGGATTTCAACTGAATGTGCACAGGAGGAAGAGCTAATGTACATCTTACATTCACCGAAAGAAACAGACCATCTTGTGTACATTTACAATTTCTCTGGTAATGAGGAATTTGTTTTGCCATTACCTTTGTATCCCTGGTCTGTTTCCCTGAGGTCAATCACAGTAATTGGTTTAAAACTTAAATCCCAAAGACGGATGCAGCCATCTCTGCCACCAGTAGCGAAGCCTTCCTCACAAGCATTCATGCTAAAAATGCCTGCCTGAAGAAGGAAATGAAATAATTTAACAACATATATGCAAGTAGAACTCATTTAACACATTGTATGACATACGAATAAACCGATGCATCAACAGGCCAACGTGGCAGGGCAGGTTAAGATGTCCTCTGCAATGATGGCATTCTGTATGGGAGCAGGTGTGAGCTCCAGGTGCTCTACTTCTGACCCAGTTCCCGGTCAACGCACCTGGGAAGGCAGCAGAAGATGGCCCCAGGACTCCTGCTGTCGAGGCAGGAGACCAGGATGGAGTTCCAGGTTCCTGGCTTCAGCCTGAGCCCGCCACTGTGGTCACTTAGGCAGTAAACCAAGAGATGGACAGTCCATCTCATTCACTCACTGTTGCCCTGCCTTTCAAATCAACACATATAAAAAATGCTGTGTGTAGGTAGAAACTCATTGAGCAATAGAACAGTAGAATAAACAAATACATCAGAAACTACAAAATAAAATCTGGAAATAAATCCATACAGGCTTGACACAAATACAAGATGATATCTAATTACACCGACATAAAAGAAAGTAAACTTTTTAATTTATATAAAAATTCATGATATATGAGCAGACTCAAAATTCCAAATGTAGAAAATAAGAGATGCAGCTTTTAAAAAAGTTGTAGTAACAGTCAAGCCTGCGGTGACACCATAAGATCCCATTTGGATGCTAGCTTGCACCCCTGCTGTTGGGCTTCCTGTCCAGCTCCCTGCTTTAAGTGTCTGGGCGAGCAGTGGAAGACCATCCAAGGGCTTTGGTTCCTGTCACCCCTGTGGGAGACCTGAGTGGAGTTCTAGACTCCTGGTCACAGCCGTTGGGGAGCAAGCCAGAAGATGGCTGTGTCTATCTTTGCAATCCTGCCTTTCAAGTAAAATTTTAAAATCTTAAAGATGAACTTCTTTGATGATAAAATATACAAATAGATGGCATAAATATTTGTCAGAAGGCTTACATACGTAACATGAACAAACAAAAATAGCTACCATTAGGGAAAACAAAACAAAAGAGTAAAAGTTCAGCCAAACAATTATATTAATAGGAAAGGAATTGAAGTGGTCAATAAATTGAAGAATTCTCAGAAACAGGAGAAGCTCACCAAAAATAAAGTTCAAATAAGAAGATACAATTTTCCACATGGAAGATAAGCTGAATTGTACAATATCGGTCCGATCTTGAGCTGACAACAGCGAGGAGAAAAACAGTACTTTTAAATGCTGATGTGAGAATGTAAATTACATTGATTTTATTGACAAAAAAAATCTTATTTCTGGCTTTCAGATGTTTTGTTTAAAGCAGGGATCTTATTGCAAGCAATGTGACAGCTCCATGCTGTCTAGCCAGCTCCCTGTTCTTTGTCAACGAGACCTAAGTGCTAAAATATTTTTTTTTTTAAAAAAAATCACTCCAAAATTTCTCAAGTAGGTAAACAATATAAAATTTTTTTTTAATCTAAAATAGAAATTCACTCTAAACATTTTCTGATCTGACACTGATGTACATGGAAACTTCGTTAGGTACAAAATTAAAGGATTTCTCCTTCAATCAATGGAATAATTTTTTCTAGACCTGTACCCAATGTCCCACTGATAAATAAGAACACTAGCTTTACTTTACTATGGCCATCTAGATTTCTTTTAGGTATAAACAATTTTTTTTATTAATTACATTGTATTATGTGACACAGTTTCATAGGCTCTGGGATTCCCCCAACCCCTCACCCTACCCTCTCCCCATGGTGGATTCCTCCACCTTGTTACAGTATTACAGATCAAATTCAGTTGAGATTCTTTCATTGCAAGCATATACCAAGCAAAGAGTCCAGCATCTAATTGTTTTTCAACTCCCTGCTAAGACACCATGCTAGTGCAATTAACAAGATACTAGATATACAATTTTAATAATCCATGTCAAATGCACGTTTCTCTGAAACAAAAAAAAAAAACCAACAAAAAATGGAAAATTCAATTAGAGTAACATTTCACAAGCAGTTGAACCCATCAGAAATGGTATGGTATGTTATACGAGCTGTTCAAAGACAAGTAGTAGTTAACATCCTGAAGTGTTAGATACTTAAACCCACTTACAGTATGGGCTCCTTGTATTGTTCGCGTGAGATTGATTCCTTTCCAAACATAGATGTCTCCGTTGAGTGCACCAGAATACGTTAACTCATCCCTTGCACAGGCCAGGCACAATATTGTCTGAAGGTCACCCGTCTTACCAAAGACACCTCGTTTTGGGGTCAGAGCGTTTCCACATAAACTCCAGAACTAAAAAATACACAGCATGAGCAAACGTCCACAGAATGCTTGTTAATTAAAGTACAATATTCTGAGGCTATGCCAGAGCAGCTGAGATTTATCTAAGAAAATGCCATGTAATATGATAAAATTCAATTCTCTTCTCATCTGAGTATAATCAAAAGCTATGTTATAGTAAGTAAGTCACATATTTCAACCCTAATCTGTAAAAATAAGGTGGTGAAATAGATTATTTTAAAAAATACTCATTTTTTTCCTGCATTTTCTGAAAGCAACTACATAAAATTTAGGATTAAAAATTTGGGAACCGGATAGCAATGGAAACATTATAAATAAGAATGAAATTTAATAGTAAAACCGGTGGAGATAGGAAAGTGGGGTGGGGCATGTCTAGTATGTTATTTCTGGTTGCTAGTTTCAAAGCCAAGCGATTTCTTCATCTAAAGATTGAAATAAGACAGATTTCCATCTAGAATGATTTACTTATTCTTGGGAGAAGACAGGGAAAGCAAGTATGAATTATAACCAAGGATTTTGCTGGTTTCAGGTGAATTTCCATTATTTGCAGAGGGAGAGGAAAAAAAAGAGGAAAACCAGGAATGTATGCATTAAACAGTTCTACATGGAGAAATTAGGCAAAGGGATTCAATTCAAACGAACAGTAAATGAAATGTCCTTTAAAATAATGTAGTTTTTATTTATGGCTTAAAACCTCAAAACTCAAAGAACTATGAATCATGATACTTAACCATTAAAATTAAGATTAATGAATGAGCCATGAAGGGTTTCAAGCTTAAAATTTTAGTAATTTCAGTGGCAGAGTAGGCTCAACCTTTGACACCAGCATTCTGTATGGGAGCTGGTTCGTGTCGTGGCTACTCCACATTTCATCCAACTCCCTGCTTATGGCCTGGGAAAGCAATAGAGGATGATCCAGAGCCTTGAAACCTGCACCCACATGGGAGACCTGGAGGAGGTTCCTGGCTTTGAATTGGCTCAGCTCTGGCCAATCTTAATCTTACTTTCTAATGAAAATAATAAGTCTCTCCCCCCCACCCCATAGAAAGACATACTATGTTCATGCATTGGAGTACCCAATGTTGATACGATAGCAGTTCTCCTTGAACTGACCTATAGATTTAACACAAACCTGATTTCAATTCTTAAATACGTGGGATAGCTCAATTCATTAAAATGAAAAACTGTCAAAATTCTAAAATTAGACCAATTTGCTACTAGAGTGGTATGTATTCAGCCCTGGAGACCTGAGCACGGCTATTACAGAACAAAACCTCCTCGTACCTTGATGTGCTTTACGCCACAGCTGACAAGTTTATTTGGCTGGTACAAATCCCAAGAAATATCAAATATCTGCGAACAAACAAGAGTCATGGTTATAAAACTTTTTTTTGAAAATCATTTAAGAATGCTGTCCAAAAGAACAAATGATTCCAAGCTATCATAAGTAATCAGAAATGCACACTTCTAAATAGATAAAATTTATAACAATATGAACATAAATCCATTTTTATGAAGCAGGTAGTGGAGCATAATTTAACACTTCTATTTTTAATTTTTAAAGCATTTAAATTGAAAGAAAGAATTATTTTAAATAACAGGAACGGCTCAACAAAGGCAGAGAATAATCATGCTTGAGTAATTTCTACAGGGGAGTGATTCTTAACAGATTATATAAAACACTTAGCAAAAATACGGGTGTTTCAAAGTCAATCACGCAGAACCACTTACAAAAAAGATCCAAACATTTAGTTCATGTTCTTATTCTTTAGTTCTCTTATTGTTTATGGAAGAAAATTGACTTCTAAATTTTGAAGGCCCAAGTATTTATTTAATTCCAGTTTTTTTAAAGTAAAAAAAAATTTCTAAATCTCCTCGGTAGCAGTTTAAATAATCGATGCATTTACTAAATTCAAAGTACTAACACAAGAAGTGCTCTGCTGCTCTGAGAGCATTGTAGGTGGTCTATAATTTGAGAGGCAAGGCTACAGAGACAGCACCAGAAAGGAGGACTTCCATTCAGTGGTTCACTGCCCGACTGTGAGCAACAATCCGATTAGGCCAGGGGCTCAGCCTGGGCTTCCCAGCATGGCTGGCAGGGACCCAACTCCTTGACCCATCATCACTATCTCCCAGGTCTTCACGAACAGGAAGCGGGAACTAGGAGGCAGAGCCCACGAATTAAACGCAGGAAGTGAATATGGGACATAAATGTTTAAACAGGCATCTTGACTGCTCAACTCCCAATTACACGCAATCTCTCATGCAAATTGTATTTGAGAAAACTGAAAACCAAATACATTCTCCAAAATGCAAACATGCAAGATTTTCAGCCTATCTTTTCCAGATTAAAAAAGCTTCCACAAAACAGAATCACCAACTATGCCTCAGTGCTGTTCCGGGTTAGATTCATCACATATGTGTGTGCACGTGTGTCTCTGTGTGCACATATACAAATCAGATATTTACAAGAATTTATGGTAAAATGTTTTTATCTATGAGCATAAAAGCAAAATATTTCATTTCAACACTGACTGCAGTCTTTATATTATATTAGCTTATATAGCTTTAAATAAAAATATATATGTTTTAACAAACTTCTGAAATAAAAATATTAGGCTTCCAAAATTTAATGGTAATATTTAGATTCACACAGGCAGCATAACTTTTACTATAGTGCACAGCAATGAATTCACAATAAATAAAACTAACAGAACCCAAGTACAAGACATCCAATTCAAATTGAGATTTGAATAAAGGATATTGGTATATGAACAACCTCATCAAATAATACACACTAAATATATATGCAGTCCTTACAGGTTAATTTTAACTTCAATAAAACTGTCAAGAGAAAAATGCATAATATTTGTTGAAGTAAACACTGGTTTAAAAGTTCTCTGCTGAGGTTAGAGCCGCACACAGTACAACTGTGAAGCCACCAATCATGACCTCCACATCCAAATTCTGGGTTGAGTCCTGGCCCCCTGCTGATGCCACTGGGAAGGCAGCAGAGAATGGCTTGGTCCCCTGCCACACCCATGTGGGAGACCAGGGTGATGTCCCTGGCCCCCTGACTTCAGCCTGGCCCGGACTTGGCAGCTGCAGTCATTTGGGAGGAAGATTCAGAGGATGGAAGACCTCTCAAATGGTCTTTAAAAAAAAATTCATGCTAACACTATACATGTGGAATCATTAAGTCCTATAACACACATGTGCTCTAAGATCAGTATTTATAATTACACATTAAAAAAATTTTTAAGTAGCTTCATTGAGCTTGAAGTCTAGTAAACATACAATTCACCTGAAGAGTACAACCCAACAGTTCTTGGGATGCTCACAGAATTGTACAATCAACACTACAAAAGGTTTTAGAACATTTTCATCACCCAAGAAACTCAGTAGCCCCTTAACTAGTCTGATCTTTCATAACTGTACATTTTTTTCTAAAATAAATGATGGAATCCTAACTGTCCATAACGTAAGTGGCAGTTAAAACACAGAGGAATGACAATCCCTAACCCACCCTCGGCCCCGGCCCTGTCCCATCTATTACTCATTAGAAAGCGCCATCATAAATACTTACTCTATCTGTGTGACCAGGAGCCATAGATAACAGTTTTCCCCTTTTCCAATCCCAAACACAAACTGTGTTCTTTGAGTCAAGTCCAACCGAAACCAAACGCTACATTAAATCCAGGAGAAAATGAAAAGGCAAAAAAAAAAAAAAATCAAATTATATATGGCAAATAAATTTTATTTGTGGATGTATAAACATCAACACATACACATTTGTATTTTATAGATCTCACAGAAAAAGGTTAGATGTATTTCATCTTAACACTTCAACAAATGTATAGCTATTTATAATAAAAACACACTGTCAGTTCTAGTAAGAATGACATAATATACTTATCTTCTCTCCTTGCTGCCCCAACCAAACAGCAACAAAAACATCAAGAGATTACCGAAGGCCCTCAGGAAAAATTAGTGAAGCTTCTAATACTTCTGCAAAATATTATATAATCTATAATCATGTGCCAAAACTCATAGGTAAATAGAAGCATATAACTGACAAAACTGTAAAAATTTGATTTTTCACTCTAAACTATCAGAAGTAACCACAACTTAGATTTTATTAAGTATGAAGAATGTACTTTATAAATTATGTTTGTATTTTTGAGACAAAATATCAATTAAATTTCCCATCCACCTACTCCCCTCCTCTCACTTACTATAAAATTTCAGTCTGTGACGTAAATGTGTGTAACTAGCCTTTTCAGGTCGATTGTCCTCAGTAAGCCGACTGATGCCAGAGTCTGCATGGGGATTCACTTCATTAAGGGGAAAACCTCTGGGAGAAGAACTCTCCAGCATTGCCACAAGCTGGGAAACTCATTACTGGATAAATCTTAAACGATTACTTAAAATTTCAAATCTAGTTAAAAATGCAAAAAGTGTACACCATATCTTACTTGATTTCCCATAAACATTTTATAGACATAAAAAATAGACATGTTCTCTTAAATATAATTCTAAGGTATTGTCTCATTGACGTCATTTCGGAGCCACTCCTAATTTCATGTTAAATTGTAGCCATTCCTTACTCTTTAGCTGTACTTAAAAGTGGACGAATTCTTGTTGAAACGTAAAGAACCGCTTCCTAAGTTACACCCTCCAGAGGCAGTAGGGCTTCAGAGGGTGACTGGCCTGGGGTCCGGCTTTGGCTCCACTTTCTAGCTGTGCAACCTGGGGCAGGCTATTTAACCTCCCGGCCTCAGTTTGTTTCTCTGTAACACAGAGATCATCACAGTATCTCTTGCACGGGGTTACTGTGAGGCTGGAAGGACGCAATGCAGGCTGGGCACAAGGCCTGGGACCTTAGAATGAGCTCAAGATCTTTTTTAGTTTAGTATCTTACAGGTTTGTTTTCATAAGCTTGGAATTTTAAGTAGCATGTTCTCTTGAAGATTTCTGTAGATAAAAATTCATATATCCAAGACTTTTAAGATGTTTAAAATAATTTTTAAATTAAAGGTTTTCAAGAACTAAAAGCTTGGAGCAGGAGTTCTCCTGGGATGGATGAAAGAAATTTCTCAGCGATGCAAGGAAAGGAAAACTTCCTTTTCTGAAAGGAAAACTTTAAGGCCGGGAAGAAAGCTATTGAAAGTCATAAGACATCTATTAAAATAGCTTGAATTCATGAAATTGTATGTCTCATAGTACTTTCTAATCTTGCGAAATAAAGATTGCATATTATTCTGTTTCTTTGAAAAAGAAGAGACTTGAAAGACAATAGTAACAAAGGCACATTAAGTTTCTGCTACGGCTTTAGAGTGATATCGACTTAGGAACGCATTTTGACAGGAGGATCCAGTAAGGCCTCTACAGCTCGGTTCTCAGAAAGTCACCTCTGGTTAGAAAGGGACGATCATTACTGCCACCCAAAGCAGCTATGTCTCAGAGGAATGGACAAAACGACAGCCGCTTCTGTAAAACCCAATCTCCAAAACCAATTTTAGGTCTTGGAAAGCAGACAACTAATTTTTTTTTCCCTGAAAATTAGGATGATTTTAAGGTTTAATTTTAATATAAAACTTTTAAAAGACTATGAATTAACCACATCCTCAAAAAACAACTTCTCACCACTCATAAAACATGTTCTGGTTGTAACAATTTCCATGACAAAAGTAAACAAAAAAAAAAAAATAGAAGAAAAGCCCTTGTCTTAACTTCTTAAAAGGCAATGTCTAGAAGGAGGAGATGCTCTGGATTAGTCAGTGACGTGATTATTACATCTTTGACACTTTATCTTGTATAAAAATGATTCATAGAAATCTTTTCAATAGGATTTTGATCAATAATCTATAATGAAACCAAAGACTAAAATACAAACAGGTCTCCTCAGAAAGACAATTTTCCCAAGATATCTTCTATCTATCCTACCAAAATACCCCAGCTGGCAAGTTATGAATGAAATTACATATAAAATCACAAGCAGGTCATAGGTCAGTCCTCAGCATTTCTCTGGCTTTCAAGGTTTCTAAAAAGGATGCAATAAAAATTTCTGTTGCTGTTTTTTTTTTTTTTATATATATAAATCAACCACCCACTCCATCTAGCCTCCTTCACTATTGGATGAATATATCATCTGCTTTCCCATCTACTCCATACCACACTATTTTCAAAAACGTTCTTCAAAAAAGTTGCCACCTACCTGTCCATCTAGGTCGAATGCTAAGCAAGCTATGCCATGCGTATGAACATCTTTTAGGACTGAGACGGTCTGCACAGTGTACGAATCCCAAACACAGATGTAAGGCTCTTTCCCAACTTGTCCCGTTGCCACCAACACTCGTTCAGGATGCAATGCAAGGCTGCAAAACAAATAGTAAGACACCACTGTGCTTAGTGAGGTAAGCCCCTGAAGACAAACAGCATGCTCTGTCATGTGTCCAACACAGAATACAAAAACAAAAACAGACAAAAAAAAACACAGGAACGCGATGGGCATCTTGAGATTTGACTGCTATTTTTTTATCCATTGTTTGTATCCTTGTGGAATCACTGTCTTTCTAACTGGTTGAGGATTACAGTTAGTGGTGCATTGAGGACATGATTGTAGAGTGGACGGAAATTATGCCTTTCACAAAAAAATCAGAAAAAAAGCAAGGAAGGAAGGGGATGGAGGAGGGTGAGAGGAAGACAATGAGGGGGAGGGAGAGTGGGTGAGAGGAAGCAATGGTTATTGTCTAAGAACTGTACCCACAAAATACACGAAATCTTTTCATATCAATAAAAACTGCTTTTAGAGCTTTTGATATACACAACCTATGTGAATGTGAACATTATACCTAATTGTTCATTTATTTAAAGCTGGACTTAAAAAATTTCTGTAAAATGTATGCTAAGGTTATCATCTTTGTCTTTGTGAAAACAGTGATACACCAACTATACCCTCCAGACTCCCCAGAATACATGCAAGTGTTGCAAGAAACAGCCTCCCAAAGCATCCACTGCACGACAGGAACAAGTTAACAGCCTACCACAAGTCAGCTCATCCTCCATTCACTGTTAAAGCCCTCTCCTTCCACCTTCCTATTCTTGAATATAGCTACACCAAATTTTAACATCTCAAAATAGTACTTAGTAGCACTCTTACTATAACATTAACATCTAAAGTACAAGTTCATTTTAAGAAACTGAAAGGTCACATGGAATTGACACTAAGTAACCTAGGAGCCTTTAAAAATACAATCCGCCTGTTGGTAACAGTACATGTGGAAAAGGCAGAGAACATCTGATTTACTTGCTTGTAAGGTCGTTAAAACATACTCTACATCATATTATTTTTTTCTATGCTGATGTGACCAAATACCATAAATTTAGTATCTTAAAACAGCACAGCTGTGTTATTTCACAGTCAGGCAGGAACGACAATCTGGTTACAGTGTGGCTCAGCTCTGTCCTCTGCTTATAGTCTCACAAGTCCACACTCAAGCTGTAAATACAGATCTATTCCTTTCTGGAATGTCTGTGTGTGACTCAGCTTCCAAGTTCACTCACGATGTTAGCAAATTCAGCTAGTTAAGGACTGGGCGCTGCGTGTGTAAAGCTCGCCCCTACTGTCAGCAGGGAACTGCCTGGCTTCCTCTGGTCACCAGAAGTCCTCATCAAATGGCCACCTCCACCTTCAGCCGGCAATGGTACACCAAGCCCTCAAGTTGGGACTCTGTTCCCGTCTTGTCATTGGGCTGGATAAAACTGTTTTTAAGGGCTCATAGACTGGATTGGCCCCAACTGGGAGATTCAAGATAGCCTCCCTACCTAAAGGTCCATCTTAATTGCAAATACAAGTCACTTTTGTAAGGTTTAACTTCCCAAATTCACAGGTTCCAGAGATGTGCATACATTACTGTAGAGATCCAGAAACTATTCTTGATATCCATTCCTGTATTTCAGTTTTAAATATCCTATTTGTCTAGGTTTTTTTTTTTTTGCTAAAATTTCTACTGTTTTGCTTATTTCAAGAATGTCTTCCTTTATATCAATGATATTCAGGCATAACAAATGCTTTAAATTCTCGGATGATTCTAACACCCTGGTCATCTTGGCACCAACAATCGTCGTCTTTCCTAAGTTATTGAGATCTCCTAATGCTTGGGTTGTTTCTGGTAATTTCACATTTTGGAAATTCGAGATGCTATATGATGGGCTCATATTAAGATCTTACAGAAAATGTTGACATTTTTGTCCAGCTGGTAAGCTGTCTAATTAGGTTCAAGGCAAATGCCCCAAGTCCCCATCTGTGGTTCCCTTCACCACACCCACACATATCACAGGGAGTAAGCTGCAACTTCAGTGACTGAAGCTCAGTTCAAGACCTTTGCTCTGCTGCTTCCAGGCAGCTGGATGCGTGGATAGCACAGCAGTGAGTCAGGGATACCCAACACGGTCTTACATTGATGTCCTGAGCACCATGCACTCCAATCTCTCCTCTTCACTTCCCAAGGATCCCCTTCCTTTGTACTATGGTTAGAAGCTGAGGATATGATCCTTCAGGCAATGTCATATTTCCCCACACTGGCTCTGCTTAAAATCCTTTTGCTTACATTTAAAAATTTTTATTTTTAAATTTTATGTATGAGACCGCATGAACGAACACACACACACACACACACACACACACACACACACACACACACACACACACACACACACACACAGATTCGCTGCCTAGATGCCTGCATCAGCCAGAGCTGGAACTAAGCTGGACCTGGAAGCCTGAGCCTCAATCTGGGTCTTGCAGGCAGACCTAACCACTAGAGTCACATCTACCATCTCCCACAGGACACAACCTGCGCATCTTGGTTCAACTGGTCCTGTGGCCTGCTGCTGGAAACCTGGATGGGGCTCTCGATCCTGGTAGCCATTCTGGGCAATTGGGAGAGGCACCCACAAGCAGAAGCTCTGGCTCAGATGTTTTAAAATGTAAAGAAATCATCATCCCTATCAAGAACGCTCAGTTTCGACTCAAACTCTGTTTTGGTGACCTCGTCCAAGACATTCACCACTGCCGTATTTGACATCAGTGGTTCTCTTCCTCTACTTTCATTAACTTGAATTCTGCCATGAGTAAAAACTTTTTTCCTCCCCTATTCATTAATTTAACCTTCCATTTGTTTGTATTAGTATGTACTCCTAGATTTTTTTTTTAAGGATTTACTTATTTTCATTGGAAAGTCAGATTTACAGAGAAGGAGAGACTGAGAGAAAGATCTTCCATCTGCTGGTTCACTCCGCAAGTGGCCTCAACGGCTGGAGCTCAGCGGATCTGGAGCCAGGAGCCTCTTCCGGGTCTCCCACGCGGGTGCAGGGTCCCAAGGACTTGGGCCGTCCTCTACACCTTCCCAGGCCACAAAGCAGGGAGCTGGATGGGCAGAGGAGCAGCTGGGACAGGAAGCATGGGATCCCGGCACATGCAAGGCGAGGATGTTAACCACTAAACCATCACACCGGGCCCACTCCTAGATATTTCAAAGGGAAACTAAATTTTCTTTAAAAGACAGTAAATACTTTTTGTAGTTTTTGTCACAACTACTCAACCAGGTTGTTGTAACACCGAATCAGCCACGTGTAACACACATTCCCAGCGGGGCATCATCATCACCAGGGGAAAATGCTGGTACAGATACACATGCAGCACAACAAGTGACACACAGTGTATCTGTGGTATTAAATATTTGTAGAATGCATACCTAAAAGGGTTCCTTAGGAGAACAATAAGGAAAAAGCCCTTGCAAAACACAGATGTGGGTAAGCACTCATATCTGCTTTCCAATAAAGCCTTAGTTGCAAAAACAGGTGGTAAGCCAGATTTGGGCTGCATTTCTCTGGTTGCTAACATTTATTTCACTCTGTGGTAGTGGTGGGCAATGATTTGATCTGACTCTGCCAAGGCAACTCTAGGTAGAACGCAAAATTCAATAATCAGCAGATTGATTTTGAAGCTGACAACTTGGATGACCTGTCAATGATATTTTAAGTACCCAAATGGCCCTTGACAGAATTAAAAGATTCCCTATACTGCTCCATGGGTTAAAAAATCAATATTATGATTTATTTTACAATTCAAATTGTTCCACGTTTTAGAGGGTCTTGAATCAGCCTCCATATTCAACAAGCTACCATCTCTTTTTGAGCACTTACTTTATTGTATCACAAACTATTTCAGTAATCTTCCTACCCCAGTTCCACAATCACCTACTTCTCAATGAAGCCCTTGTTCCTTTTATTAGAGAATATTTAAAGAATAAGACCTGGGACCTCAAGTGGTAACCCAAAGTCCTCACCTTACATGCCCCGGGATTCCACATGGGCACCAGTTCATGTCCCTAGGTGCTCCACTTCCCATCCAGCTCCCTGCATGTGGCCTGGGAAAGCAGTTAAGTGGGGAACAGTCATTTGTCACAATGATGATTATATTGCTTGGGACACCTACTTTCCATATCAGAGGCTGGGTTCAGGTTCTGGGGCCTCTCTCCACTCCAGCTGCAGCTAATTTGCACCCTGGGAGGAGCAGATGATGGTTCAGGAGGTGAGTCCTTGCTGTATCATAGTGGCCTGGATAGAGTTCCTAGCTCCTAGTTTTGGCCTGGCCCAAAGATGTTGTGTGTATTCAGGGAGCGAATCAGTAGGACGAAATCTGACTTTTTGCTCTTGAAGTAAAAAATAAAAAACTTCAAGTAAATGGGAACGTATGTGTAGGGAACGTATATATGTTAATGCTAGTCTACATAAGGGAATTGGGCATCTATGGGTTTTAGTCCCAGAGGATATTGGATTCAAACCTCCAGGGATACCAAGGGTTGATATATTCTGGATTCAGAGACTCTCTCTGCCTCTATCTATACATTAAAAAAAAAATGAATGAAAGCTCGAGGCTGGTGACATGGCACTGGTCTCCCACATTGGGCTGGTCCCATGCTGCACTTCCAATCCAGCTCCCCATTCTTGGTCTGGGAAAGCAGTGGATGATGGCTCAAGCCCTTAGATCCCTTCACCCAAGTGGCAAACCCAGAGGAAGCTCCAAGACCCTGGCTTCAGCTTGGTTCAACTACAGCCACTGCAGCCTTTTGGGGAGTGAACCAGTAAATGAAAGATCTCTGTCTGTCTCTAATTCTGTTTTTCAAGTAATAATTTAAAAAATCACTCAAAAGATTGCAGCTCTCATCTCTGATTCAAATACAGAAACAGGATATTATCTTTTCCTTATTTATAACCTGTGCATCCAAGAATGAGAGACTGGGCTCTCACAGCTTATGCTCTATTTATTTACTTCATTTGGGTATACACACAGACGTTTCAAAATTGCTGG